TACGTAGAAATACAGGTTTACAGCGATCTTCAACAATGCCGTATCTTAGAGATAAAAACAACGTGGTTTGCAATGAAATTCAAGAGTACATGTGATAAATGCTCTTCAGATTTATTCGAGCATTGCTTTGCATGTTGACATTCGAATATAATTTATTATAAATTCACCTATTATTGTCACCTTGCATGGGTGTTAAATATTCATTAATTTATTCAATAAAATATTATATAATATAATCACTCGATAATATCATGTGATTTCATTAATATTTTTTCATTTATGACATCAAATCACATTAATATTCGTTTGTGAATCTAATCTACTTTTAGTTAAACTTTGATCTTATATTTTTTGTCCAACCAATATCAAATCATGATTAATAACTTGGAATAAGTCTGATTGATTCAATACTTAAGTTCTGCAATGTGAGAACATATAATACCTTATAATGAAAAAATAAGATTAATTATTTATTTACATAATTAAAAAAAGTTTAAAAAATAAGATGAAAGATACATAAATCTTGTATGTGACTAATAGATTTCACCTTCTTTCCATAAATATACATATCCATAATTCATTTTTCAGTAAAAAATCTATAGCTCGTATTCTATAAAGTGAGAAAATATCTTCGTCTCAAAAAACAAAACCCAACTAATCTCTTTGTAAGAATCTAAACCATTTGATTTAAAAAATAATAATTTGGAAGTATCATAGTTAAGTGAATTATATATTTATTTAGAAACTCGTATGATTTCACCAGTATAAATAACAATAATAATAAATATAAATATATATAACAATGATGAATTCAATGTAATTTCACATTGAATCGAGGACAAGGAACATTCAGGTGTAATTGAATCGCGGTGCATGTCTTCAAATAATCAATGGCAACATGGCAGGGGTCTTAACATCTGCAAATCCGGAGAATCGATTCTGCGCAGCGAGATCCGAATTCGAACCTCCGCAGGGTATTTCTCCCCGTTTGTCGACAGGCGGTGAGATTCTACGCTTTCTGTGCTCGTCGCAGAGACCCCAATCTCTCTGTCGCAGCGATTGGTTTAGAAACTGTTGCGGTTTCTCAGATGGTAAGATTTCTTCCCCTCGACGGACTCTCCGAGTTTTGTATTCGATCTGTTGAGAGTTTCGAATATTTCGTCAGTTCTACGCTGAATTTCGTCCACTGGTGAGGTTTTACAGATATGGCAATCTTCGGTCGAGCGACAAGGTTCGTACAAAGCTTTATTTGCTGCAATCTTCATTCCGATCTTCTTTTTCACCGATCGATTCTTCGGGTCTCTTCGTGCTCTACCAATGCATATGATTCTTCGGATCACTCCGTTCTTGCATTATGGGGTTACAGCATTCGTGCCTTCTTCCTCCATCTCCATCCATTTTCATGCATATAGATGTCCCAATGTCAAACAGAGTCTTGAGAGTAAGCCGACGTTTTTTAAGTTCTTCAGCCTTGAACATGAAATTTGGCGCTCTGTCCGTTCGTTCGGCACGAAGTGCGTGATGAAGATGCTATGCTGCGTTGTCTTGACCACCAATGTTCACCGCAATCGTAGAATCTTCACCGTACTGTGGCCACTTGTATTTCCACGGTACTGACTCTCGCTGACGACATTACTGCGGCTTTACGGTCGTTCAAATTCTCCAGCTGCTCAAAATCTCTCGAGCCCCTCTATGAATGCTTCAATTGCACAATCTGTAGATGGCAGATCCGAAGCAAGCGTAGATATTCCTTCAATCATATCATAGGAGTCTCAGAATTGAAGAGAAGGCGTCCACGAAACAAGAATTAGCGGAAAAATTTAACATTATTGATTAGCGGTAAAATTGAATAATGTTCAATTTTTCCGCTAATTATTGTTTTGTGGTCATTTTCTCAGGATAGCTCGAATCTCTACATCTTTTGATGCTAATCAGGTCTGTGATCGGATGCTCCGCAGCATTGAATCGGAGCATTAGAATTGAAGAGGAAGTGTCCACGGAAAGGGAATAAACGAAAAAATGAACAATATTCATTTTTCCGAGACCCTCCGAAGAACATGAATTAACGGAAAAACGGAACACTCTAAAACATTTTAAAACGGACACACGGGCAAACGGAGAGTATCCGAGACTGCTCTCTCGATCATCGACTTCGAATGTACTCACGAGGAGGAGGAACACAGGCATCGGATCTGGACAAAACGATTGTGATAAAGAACTTGGAGATCGTCCGCATGTCCTTGCCAAATCAAGACCAGAAGACGGACACATCATTGAACACATGCATATGTTCGGAATAAATGCTCGACTAGAATTCTTGACACGAGTCATGTGGAATTTGGTCGACACTAGAGGTGTGCAACTGACACAGCACGTACCTCGATGCAACAAGGGTCGTCCCATGAGAATACCACGAGAGGCAATTCTCCTCACCCGCCGAGGTGCACGTCCTCGGGAATCGCCTCGAACGTGGAGACTCGCTCCTCTTCTTCTCAGCCAATGAGCCAAACCGAGAGCTCGAAGATGGCCTCATTGGCTCCAAACATGGATCCTTTATACCCTTCAGAGCGAGAGTCCGACGGAGATTGCGCTTGATTTCTCCGAAGAAATAGAAGTTTACAGGTGTGAAGACTGGTCAGCAAAAACAAAAGTAATGGATGAATTAGTATGAATTGCCTCCCTGTTGGTCGCTAGACTATAAAACTCTTACTTTTAACTCATCATATTCACTGTCAGCATCAGATTTCCGAGCTTGCTTTTGATTCTTTATGAGCAAATCTGTTCAAAATATCTAAAGAAAAATAGTTACTCAAAGTCTTGACGTTTTCTAACTTCCGGAATATGAATATGTTAATGAATCTGATTTGACTATACCATAAAGTCTTGCACGAAAAAGCTTGTTACAATAATATCTTTTTACGATTATCCAGTCAAACTAGTAAAGAAATTCCATACAATTATCAATGGCAACGTCGCTGTTACAATTAATTCCGTAAAATAAAATAAAACCACAATTTTTGCATTTAACTTTTCTCACACTCTGACACGGTGTTATAGAACATATTCTAAATTGAAAGAATCTTCTTGTGTTGCTTTGAGCTCCACAATAAGTAATTTATAGCTCATTGGAAACAATTGTCTCTAGAGCATTATGGCATATTGCAAAAAGAATCGAGAATCTTCATCACCTGATATTCTCACCTTTGCATCATTCTCAAATGGGAGATGGGTGAGTCATACCAAATAAACGACGCAGCCTTCATAAGCAGCGACTCCATCATTTTATTTGCCTAAAACTATTTTTGATTCTGTATATTACTGAAGTATTGTGCTCATATACAGCGACTCCATCATTTTCTTTGCCTAAAACTATTTTTGATTGTGTATATTACTGAAGTATTGTGCTCATATACAGCGACTCCATCATTTTCTTTGCCTAAAACTATTTTTGATTGTGTATGTTATTAAAGGATTTTGCTCATATACAGATAGGAGCAACAGTCTTAAATCTAAACCCAAAACATAAGAACTCTTGATGAGTATAATGAGTGTCTTAATATTTCTAAAACCCTCCCTTATTATGAAGTCTATTCTTTTTCATAACGTTAATTTCAACCTTGGCGGATCTGAGTGGTAATGGCAAGGTCGTTAGCAAAGAAGTTCAAGAGTACTTGTGGTCAATGCTCTTCAAATATCCAAATAAACCGAGTGTGCTCATGAGTGAAAGTCAACAAATACTTGAACTAGTGCCGGCTTTAAGTGATCCACATAGGTCATTGTGAATCACCTCCAGTGTCCAAGTTGTTTTCTTTGAAGGTCGTTTGAATTTCTTTGCTCAGTGTTGTTTTGCGAGTACACATGCTTTGCAGTGAAGATCTTTGTCCACTCCAAGTTGGAAAAAACCAGTCACAAAGTGCTTGGAGGTCACATGATGAGCAATCTTATGTTTAATATGGCAGGGCCAAGATGTCATATCAATGATGTCAAGGGCAGTGAAGATCTTTGACCACTCCAAGTTGGAAAAAACCAGTCACAAAGTGCTTGGAGGTCACATGATGAGCAGTCTTATGTTTAATATGACAGTGCCAAGATGTCATATTAATGATGTCAAGGACAGTTGGATTGCTCAGAGGAAGATACTTTATGAGATCCACAAAGGTAGGATATGAGAGTGAGTCTGTGGTTTACCATATACTTCAAACAGTTGAAGAATGCATAGAAGTGTCAAAGTGACTTCACATTGACTTGTGATTTTGGAAGAATGGAGTACAACTCTATCTTTGGATAGCGTGCATTATATAAAACCTTATTGTGTGATATCAGCTTTAGTTATATGTTGTGTTTTTTAAAGTTTTTTGTCGGTTTTTGTTTAATAATCAACTCGCTGATGTGTCAATATTCTTTGGGCTCTATAGGAATTGCCGACTTTGATTCATTCTGATATTTTTCCATTATAAGTTAGGGTGATTAAAATTAGTGAGCGGATTAAGGTATTACATTATAGTTAGTGATTTTAAAAAAAGTTGAGTGTGAAAATTGGGAAACACGTTGAGAAAAAGAATCATTTGTGAAGAACTATTTATCTTGCTCAGAAAACATGAGTGATTGTTTTTGTGTGTATTTCTCACCAAAATTTTGTATAGATAGTGAGAAGTAAAAGTTTGACAACATTGATCTTGGTTATAAACTCAAACTACTTTCATTGAAGAGTTGCAGATAATAGACTTTTGAACTTTACGTTACAAATTTATGTGAATTCTGTTGGTTTTAGAGATGAAAATCCCTACAATGGTATTGTAGGGATTTTCAGAGCATTGTAACATTGATCTTGATTTTATAGCTTTGTCAATTTTGTCTCCGGCACTTGATTCACTTATCAAAACGCTTTGTAGAGCGCACCGGTGAACTAGAAAGTAACCACGATATTTGTTTAGAGGTTAATTCTTGTGAAGTAATAACCTCATGTTCTAGCTTTCTATAGCTAGGTTTGTCGCTGGTGTTGGGAATATACATAACTCCAAGGTTTCTACTCCGTACGATTTGTTAATCAGAGTGAACTACGTCATTCGACGTGTCTCTCGTGTTTTTGTCTGGCTTGAATATTTCACTGCTATTTTTGGTTTTACGTTTATGATATATAAATTCCTCATGAATTCATCACAACAAAATGTATTCAGTTTCAACTTTTGGGATCTTTTGCCAGCACCGAGAATCGAGATAAATTTAATGACATTGGAGATTTCCGCATTTAGTGGCAATGGAATCGAGAGTAATTTAATGACATTGGAGACTTCCGCATTTAGTGTCGAAAACTCTCAGAGCTCCTCACCCAACAGGGATTGCTCATGACCATCTCCGACCCAATGCTCTGGCATGAAAATATTTCCCGAATTCAAAGAATAGAAGTATCTGAAATCTTTAGGGGTATGTGATCTATAGAGGACATGATTAGTGTTCCTCTTTACTAAAACAGTATGTAAATGGCCGAAAAGGACTATATCCACTAGCTAGCTGAACTCCGAACTCGAGTCCTAGTGTGCTTTGGACACTTCAGTCAGTACCCTCATCCGTTGTACGTCAAAGGAACTCTCAAGGTTTGATGCAATGGGCATATTGAACGTATGTTCAATAGTCTTCAAGGTTACCGCCCTCCAACCATAACTAAAGTCACTGGATTGTAATTCACTGTGGGCAGATACAACCGTGTTGGGTCAGCCCAATCTCCCACTTACTTCCAAGTGCAAGCCAGGGGAGAAAATGGCTGGGATATTGCTTAATAGCGACATTGAGCTGTACATTTTTTTTCATAGCTTGATGATATAATATTGTAGCTTAGCTCCTCTTACAATGGTTTTAAATCTTTTGGATGGTGTAAACGGCCCCAGCGCGACATTTGAGGTACCCTACCAAGAGTTCCAAAAATAGCATATCGTTAACTCACTGTAACTTTCTTTACCTGTCACTCAATGCTGAAAGCCACATCCGTGGCGCTTAAATGAACAGCAAATTTGACTATATAAACTGGACTCACTTGCATAGGTCACCCTTCTTGTAGCCGCAAATCAGTGGGGTATTTATCGATGGATATGCCCTTTCCTGTTGTATTGTGTATCGGGTACTGGAGAGCCAACAGTACAGTACTAAGAGCACTTCTGCAAAACCGTATCCGCAACCCATGACGATGGAAAGTCCGCAAGTAGGAATTTCACACAGCTTACACGACGTAAAACTACATGCCTTTCATGTGATTTCAAAGGTTTCACTAAAACTCAACAGTGGCCATCGAACGGGAGAACACCATGTGCTGAGAATGCGACTGACTGCCGTGAAAACGCCAAGATTCCCGAGACAAACGAACCCTTCGATTACCAGTGAGAGAAAATAACTACTATCCACAACAAAACCACCCTCCAAAAGAAATCGATCCTTACAAATAATTTCTAGGGAGACTTTATGGGACCTCAGCTCGTCAGCACTTGGAAGACTAGGACAGGTGTTACCTCCGACCCAGGAAATGACAACGACGGTAAGCTTTCATGTATGTTAGATGACGAATGGGGTGCCTCCTAGACGACGTACTGACACACCTCAGTTAGTCTTTCCATATACGAATTTGAAGCTCCAGATGTACTAGTATCTTCTATCTCAAATGCAGCTGGTACCACAGACATTGAGCGCTGGAACTGAGCATTGACACCCATCTCAACATCTGATCCACAAACCACCATCTGTACAATGTACCCACCTGCTTACCATCACAAAACTAACTGGAGGTTTGCAATTTCAATATTCCTGGAATTTGGACCTACTTTCAGATAGACCACCAACTCGAAAAGATAACTCGAAAGGGCCATATACACAAATACCCCAGATCAGATCCAGACAGTTTAAATGATTCAGCCTCAAGGATGATTCGGAAACAAGAACTCAGCGAGCCTTTGGATAGACAGCAGCTATATTACAAGCAACGAGACATTAAATAACCAAGTCTCCAAGTTGAATAGACCCAGCTGGGCCTGGCTGCTTCATGCGTTGATGCCGTACATCAGAAACGGGTACTGTAGAGGAAGTGTTGCAACCAAATGATCACTGGCAGAACACCAGTAACATGTGTCCATGATGCAACCAGGTTCTTAGGCCAAGCATGGTCGTAACTGCTGCAATCATGCCAAGTCGGCAAAAGAGAGGTCATCTCCTCCATTGAGGTGAATTCCCCCCAAGGGATTCTAGAACTTGGATTGAAGTCTTGTAAGCTGTGAGGACCATGCGCACATGGCAACTTGATTGAGACTGTACTGGCAGACTCGGGAAAAGCGATGAACTGCCACCTCGAAAAAGAACATTTCAGCCTGATAAGACCTCGATTCAGCGCGTTGTTTTGAGCGCTGAATCAGATGCAGAGAGATTACAATTGAGACAGCCTTAGTGAAGGCTGTAGATGGTAGCAGTTTCGAAAGATCAGCTCAGCACTAGAGTACATTCTTGTGGACTAACACTGATCCATTTCAAGATGTATGTGGCTTCTTCTGCCATTAGAGAGTAAATGCTAGGTGAGGAAGGCAGAACACGATGTTGGAGAGAATGCAATCAACTGTACAATGACAGCTTCCTCCCATCAGACTACTAAACCTTTGCAATCTACAGGAAGAAGACCTTGAGCTAAATCACTTCAGAAGCTCGATAGCAACAAAGGCTACAAAGTATGACGGAATCAATATGGGACAGAATAACCTTATTCTTGTCCCGAGACAACCTCCATTGCTGCCACTTCAAGGGGAAAGATAGTCTGATCTTGGCAAAAACCCTATGACATGGAAGGAAGGAGACAGGAACATTTAGTTGCCCTAAAAAGCTTACTGCTACAATAAGTGCAGCATCCAGCAAAGAATTGTTGATCGTCTCCTAAGAAATATGCTACAAAGAGAGACAGGGCAGAAAGAGAGAGAGAGAGAAGGAAGGAAGGAACCATACGACTTGATTGAAAGATAACTCTCAAGCGGAGATAGGTTCATATGGGTAAGAAAGCCATGGATGTTTGAGAGCTTCTCCTGCTGTAGGTCGGCTTGCTGGATTAATGTGAAGCAAGTATCCAACAAATTCGACAAACCCTTGATCCCCCATGGGTAGCCTATGCGAAAGGGATGTTTTCTTTGGTCGAAGATACTCCAGTTGATCAGTGTCCTGAGAACAATCAGAAACTCAGGTTAGTTCAAGAGTAGCAACCAAAAGCAGGAGTTGAAGATAACCACTGAAGGACTACAGCCATGAAAGTCAACTCGGAATAGCGGCTCGGTTGCGAGACTGAGCAATCTAGGGGACAAAACAGCGTTTAAAGACCGCCGACGGCGGCACCTTCAGTACAATTTTCTTGATATGGGAAGCGAGAGGAAAGAAAGTCAAATTAATAAATACCAGAAGAGCAATTAAAACATATATTGCAAGTTTCCCATGACCAGCCAGCAAAGAAAGTTACATATAGTATGCATTGCTGGCTAAAAAGTCTGATGCATGAATACCTGATTTCGCTCGTAAAGCATGTGATTCTTTGTAAAAAATTTATGTGTATCGCGACCTTTCGACAGCATTTCTGGATCAATAGGTCCTAGAATTCCAACAACCCGAGCCAAAAGAGTCGCAAGAGAGTCGTTTTGAAACAAAACCTGCAACCAACGATATACGTTCGTCTCAAAACCAAAAAAAAACAAAAAAAAGGTCCCTGCTTTCTATATCGACACAATCCAAATGACCAAAGAGTAACTGGAACACTCCAATAGAAATGTGATCTATATCAAATGAAAGGGAACTGCACGTTTGAACTGTTAAAACTCAGAGCCGTCCATCCTTGAAGTCAATGTAGCAAAGAAGTTTGCACTTAGATTATGAGCAAGATAGGTCTGTCTCTACAGCGTAACAAAGTCACTTGTCCACACACAAAGAAAGATATAGAGCACATTCATAAACTTACGTTCCCCGAGCAAAGCTCTGCCAATATGCAGCCTAGTGACCACATATCGATTTTTTGATTGTAAGGAAGTCCCAGAATGACTTCAGGAGCCCTGTATGATCGCGACTGCACGTACGAGCACAGATGGTCTGTTTGGAAACAGCTACTACCCAAATCGATCACCTTCACCTCACAGCGGCTGTAACTCTTTACCAGTATATTTTCAGGCTTCAAGTCGCAATGTATCAGGCCAAGTCCATGAATGAATTCTAACGCTTCCAGGCACTGCCGTGTTATCGACTGAAACGCAAACAAAAGAATAGATGGGTGTCAAATATCAACAACTACACAGTGTTATTCAAAAATATTACGTGCTAGGAACTATTTCTGCAAAGGCCATACCTGGAGTCGAGGCATTGTAAAGTAAACCTCCCCACCAGACTCTCGGTTGTACTTGTGGAACTCGTACAGGTTGGCTCGGAGAAGCTCGCAAACTATGAAGAGATGCTCCTGCATGGTCAAAGGAGAACAAACGTCCAGTCTTACGGGAACCGAATTGGGAAAAGAGGTGGACCAATTCAAAAGAACGTGCGACAAGCAAAGGTTAAGACCAAAAGGCTATGATCCTTCTCAGAGGCCAAGTCTAGAATGTAGCTCCATGCTTCCGAAAGTACAAAACTACATGAAGTCGTAGTGTAGGCAGTGTACCGAGTTGTAAATGACAAAGCCCAACCTCTACCTCGTAAGTTCAGAGCAGGAAGACAGCATACCCGGTGATAGAAATAGTCGTATAGACGCAAGACGTGGTACTTGTCTCCAGGATCGTGCTTGTTGATATATTTCAGTAGTTTGATCTCGTCCAAACTTTGATCAAAAAAGTCTTTGTTATTTTTGATGATTTTCATACAAACGTCCATTCCTGTATGCAAATCATGCGCTTGAATAGCCTTGCTAAAGGCAGCTGATCCCAAGTATTCAGTAACATGGTACCGTCCAGCGATTACGGAATTTATCACCACTGGGAAATCTTTGTTCTCCTCGAACCCAGTTCTGATCAACAACGAAAAACTGTCAAAAGGAAAGACCAGGAATGTGTATACGGTACATATTCAAAACATTACAACAAATTCTGCACAAAATACACATTAGAATTGCGGTTTTCTACACCGCTCGATATCATGGACATAATCAAAACACTGAAAATAACAGAAGCATAACCAAACCAGTCGACGATGCCAATCAGTTACTATATACTTGGTAAACAAAAGACACGTGGAGCCATACTAAATTCCTTACGTGTAAGACGACTTTCTAATTTTTAGAAGGATAGGAACAGAGGACCTGTTTTTCCTGTGTACGATCTTGAGATTGAATGTTTCAAACTCCTCTTCTTCAGCTCGTATTCTTCGTATCTGCTCCTGAACAGCAGCGGCCTCCTCGTCATCAGCTGCCACAGCATCGGCTTCCTCCTTGTTGATGTTATTCATCTCCACTTCCTCGTCATCATCCCCTTCTTTGAGTTCTCCACTCCCATAGCCATCGGTGGATCGTGCTGAAATCGTAGAGCCGGTAGAAAGAGTCAAGTTTCGGAGGGTCTCATTTCGAGGACTGATAATTGGGGATGATTCATTGCTCTTGCGTTTCCATACAGCGAGAGTGTCATCTGGACCAACAATTCCATTAGCATATTCATCACCCTCATCACCTCTACCAGGGGTGACAATATCCCTCACTGACCACAACGATTTACCCGAATCTGCCCTGGACATCACAGCAATTTCCCCTGCACTAGACGGAGATGGGAAAGAAAACCCACCAAACCCAAAGCCACCTATTTCTTGCTCTTCTTGGAAATGATTCTCAGCATTCCCATTGGTTCCCTTACCTCCACCTTTCTCTTGCTCATACAACCTGTCCCTCTCAGAGATTTGTCTGTCAGCACTTTCCCTTTTGTGGGACCAGGTCTCGTTGTAGAATCTTAAAATCATTTCATGATCATGATCAACTTCCTCTTCATCAAGATTCCTATCAGAGGCATCTTTAATGACCTTGTGACTACCTTCTAGGTCATTGTATCTATTCTTAGGAGACTCGGATTTGCTACTTTCTCTACCATGAGCTGATCCATATACCCCCATCTCACGGTCCTTGAGGCTCTCTAGATCCCCATCACTGCTCCCATCAACTACACTCTCCCTTACTTCGCTGCCAAACTCAGCCACTTCACTGCTAATGCCAATACCACCAGACCTTACTGAACCAACATCCTCCCGAGCTCTCTCTTGTACAGTTTTGTCATCTCCTTCAACAAGACGACTCTCTTGAGCAGCAAACCCCTGCCAAACTGGCTCCCCTTGTATCATGTTCAGCTCCTCCACATCCAGCAGCTGCCCATCATAGTCAGGCGTCTCACGCAAATGAGCCCCAGTCTGCCTCCTCAAAGCCCCCATTTGACTCTCTTCAACACGACTGTACAAATCATTGGCAGCAAGTCGATCCATCTCATTTTGCACCTCTCTGCGCTCACCTCTCTTCATCCGATAATACTCTTCTCCAGAAAAATATGACTCTTCCTCCAAGATTGAGCGATCATCATCCTCATACTTACCAAAATCCTTGTCATGATGGCTTCGACTGCTCTCCAACCCAGGGCTAGATCTTTCATCGGGGTAGTCAATTTCATGAGCTAGAAACCATTCCTCATCTTCTATTGGCTGCCTGTGGTAGCCAGGGTCATCGTCATCATCATATGTGTCAGAGTCCCAGTACTCGTCAGGATACTCTACAAGAGACTCGCTTTGACCGTCCCCAACTGTTGCAAAACCCGACAGCCTCTCCGAAGCATCCTCGACAATGCCTTGGCTCACAGATGGACGGCTACCTCCACTAAGCCTCCTTGCCCCTGAAAATAGGACATCCATACAATCAGAGTCTTAGCTTGGGAACCTCTGCTGCTCATACTTCGCATACGGAAGAATCCCAAGAGTTCAAGTTGTCATACGTGATCACAAAACAATCAAATACCATATATTTTCGGCTCCAGTGCGGCAGCTCCAGATGGCTACGTACAAATTGGTTGTATAAATTGGAAAAAAAATCAGAAACTGAAAGCAGGACGGTATGTTCCGGCAAAGAAAAGTTTGCGGTCACCTGTGGAGTGGACTATGCGAGAACCAGGACCTCATAAGCAGTGGTAAAATTTATCAAGTGCCAGAGGTGAGTAAACAATCCTTCGTTGAGAACCACACAACATGCATACGAACGACTACAGATAGTATCGAATATCGTCTAAAATGCCATGAGAACAGACAGGCCTTTAAAATTGCAGATTACTACAAGGGCTTCTCTGCATCGACAGGTTATTCTACAAACAGGGGCGTCCACATGTTCATACCTGAAGACGACACATCCTGGCCAACAGGAATGTCCAAAAAGGATCCCAATCCGAACGCAGCTTCGGCAGAACCTCCAATATTCACGAAAAGTCCTGAGTCGGCAGATGGCCTCGAATTGGCACCTCCGGAATCTGTTGGCTTCGTATCACCTGACCTAAGTCGAACGGGTGGCAGCCTCGGCAATTCTTCTTGGACATCAGGGAAGCTCCTCGACGTCCCTTCTAAAACCTTCAAAGCTCCGTCTGCGCTCCTAGAACGTTCCCTAGATCCCCTACCACTATGTACATTGTTCGACACCTCTACGGCTCTCGTCTTTTCTTGTGGTGGTTTTTCTTCCCGTGGTGGACATTTGACACCTTCAACAACAAATGTTTCCACAATAGGCAGCTCACAGGTAGACGAAGACTCTGGAGGAGAGAAAGGAAAGCTGGTCTTGATGGGAACATCCTTCCAGGGTGTTATGGACGTGCTGTCTCTACTTACCCCACCGTTCTCGACTATCCCCTTCTCTTTGAGGTTGGAAGCATGAGAACCTCCGCCACTCCTCCCATGGTGAGCTTTCTCGGCATCTTCTACAGAAGATTGCCCTTTGCTAGCTCGTTCGTTGGCAATTAAATCGCGGACAAGCATTGGCTTTTCAAGGTGGTGACCACCATTTTCGTGCTGAACTCCGTTGTCCGGGACTTCGTTTAATACATCTCGTTTATCTTGATCAGAACTAGGTCTCTTCGTTGAAGGCTTGATTGTCTTCGGAGCCACGACCACAACAGGGGGCGGAACCCCTTGTCTATCCTGCTGCAAAGTGCCAATCCATTGAGGACTTCCAATCTGCTCAACTGCGTCTTCGTGCATTTGGTGGGCTTCCACCAATCTTACTTCCTCAAAGCTCACATCTTCGAGCTTCCTTGGTACTGGTCGAATCACGTCGCTTGTGACGACATGAAGACTCAAATCTTCCCCTGAACGAGGCGCATCATTGTGGAAAACCTGCTCACCAAATATAGAAGTCGCTCCCTCTCTCCGAACAGAGGCCTCTTCAAGATGTTTCTTCGGCTGTTTAGTGACAGCTGTTGCCTTCTTATATTGAGGTCCACGACTAAAATCAGATCCATGAAGACCAGTTTGTAACCCTAGTACATCTCCTGAAGGGTTGACTTTTTCGAGGGCAGAGCCTGCCGGGAGTTGGGCACCAAACTTTTCGTGCCTCGGAGACCTGGGGGAAGTTGGCGAGCTGAGTTTTTCAATCCCAGAATCAACGAACACTGCCTTCTCCTCGAAGAGTTGTTGAGAACTCTCCCGGAAACCTATACCATCGAGCGGTTCTGGCTTGCTGTGTATAAAATTGAACCCTGCCTGTGCGCCTTTCGATCTCTCCGGAGACGCTAGAATAAACTCAGGCTCGGGGCAGATGATTCCTTGATGTTGAGCATCTCTCTCTTGCATCGCCTTGTGAAATACGTTGACATTGAGGTCCGCATCATCCTCGAGTGGGAGAGGAAGAGGACCATTTACCGTCTGCCTTGCGGTGAGTTCTGATCTAAGGGCGTTTTCTGCCTCCGAGAAATTGTGCTTCCGCAAGTACTCCAGAATGGCATTGACCGAATCCGCCATGGCTGGATATGATTGAGATCACGTGTAAACGCTAGTACTACGTCTTCAGCATGTAGCGTGTCACGCAACTATCTTGCGTGCAAGCCCCGACTCCGCCTAGCTTTTTCAGAAAATAATCTTCTGCTTACGATGCCATACCAATAAGGAAACCACACGACCTTCTCAAACCTAAAAAGGCCTGCAACAAGAACCTGTCTTTACGCAAGCATATCTTTGGCTCGCGTTACCTCGTCTCTACCTGGAAATCCAATGCAGCCGGCGACGAGCCCTACCACATTGCGTCAACGAAAGATCTCCGAGAGGAAGTCGGAATCGTCCATTGTCGCATTGCCGAGTTCCCGGTCCTGGGTTCAAGGCAAACTGCACCACCCAGGTTTCGGAGTTCTGTATCTAGTGGTGCATCCTAAGTAGACCGTCTCAGGCCCGTAAACCGCAACAAGTCCAGTTCGTTGTACGGGTCAGCTTATTCCAGATGCAACGAAATGACAATAGCAGTTCCCTGATCGTTTCTCCGGTTTACTGTCGCCTGCCAAAGATGTGGCTACTTTAATACCTGACGCTGGAAACGCTAGTTCTGTGCTCCAAACCATCCTTCTGCAGCCGGAATTAACGCGAGTTCGCATTCGCTCACCCTTTTGCTTCTGTTAACCGCCGCCACCCTCACAAGGCCATAGAATACGGAACTCGATCTACTATCCGAATGGAACCATAAGAGAGGACAGTTGTTCTTATGTTGAACCCTGTAGTGGCCCCCCTCCATCAGACGAGCTACTTGATTTCTGGACTAGACAGCACTCGGCCTCGATACCGATAGTCCGCGACGGTCGGGCGTTCGAGTGGTGCAAAGCCTTGATTAAGTGGGACGTCTTCCAGCTCGCTCCTTCCTACCTGCAACGCTACCTGAGAACTGGGTGATGGGCGCACGAGAAAGAGTGAGTTTCACAGTGAAGGAAATGACAGCGAAACACGGGGCCTCGGAAGCCAAGGATCAACGAGCTCGAGTGCGTGGAAGCAGAACCTTGTAAAGCTTCATGTCCGCCCACCATAGAGCGCGGGCGAGAGCCTCATGAACACCGAAAGTTCCAGTCCCTCTAACCGGCCCCATGGCGCTTCCGTTCCTTCATCCCGGCTGGCGCGAGCGGGATGAGGGGCGATGATGAGCCGACCAGAGAGGACGATAAATAATCGAGCGAGCGCGACGACGGAACAGATCCGAAAGGTCACTCCAAACCACAATAATTTGAGCGGAGGCCGGGGCAGAGCAAAGCAGAGCGCCTGCGCAACCGAATGACAGAGCGCAACGGACTCTCTCGAACAAAACTACCTCCTGCCGCGCTCGACGCAGAGCACACAGCACACAGAGAGAACCAGAACCTTCACAGCGCCGAACCACCACCGTAGCACCACCGCCCGTATCACACGACGAGCCCTGATGAGCAACCGACCTCCCCGGCCCGCCCGCCAGCCAGCACCTCCTCGTCCTCGTCCGCAACAATTGACCAGTTTTCAAGGCCGACCAACCGAACAAAGCAACGCAACCCCATTCATCGTCGCTCCCGCTGCACCACCTCACTCACTCCTCCTGCCCTGCCCTGCCCTGCCCTCCCCTTCCCTTCCCCTGCCCCTGCCCCTCCTCCTCCTCCTCTACGACCTCCTCCCACTCCTACAACTCCTCCTCCTTCCGCAGACGACGCTCGGACTGTAACCCGTCCGCCCGGCTTCCCCTTCTCGCATGCTCTCCCTGCAACGACCCCCAAATGTCTCTCGCGGCTCCCTTCTCTCGCCCCTTTTCCCACTCCAAGGCACGGCCATTCCAAGCCAAACCCAATCCCAAGCCCGGCCCGGCCGGACCGGACCGGACCGGACCACTACGACGACGACGTCACTGCACACTCGGGTTCAAAAATATTTTATCCCACCGCCGCTTCCCCTAATGTCCACAGTGCCTTCCTTTAATCTTCCTCCATCCTTCCTTCCCTCTCCGGCCCGACTCGGAAGGGCTCGGAGTCCGCTTCGGTTTCCGCTTCGGTTTCGACGGACGGGACGAACATCGGAAGGTGCGTCCATCTCATTTGGCCCTCGGCTGCTGCTCCCGCTGCTCGGGCTGGGGCTGGGGCTGGCACAGGTCTGGGCCTGGGCTGGGCTGGCGCTCTCTCGACTGCTGCTACTTCGTCCGGTTCGCGACGCCGTCCGATATTCGACTCGACCACGCTCCCACGCGCCTCCCCCAATGACATGGCCGTTTGCGACTGGCTGGCATGACCGGCCACGTGTGCTCCGCCTCATTGCTTCCCCGCACTGCGCAATATTGTTCGTATATAAAATTGTTCGACTTAATGGGAGTTTAAAATCTCTGCGCTGTCAGATTCCAGAGATCGGACGGCTCTCCGGGCGTAGCTCAGTTTCCGTTATTTGCGATGGTCTGGACCAATAACACGACAGAACCCACTTGCAGGAGGGGAGAAGACGGGAGCCGAACCCCTAACTCTAACTAACTCCCCGACAGTGTCCAACCAGGGTTAGGTGCTCTGGGTAGTAGACTGAGGTGAAGCGAACCCTCGTTGTGCTGTGGGGCCGTTCTTCCAGGACAATAAGGTCGGCAATTGGCGGAATCTCGCTCGTACAATTTGAGCTGCCGAGGACGCACGAGAACGTAGATTCACATGATTATCGACTAAAGGTGAGTATTTTGCAGGAAGATCGTATGGCGAGCAGGGTGGGAAACTCGGTGTCGAGCAGCACGTTAGATCTGGTCGAGGACCCGAGGCGAGATCCGTTCCCATGGCCACGGCCACCTCACGGCTCTGACTTTCGCAGCGAGAACGTGAAAGAGGAGAGTTCCGTTCGCCGATTGTACCGGCCTCCAAGTTCCGCCAGCGCCCGCGCTGACGGTGTTGCCCGCGAACGTTGTGGAACTCACCCCATTTGACCGGACTCGCGGGGAGTGACATCCGCCTCCGCCAGCCCTTCGTCGTCCTGTTCACGGTTTTGTCGAAGGGTGAATTATTTTCGTGCTCCGGTTACTGAAAGCGACGGAACGGGAAACGGAAATGGCGCCGTCGACATTTCGTTGACTGCCTCCTTCGGTTGAACTTCGAGTGCGTTCTCTTCGAGTTGCGCTCGGTAGGTACGAGGCAGGACGCTCACTTTCTTCTTCGAGTGCGGGAGCTCGTCGTCGCCTCTGCCAGGATCTTGCTTACCTGGCCGAGGCGATCTACACGCTCTTGGGTAACTTCTCATGCTCATTTATGTACACAGGGGAGAAGGATCTCCATGTCGTTCCATAACTTCGTGGTATTTGTGTGAACGAACAATGTGCGTAGTAAAGACTGGAGAACGTCAGGTTTCATCACCAATCCCAACGAGGACATAAAAAGCTTGTACTCTACCAACCTCAAACATAATCATGTTCTTATTCATTGCGATGTCACGGGACGTGGCCGACAACTAACATTCAAACGAACTGCGCCATCAAGGACTTACCCACCGAACTTCAACCCTAACCGTGGTTCTGCGGGATTCCGTGAATCGTTTACTCCCCCGGTAAAGACCAACCAACCTACGATCCGGGCTGGAACGTAACTTCAGGTCAAATGACATATGGCCAACATCATGGGAGCCCCTTTGCAATGCCAGGTCAGTAAATGGAAGAATGAAGATCTACTATTGCGACCAAAGTTGACGGTTTCAATCAAAGGATGATGGACAAAATGTTTTTTATTCATCGAAATCCATTACATTTATTAGGCTTCTACAGTGTGTTCAAACACTTGGGTTTCGACAGACGCACCTGTTCCAAATTTTTCGATCACTGTGCCGATTTTTGTTATCACGTGTATGCCTACATACCAGAGCCTAAAGTCTAGAGCCCTCTTTTATCATTCGACGCGTCCCATGGCATCACAAACATGGCTTCATCGAAACAGGATATGCGACTAGGTGGTGGCGTTCGCAAATTCCCAGCACCAAAAAATGAAGTGAAAATCATCAAATCATCAGAGGAGAGAAACGTGTGATCGTCTTCTCAAGGGTCCATATCGTGTGTCATCCGCTGTCAAACGACACAAAAGCCACAGATTTTGAACCAAGGTGCTGCTGTGCAGTAATGTACGTAATTACAGTAGACTTGAGAAACCACGGTGGCGATGGTGTAATCGACTTCGTCCTGGATTCACAATGTTCCTAATGGAGCCCTAATTCGGTGGCGAACAACGAAGAGGCGCAAAAGGTCGCGGAGCCGCCAGAAGCGGGAGGGGGCTGGAACAGAGTGCTGTGACACGTGTGCTATGCGCGTCCATGTGTATACATGACATGGTCATGCGCATGGACGGAGGCTCTTTGTCCACTGCTGTCAGCATATGCTTCTGTGCGTTTAAAGGCACTGTGACGAAGTAAAGTTGGAGTACGAGTAAAGTTGCATGAAATTTTCGATTCAGCTCGTCCATGTCGTTGGTACACTTCCATTAAACGTAGGAGTGAATAATCGAGGCCATTACGTGTTCAATCTGTTTGGTGAAACGTGAGTATAAAGTGCTCGGTGATATAAAGCTAGCGACATGACTTCTAGAAGTTAAGACAACTTTGATTGTTTTTCCATTTCTTACTTCAATTCGTCAATTGTCCAATGCGTCTGGTCTTTCGTCCTTGTAGCCTGCGGTTAATATTCTGAATATTCTTGAAGATACTTCGATTGGATCTACTTTGTTCTCCTCTTGTTAATTTCTCTCGAAACTAGCACACAAAAGTATTCTCCAACTGTTGCTCCAGTTGCAATACCAACTACGAGACATCTACTACTACGTAGTAGATACCGTGCAAACATCACAATACTAAATTATGAATTATCATTTGCTTTAGATCATTACATAAAAATGGTATGTTCGTGATGAGCGTGCAAACACCACCATATTAAATTATGAACTATCATTTTCTTATAATCATTACATAAAAATGGTGGGTGTAATACACATGAGAAATCATCATGGTGTGTGATGTTTCTTAGGGTGCAATATATTTTTCGTTCGAATGAGATAAGTCTTATATATAGAAAGAGGAGACAAATTGATAGTGTAAATACATAACATAAGGTGTTGTATGATATATTTTCTATGACGATGTAATTGAAGGTAACCCCAATGCTGCATCGTTGTATGTTTTAATGTGTTCTTCTTGACCTCCTTCATGACATTGTAATTTGTACTTTTGGACTTGCAGAACTCCATCTGCAAATAAACTTAGAACCACGCGTGGAGGACAGCTAAGTAAAATTTTGCCTATTTTTCTGCTTTACCTTCATGCGATCTTCATGCCGTGGTGTCTAACCTGGGTGGCAGGTGTGGAGTTACTTCCTCCCCAGCGCCGTACATGAATATGTCTTACAGTGACGTCATCAACTGGCAGTGATGTATTCATTCCAACTTTGAATGATTCGGATGTGATACAGAACCAAGTATGGTTAGCAGCTGTAAGTTAATACTTACATATACTCTATATCTTTCAATCATTCGCCATACATTCGTATCTTTCGGTAAGATCGGAGAGATTTAACCAACTTCAGTATATCACAATGACAAATATCAACTAGAAAGTCAAAACTCAATCTAGACAGACCACAATAATAACTTATTCTTCGTGAACTTTTGAAAGCTCTGCTCAAGGTAGACATAAAAGATCGAGTGGCCAAGCAAGGACAAATGAAAATTAAGTTAACCACATGGCCAGATTTTATTCAAAGAACTTAAAATTTGTAAAGGCTCCCACGCTAGCAAATCAATGACGAGCTACTAGGAATTAAGATTGAAATTGTGACACAAAGTAGTTAAAATGAGTCGATTACGAATCTAAACTGGATAATATGCGACTCAAAGAGAAGGAACGAATCTGGCATTGACGACAGTGAACTACTAACTTGTCTTTTCTTCAACTTTCCAACCGTCGGTTAACTATGCAAATGCATAGCATACTCACCTCTTATCTGTCAGATAAAGCTAACTTACTTGAAGCATCTCCCCATGACGCTTCAAACAGGACGCTGTCGCTATTGCACTTTGTCCAAGTTTCCCCCGCAAGTCCGGCCAAACGCATAACACAATTTCACTTTGCTCGATTACGGTCTCGCTGATTGCTGTTGGACAAACTATGTTCAGCGGAGCACAAGTTACATCGGGGAAATGTTTCTCCATCAAGTAAGCCTCGCTATTGCTCAACTTATCAGAATCTTCAAATCTGGCATAAGAGCTCATTTTTTATGGTACTAATCTAAAATCAATCCAATAAACGTTGTAAATTAGAAAATTAAAAATCACTTGTGTCCATTTGAAAATATTCCAAATGCGTTTCCAAAATGTTTGGATCATTCCATGAAACAATTGATATCATTATGGATGAAGTTTGAAATGAAAAATGAAGTTTTCCACAACAAAAGCAACATCATATAAGATGAAATTAATTTGTTTTAGAAGATATTAATGATAATAATAAGTGGTATTTCAGAATGGAGAATTGTACCTAATACTGGGAGGTTATATGATGAAATGATTAGCTAGATGTTCCAAGTCCGGAAAGTGGAACCCAACTTTTTCTAAGTAAAATCAAAATTGCATTCTACATGTAAATCTTCGAGTTTTCTGATCTGATGTAAATTCAAACATATTTAAATTAAAGATCACATGATAGAAAATCATATACATAAATAATCTCATCTGTACAAAAATTTCAAAAATCCACATTGTCAAAATATGACATTTTCATCACAATTCAACATCTAATTCATTTTTGAAAACTGAGAATTTGATAAAAATATTTATCTGTAATGTTTTATAATAATAAATGTATAAATATTAAATCATATATATATATATATATACACGAAACTTACTGGATTTGACATGACTGAATTTATAATGAAGTCGCATAGTTTTTTTAATGATTTACAGTAGAAATATCAAATATCTTATACTAATCTTTCAGCTCATAACCCCAATGTTTTATGCACACTATTGATGTCATACATCTTCCGAGGATTACATAGTGAACGATCCTACTCTCCAATTTACGGAACACCAATTGTAAGAGGCCACTTGAACTGATTAATAGTACCCATGAATAAATTATTACAAAGCTAGAGATTTATGGTGATACATTATGAGAATTATACCAGCCTCAATTAAAATAGTACTTCCTCCAGCTCTCTTGCAAATCAATACATCTTTCTGGCTTCCATTTTAGTGATGAAAGTGATGTTTGTACATCATGTTGCCAACGCAAGTTCGGGTCAGTTGGTGCCAATCAGATCGATAAGTTCATCTATGTTACATACTTGCTAGATTCAATAAAACATGATTTGATTCTCACGATTTAAACAGACTTACCCACTTTCAAAATCTGCATATCTTAAAACAAAGAGATGAAACGTGCGTATTTTCGTTATAATACAAACTATGATACGTCAAGGTATAAAACTTTAAATATAAATTTTAAAAATATCGCAATAGAGGTGCAAGTACCAATTGATTACTTGTCCAATCACTCACAACCGTTTACCGGTATTAGAAAGACTAGATAAGAAAAACTGTATATTATAGTCGTTTATCGCAGTGAAGTCTAGCAGTTGTACACTGACTACTTTACCTTTTACGAATTTTTTATACATTATCAACTTTTACGTAAGAATTGTATGATTTTTTTGGGATTACCTTTAGATCACCTAAGAAGGTAGAAATACTTTATCATTGAATATTTTTTCATTTTATTTAATATTTTTTTACAAAAAATAGATTGTATTTGAAAAAATATATATTTCAGCATACGTTAGTAGAAGGAAATTCGATATCAGGATCTCTCTTTATCTTTTGTTAATTATACCACAATTTGTAATATACCTTACACACATATACACAGACATATATATATATATATATATATATATATATATATATATATATATCTATCCAACATAAGATATATATTATCAGTGTTTTTCAATGAGAGCTGTGACGTTAATCTATTCTTCTTTTCCTGAATGAATAGGATTAAACACATTTTTCTGTTTAAATCTATTCCAATATATGTTTTTATTTCAGAGACTTAAGTAAGAGAAAGTAAAGAATTATTTATAATTTCGGAAAGTGCCTGATACTTTGATTATTACCAATCTTGAATGCTATTTCCTAATATGAAAAATAACCACTTGATTGTTCCTGGAAAATACTGAGAACTGAGTAACTTTTTGGTTTTTGGCATAGAAATAATGCGAACAGAAGCGTTCATGCGTTCTGATGTGAGAAAAATCAGAACAGTGAACATTGTCCTCGAGAACTGTTTGAAAGATGTCACGCATGTTGTTTCTATCATGGAATAGTGATTCAACCATTATGTTTTATCGAAAACTTATGTTTTTGTAGTGGACGAGAGGCTTAGTATGGGATCGGCATTGAGTAGAGCAATCTCTGGTGGACTCAAGAGAATTTGGGGAAATTCTTTTGATAAATTGTGTGTAAATGGAAGAAGCAAGGAGAAGGAAACTGAACGAAGAGACACTTGTACGTAGCATTCGACTGCAAATCGGCATGCGAGGAGGGGTTCACAAAAGAGATTCCTGCCAACTTTGAAGAATTTGACTTGCTGGAATATTGCATGACGTTATGACTTCGATTGATGTTCCTCGCACTATAGAACAAGGAAGCAAAAAGGCCAACAATTCCGATCTTATTACGGTGAGATATTTAATGCTTTAGATCTACGCACAACCCGCAGGAATGATGGTTCTCTCAAAAGATTTTCTTACACTTATTTCTATGAAAAGGAATTTAAATGACGCCCGCTTTTACTCAAGCATAATTTTATACGGTATTCGCTTTTCGAAGGCATATTCTCATGCAAAGTCAATAATTGCAAACTGATTTGTGACCATTTTAGTATTGAAGAACATCCTTCAGAATGCTCTGTAAGCCTGATTCTTTTTCTCCCCTCAATGTCCTCTAGGGGCCGGAGGAACAAGTAAGAGAACAATAGTTAACAACAATGAAGTCTATCGATCCTAACTGGCGGGACAGCAAAGCGCACTGTGGTGGGCGAAGAATGTATTGTCGTTTAGAGTCACATTTACCCCCTAGCACAAACCTACAGCTCAGAGACGTGGGAAAAGAGAGAGGTATATAATCCAAAGGCATTTTGGAGATCGATGCAATCTAGTGGAGGATCGATATAAAACTCATTTCGGATCATGTTTTCGTTCGTATACCTCCCTCGGATCGCTCGTTTCAACGAGCATAGTTCGCAGGGGTCTACTCCCATGGCAGGGCATATCGGCTTCCATACGGAAAGCAGCCCCAAAGTTCACACTTCGTCTTATTATAAAATTAGGCACTTGACTTTCATCACGTTACGCAGTGTGATATCCGTACAGCTCTCCGTCCCGTGAACAGAAGGCAGAAAGGGGCCAAAGGCGAAGGCGGTCCGAGGGGAAGCGACTAATATAGCCTAAAGGATGGGAAGCCCCCCCATCGAGTCGCACGGGGAGGGAGGAACCCGAAGGGTTAGGACGGGGAGGAAAAAACCGGTGCCTTTCGCCGCTCTTTCAGGCGCCGGTACTTGCACGCTCCGTTCGCCGGCGGAGTTTGCCGGCGGTGCCTCCCAGCAAGCGTCCAAAATCGGAGACCCCGAGGGGTCGGTGAACAGAAGGACGGCATGAGCCATGCACGACCGGCCACCGCCTAGGAAGATCTCGTTTGACCGGCTGCGAAGACTGACCGTTGCCGCCCATCGACGACGCCGTGCAGCTCCCTTTGCATGGGAATCCGAATTTTCTCTGCAGCCGCTGCTCGAGCTCGAGCTCGTCGAGCACGACCGTTCGCAAATTCAAAGTTCAACGAGGCGGCCAGCAGCCAGCACTGGACCGATGCTGCTGCTGCTGTTGCTGTCGCTGCGTCCTTCTGCAAAATTGAGCTGCTTTGAACGTAGATGTGACTCGAACCGAATCTGCGGGTCCGGTCGGTTGAATTGTCGCCCTCTGGTTCGGTCCCAAAAGTGTGGATGCTTTTGACCGTCATCATGAGCTGGAGTATAAGGCCAAGGGTGTGTGCTCGTGGCTGGAATTCGGAAGCTCTTTTCACGGACCTCAGTTTGGAACGTTCTTTCACTCATCGTTTCTTTCCTTTCGGCAAGAGGAGGACGTAGGCCACTGTTTGGGATCACGAGTCCGTAGCTCTAGATTTTCTGCCACTTGAATTTTTAGCGGATACAACGAGGTCACATCGTCGCCATTTACGTGGCATTCACGTGCCTACACCTGACGTGCGTTCGGGTGATTTGGACTCCCTTCGTAATTTTCGTGAGTTCACGCGGCTCGTATACACTTGGCCGAACCAACACTGTCAAAAGAAGTTGCGTAACTCCATCGGTGATGATAACTGCGTCTGATCTCGTTTCATGATCCATATTCACGTATACCAGCTCGAAACCGTGAGAATGAAAATAGAACACAAGATCATGCTGTCACTTGCAGTCAATCCTTAAGAAGCCTCGACTGGAAGTCAGAAGCTAGAGTATTTTAGTCTCTCGTACGTCACAGTAGCCTGAGAACTAGACTGCTCGGTGGTGACGAGTTTGCAAATGGATACACGACTAGAAAGCTCGACTATAGATGAACTGTGGAGAATTTCGTGCTCCGGATGCAAGGAGGAGGAGCAGCAGAAAGAGGTGAATGACGACGAGGTCTTTCACAATGCCGAGCAGGAAAGAGATGAGGCAGGCAGTGAATATTACTCCGGTGAAGAGTTGACAACAGACGGAGAAGCTTTATCTCTACGGTTCCTTCTACGCACTCCATCCATTCGCATTCCAGAGGCTGCGGACTTCAACCCTTTCCAATCAGGTGTGTCTTGGCCCAAGACACAAGACTCTTGGGTCCTTTTGATCTGATCGTTCTTCTCACACAAGATGCAGACTTACTTTATTCGTTTTGTGAAGTCTACTTGTTGTCGACAAATGCATGATCATATACAGGAATCGATGACTGAGAACAATTACAAAGAAGTGGAAATCAAAAGTATTCCACTTAAATTTTGCCAAGTACGTACGTGCGTGCGTACTGACAGGCGTTTGCTTTCTTTGGGTGTTCAATTGTGACTGAGGAACGCTTCGCAGAGTTGAAGACCGGTATCGACACCCAAGCTGCCATCCCAACTACTGTCACGATGCATACCAACGAGCTGTTTAATGACAAAGTAGCTGTCGTCAACATAGAACAAGACTGCCCAAGTAGCGCCACTTCTACAAACGTTCCGACTCTGGTTCAGATTTTCTTGAAGGTTCGCTGTAATCAGATATTTTGTGCTTGTGATATTAGCTTCATCAGCTTCTTTTCGAAGTGGTTACAGCGTTCGAATTTGTTCCACGATCATGCGGTCTAATAGTTGTGTTTGTGACTGTCTTTTCAAATTACTCAAACCTTTTCCAGCTCTTCGACACAAAGACACAAATTTTATTTACTTGTCAGCAGTATAACCCGAAAAATAACAAGAACCAGTCCTAGACTAGCAGATTGCTTGCTACCTCCACATGGTAGGAGGATAGCATAGGAAAAAGATTAAAGCTTTAAGGCATAACTTTTAGCTTCGGCAATTGGCCCATGTGAGGTCTTTGGGAATCGTAACTTGCAACATTAAGCCTCAATAATCCTCGTTTTGTATCCTGTAGAATTGTTGTTTGAGAGGCGATACTAATAAACGGTCTGGCTTGCAGTTTGAAGATGTGAAGTATACGGTGATGCTCAAACCTCCGAAAAAGATCAGTGTCGACTTCAGGAAACATCGTCGTAAACAGCTGCAGTCAACAGAGAAATCGATACTCAACGGAGTGAGTGGTTTCGTGGCTCCTGGGGAAATTTTAGCACTGATGGGTCCGTCTGGCAGCGGAAAAACGTCTCTCCTGAACATTCTTGGAGGTAGATGTCATAACAAATTTTCTGGTAAAATCACATACAACGGAGCTGCTTACACTTCAGCTTTGAAGAGCAGGTTTGCATTCCCTTAACATTTCTTTGAGCTCCTTACAGGAACTATCAGGAAAAATGTGTCTAGTTTACTTTTTCGAAGTCTAGGCGCAAGAACTTGTTTTCATGAAAGTGCTGCTCCAGTTCTTGTTCCTCACAATGTCAAGTTCAAGTCGGAATTTCCCCAGGTTTCCAGCAATGTGATTGATTTGCGAGACGAGTCTCGTATGGCTGCAGGATTGGCTTCGTCACCCAGGACGATGTTCTCTTCCCTGTTTTGACAGTGAGAGAAACGCTGGTTTTTGCTGCTTTGCTCCGTCTGTCCCCGAAAATGAGCCACAGAGAGAAAATCCGACGTGCAGACACCGTGCTTCGAGAGCTCGGTCTTGACAGGTAACATTTTTCCTTTCATTCTGAGCTGTCCTTACTGGAGTTGATTGCCAAATTCGTTCACCCTATCATACTAAAGATCTCAGAGGCTTTTGTTTCCTGTCGCCATTCTAAGAGCACTTCCCCAGCTCTGAGTCGACAGTAGGACAGCCCTTCTTTCCCATACATTTGTCCATACACTCCAGCCACTCTACATTGGTGTGGGTTGAATGCTATAGAAGTAATGCTGTAAGTTGATTTGCTTACCGAGCCTCGTCTGGATCTGCCACATAGGTGTCAGAACACGATAGTGGGCGGCCCGTTTGTACGTGGTGTTTCTGGAGGCGAGCGCAAACGAACGAGCATTGGCTACGAGATACTGGTGGATCCATCTCTTCTACTCTTGGATGAGCCCACCTCGGGTCTGGATTCGTCTACTGCTCTCAAGATTATGCAAGTGCTTAGAGCTAACGCTCAGGTAATTGGTCTTCACGTGACTAAAATACGCCTCATCATTTAGACCAACTCTTTATGGGTTCCGGTGGCTCTTTTAGCAATCATGAGCACGTCCATCCTTGCGCACAGGAGTACGAGAGAATGAATTTATGATAGTTTATTTACCAAAGATGCGTATTAAAGGCAGGAGGTGATGGTGTGAGGACTGCCCCGACTTTCACCTACTGTACAAGTCTGTACAGTAAGTAGTAGTAAACAATATGCTCCCTTTCTGCGTACATGTGTGGAGTAAACTAGGTGTAGCAATTCCTCGACGACTCACCATAATTTCGACTGCACTGAAGATCTTAGAGCCATTCCGCGATGGAGTTCAGCGTAAGGAAACCGAATGTATCAAGATGTACGAGTCAGCAGTGAACGGCTGTGAAGACATTACTATCCATTATGAGTGACTGCATGCGAGAGATACTTCACTAACGCTCATCATGAAGTTCATCCCACTCTGCAGAAAATTCTCGGTTTGGATTATCAGGGGAAAGCTCTTTCACTCATGTCCCATGATTGCTAGAGGAAAATGAGTGGATCTCCTGGCCGTCCTGAGTCTCATGTCTCAGAAAGGGTTCAGAAATGAGACTCCTGTTTTCCATGCTTCATCGATTGCATTGCAGAAATCCAACGACAAATCCACCCAGCGACGCAGTCATTGAACTCCGAGGAGTCGCGTTACAGCCAACTCACGGGTTGGAACATGCCATACGTACAGCTCTGCTTTTGGGAAATGATTCGCAATGATCGACTGAGAATCATGCAGACGAGTCGTTTCAGAGCATGCAGGCACCACAGACACAGATAAAATTCTCGTCATTACGAGCGAGTTCTGATCATGGCTATCTCTGTCTCGTTCATGGCAGGTGGGAAGGGTGATTGTGACAACGATTCACCAGCCGTCGAGCCGCATGTTTCCGATGTTTGACAAGTTGATTCTGCTCTCGGAGGGCCACCCGCTGTACTTCGGCCTTGCAAAAGACGCATTGGACTACTTTGCAACCCAGCAGTTCATTCCGCTTCTGCCCATGAACCCCGCTGACTTCCTGATTGATCTAGCTACTGGACTCACATCCGATATGACGGTTCCACCCGAGCTCCAACAAAAGATTTTTATGAGTGGCAGTTCTCCAGTTACCAAGGCGAATGGCCTACAGGAGTCCGAAGCAGCGGCTTCTTCGGTGCAGGAGGCAAACGTGACCACCCATGCCAGCGTAGATTCTAGCCCTGATTCGAGTAATGAAGAAACTCAGCGACTGTTGGTCGTGAAGGCAATCCATCTCACTTTGGCCTCTTTCTCGTGTGACCCCGACAGAGGCAAAACTTTCCGAATCCTGGAAATAGGATGGCTAATTGTAAATTTCTCTTCTTTTTCCAAAGCAATCGTGGCTTCTATTGGGTAACTCATTCAGCCACAATGTTGATGCAGCTGCTACGCTCGAAATACAGAACCGAGCTTGAGCCCAGAGTAAAAGAGAAGCTGCAAACGGGAGACGTCATTGCTCCAGATTTAAAGACAGCAATTTCTGTCAAAAAGTGGTGGACCTCATCATGGTTCGAACAATTCTTCATCCTCAGCAGACGGAATTGCAAGGAGAGAAGGAAGGATTATCTTAACGTACTGAGGTTCGCGCAAGGCGTCGCCGTGGCTCTGCTCCTCGGCATGCTGTGGTGGCGACCAAACCTAGACACGGAGCAGGACATCCGCGACCAAGTAGGCCTCTCCTCCAGTCCCGAGTCATCAGTCAGCTCCCTGAAAGGATTAGTGTACAGACGGGTCAGCCTCAGAGATTAGGGCAGGCATTGAAAGATTTTGGGCCTAAAAACGGGACAAATGTGCAGGTGGGGCTTCTTTTCTACATGTGCATCTTCTGGTGTACATTCTCCATGTGGTCCACAATGATGGTCTTTCCACTGGAGAAAAATTTCCTCGCCAAGGAGAGAGCGGCAGACATGTACCGACTGAGTGCCTACTTCGTCAGCAGCACCATCTGCGACTTGTTGGCCGAGCTCGTGCACCCGACGATGTTTGTGCCACTTGTGTACTTCATGGCGGGCTTGAAAAGTGACATTTCCACGTTCATTTTTACATTACTGTCTGTCTACCTGATTGCAATTACCGCTCAGGTGAGTAAATATGTGAGACTGCGGGCTGATCATCTTTCAGGAGTTTGCTTTAGATTAGAGCAATCCAATCCAGGATGTCGACTGACAGAGTTCACGGCTGGTCGTTCAGGCCTTCGGAGAGTTTTTCGGTGCACTGACACTGAACATCAAGAGGGTTGGAATCATCTCAGCTATGATCATGCTCATCTTCCTCCTCGCTGGAGGCTACTACGTGAAGGTACAGCACCTGTTGCAGCTAGATGCTCGAGCTCGGCCTTTGGCATTTTCTGATCGATATTCAGGACCAGGTTTCCTAATTAACGCTTGTTGCTTGCAGAACATTCCCGTTTTTATGAGCTGGATACGTTACCTATCCATAGTGTACTATGGATTCAGGCTGTTGGAGAGAGTTCAGTATTCTCCCGACCAGACTTACAACTGCAAAGCTTTGGAGGGATGCTTACGGTTTGAAGACTCACCCATCTTCAAGGACATGTCTCTGGAGGGAGGACTTCGCGACGCCTTGGCTTTGATGGTCATGATCGTTGTCTACAAAGTCTTGGCTTATGTTTGTCTACGGCGTGTCTGAAACTGTGGAATAGGTTCAATCTACAAGGCATATATCAAGTCAATATTCACACCATTCGAGAATTCAAACTCGTTCAATCAAGGGCATCGGAAGGGTGAGGCAAAGCCAAGTGTAATGTAGCGGCTAAGGAGGATCGAGTTAGGGAGCACAGACGCGGTAGTGGATGAGGAGATTTGTCCGCAATGGACTCTGAAATTCCACAGCTTAAGTTCAGGCTCGTTTTGGTCCAGACCCACACGAGCTTTCGTCGGACCAGCCATCAGCTCTACTCGCAAGGAAGAAGCTTATCTCTTTAGGCAAGAGAGGATGCCAATCCGAAATCCACGAACGTGATCATGACATGCGAGGTAGTTAGAAGACAAGCTGGCCAACTTCTGGTAGAACTGTGGTCCGAAAATCTCAAGTCTTAAGTCATCCATCAAATCCTGGTCAAACCTCGTCACTGTCCGCCTACGATGTAAAAACAAGTAACATTAGTGTGGTCCCATGACGCCCTACAGCATACATATAAATGAAACTCCTCTTCATCACTAAACTTGTTCCCTCATCCGCAACATCAACACAACATGTAGATTCTTTGTGGGGTTATCTCAAAGTAACTTAAGACACCCTTTCCCCTTAAGGCCTTTGCTCTCATCCAAGATATGCCGCCTATTCTTCCAGTCAAGTTTCCAATGTCTATGTATAGTAGAGTTTGTTAGCGAAAGCTCGTGTAAAAGTGAGAACAAATGATTTATAGAGCTAGAAAGCTATGTACAGCCTCGACGGCCGAGGCCCCTTATCTGTCGTCGGCAATGATATGTAGCAGTTGAAAAAAATTCCCTTTTCTTCTTGTCCACACTTTAGCAAATTTACTTTCACCCGCTGACCATAGCTGAACCATTACAGGACTATACTCCTAGCGTAGCCACGGGCGCTTTATAGCTTGGCGGTTGCACCGTAGAAAGACGGTGACGGTGCCAAAGGGCAAGTCTATTGTGACCCGTATTTTCGTAGCCAAGAAGTGCACTGTGCTTAATCCCTCGATTGGTTACTGCGCCCTCTGGATTCGATCGTCAATTAGCTTCCTACGTAGCATGCCCACGTGGGTTAACACATTACGGTGCCTGGCACTATTGTCCAATTTGTGGAAAGTATCACCACGAGGCAATTCAAAATTGGGTAATTTTCATCCATCTCAAGTGGCCTACTCGGCCAACATTTACAGACCCTGAACTAATGCGTGAAGACGTTCGTTCAGAGCGATGAATTCCTTAGAAAGTGTACAACTGATTGGCATGGCACATTACATTTCCCGATTGTGCTGCTACCACTTGACAGGGGACAGTGTTCTGTTTTTTCCACAGTATTTTCACAATTAAATAAATTGGTCTGCTTTCATGTGGAGCTTACGTCCAGTTTGAGGAGAAGCTGAAGCTGCACTGACAGGAGATTATGGAAGTAGTATAATTAGCTTCTATTTTTTCTATCTGCACTGAGTAGCTACTCATCGAAATTAATGCTTCATGAGACGGTCCGCTTCAGTGTTGATAATCGTCCACGCCTCCATCACATGTTGCAGTTCTGTACGACTCGATCCTATAGCCATTCGCAAAGTGAACACTCCGTCCAGGACAGTGTGAGTCAGGAAACAAGCACCACGGCTGTTGATGGCCTCCAGAAGTGTAGCATTGACCGTCCGACCATTGTCAGTGTCATTTTCGAGAGGTTTAAGTCGAAAGCAGACCAGAGAGAAGTTGCGGGGAGCAACCATCTCAAATCTGTCGCTCGTTCGCACAAGGCTTTCCAAATGCTCGGCTATGCGAATGTGCTCCCTTATGTGCTTACGCAGGCCTGATGCACCGTACAAGCGCATTGTAAACCACAGCTTCAATGACCTGAACTTTCTACCTAGTGGTAGTTGCCAGTCCTTGTAGTCCACTACTAACTTCTCGTCTGTTGCTTTATTACGTAGATACTCGGGACTCGTTGACATAGCTGCTACCAACTGTCTCGGATCCTTCAACCAAAGGGTAGAGCAGTCGAAATTTGTGAGAAGCCATTTGTGAGGGTTCATGGAGTAAGAGTCGACCTTCTCGATCCCATCCAAATTGTGCCGAACTTCTGGGCAGATACAAGCATTTCCCGCAAATGCAGCGTCCACATGGAACCACATGCCATATTCTAAAGCGATGTCACCAAGTTCGGGCAGGGGATCCACGGCAGCCGATGATGTAGTGCCAACGGTGCCACACAAAAAAAAGGGCAGAAATCCATTCGCAGCATCTTCCGCCACGGCCTTGCGGAGGGCTGCTGGAGACAGACTGAAGTTTGTCGAGGAATTTGTCGGTAGAACTCGGAGATTGGCGGCCACACCTGCAATCTGCGCAGCCTTCTGCACAGAGACATGCGTTTGGTCCGAGACGTAACCTGTGAGCCTCCCAAATGCCTCTGTTTCAGAAGCTCCCTCCGCCATGAGTTTAGCCACCGCGCGCTTTCTGGCAGCAAGCATCGCGACGCAAACTGCTTCGCTTGCAGTGCCTTGAATCACACCGCCACCTCCTCCGGAGAAGAGAAACTCCTCGGGGAGTTGTAACAGCTTGCCAAGCCAGTCCAAGACAATTTGTTCCAGCTCCGTGGCTGCTGGGGAAGATATCCAACTGAACCCAATGACATTCAAACCTCCGCTGAGCATGTCTCCCAGGAATCCTGCCGTGCTGAAATTGGCAGGGTAGAAAGCGAAAAAGCTCGGGCTCTGCCAATGCGTGACCCCCGGAATGATCTTGCTCTGCACGTCTGCGAGCACATCATCGAGACTTTCAGGATCTTCAGGGGCTGCCGTGGGGAGCTGACACTCCAAATAACCTGGCTGCACCTGACTGCGCACGGGGTATTCTGCGATATCTCGATAGTAATCTGCAATGAAGTCGACCATCCTGTGCCCATACTTGCGAAACTCCTCGACTTCAAAAACGCTCATCGGCTTACCGAGAGGAACTGCACCCTCCGCGAACCCCATGGCGGATCGAAAAGAAAGCGCCGAGCAGAGAACGATGCAGGCTCGAGCAATTCGACTGCGTGATTCCTGTGCCCGAGAAGCCCCCCTCCCGAGATTTGTAGCTCAACTGGCACCAGCTTCCCTTCGTCTACAAGCCAGTCTTTCTGCCGATTGCACCTCTCCACTTGAATTCCCCTTCCTTCCGGCTCGTCGCGTGGCAAGGGACAGCCGAGATCCTATTCACTGCAAAAGATTTCATCCTCTTCCGACTTCCGAGGGATGCATGAACCGCACATTGAGTTCTGTCACAACCCTTACATCGCTGAGATGTGCCTTTTCGATCTGACAAATCTAGAACAGGATCAGATGGTGAAAACCTCGATCACATAGATTTGACGACATTACTTCCCATTTTTGTCCGTCGACAGTCCTTTCTGTCTTCATGTATATACGAGTGCCGTTTACAGTTTGCCGCCGTCATTGTTTACAGCATTAGCAAAGTCTGTCGGGATGATATTGTGTTCAGTTTCAAGGGTGTACTCTGATGGCTCTTCCCTTGGTGAAGGGCACATTCCGTTCCATGGCCTGGAACCCTGCAAATCAACCGCCATTGTCGACGAGTGTATTGACAGGGCCCCTTTTTCTTGAAAATTGCGTTGTCCAATCCCCCACCACATCTCACAGATGATTGATTGGTGGTATGTGTCCACAAACTTTAACTGCTTTTAACTAGATTACCTGCAGATTTCGGAGAACAATTCCTGTAATGGCTGTGAGGTCACAAGGTATCGTGTTGCGTTTGCAAACGCGATAGTTAACTTATCGTACACAAAGGTTGAATATCTTTAATACTCTAATGACTAAAAGCATGTTGGTATTCAATAGTATAAACTATTTGGTATTACTCTGTTCTTGGAATTATATCATATTCCAATCAAATCATAGGTATTGGATGACTTAGAATGTCTAGTGGAGTGGCTACTCTCATTGTCTAAAGTATATGAAATTGACTCATTCTAACCTTTTTTTTTTTTTTTTCCTTTTTCTTTTTTACCTTGGAGTTATCTGTAGATTGCAACATATTGGTGATGGTGCGCAATAGACTACCGTAGCTTTGGTATGGTATCACTTTCTTTACATGAATGTATATCAATAGATTCATAAAGTCATATTAAGATTGCTGTATAGATTTCATTAGTTCTAGTAATGAATATAATATATAATTGTATGCAATTCTCTCATTATTGTAATATATTTTATTTATATACTTTGGATATCCTAGATACAAGATGTTATATTTTTCGTTTTAATGTTAATAAGTTATAATATTTTTTAATATTTTTTTAAGTTAGTGCTATTCATATAAAATTTACTTTACAAAAAAATGCAAAACTTGCAAAAAAATTCTTCTGTGTAACTTGAATATTCTAAATAGAGTATGAATACATTGTATCTAGTACCTTGTAACTTTTTTTGTATGCTGTTAGAACATAATGCCATCTTAGCCTTTGGTTTTATAATATAATTACATGACATAATCTACTTGAGGAGAAATAACATGATTACATTAATGAATATTTGAACAAGTTTCAATTGTATCGAATCTTGATATCTATTAAATTATTTGAAATCTTCTTAATTTTATTTTCTTACAAATTTTTCATTGATTTTAGGTTTTCAATATCCTAGATGGTTTTTTTACTTTAAATGATGAATATTTTCTAATATTATTTTATATCTAATTTTTTTAAAGATATTTTGATACATCCTATGTGATGTGTAAATCTATTCATGAATTAAGTCAAAGATAAAATAATATAGGTCCTCAACTTTGTTGTTAATTTCTGTATGTATACATAATTTATACTTTAAAATCAATCTATGAGTTGAATATGATGCTTTTTGATTTAATTGAAAAAATAAAAATTTAATTATATTATGTTTCTTTCTTTTCAGTCTTTCACACAGAATAATTTTATAATATATTTTATGTAATTACATGATCATATTTAATTATTTTTTAATGACATAAAATTTAATTAGATATGTCTTTGGTAAATGAAGTTGTCTCAAAACTTACAAATCCAAGTAATTGAACAGTACTTTGCAACAAAATTATTTTGAAGGCATAGACTATTAATATTCAATCTTATCTATGATAATCATGTACAATATGAAAAATTTGATTTTTTTGGTAATATTATGATTAAAATTTATTATTTTTGGCTTTTGCAGCAATACATACATGTTTCAATAACTAACTTTTGTTTGATTCTATAGACTAGTAGATCTTGATCAACATTACAAACTACTAGCAACTTTTCACGTATTGTGATAAGTAAAATTTTTTGTCTCTAATAATGTAATGATTATATAACAATAAAATATTTATTAAAAAGTAATTAAAATATGCAAAAACTCTTACATTTTTTTTGTATTGAGAGGATTTTTTATTATCATGAATTTTCTTTCTAAATAAAGTCATGATACATTCATTGTTGTTAACAATTGTAAGAATCCACATCTAGGTTTATATTATATGGAAATATCTATAAGCAACAATTACATTGAAGTTTAAGATATAAGATGAATATTTCGATCATGCAATGAATGTCACACTTATAATAACAATAAAATACAAAACATCAATCATGATTCGAAATATTCATCTATTAACAATGAAGTTTGTAAAATTTGAATCTTGTATAAGTAATGGGGAAAACAACTAGAGTTCTCGATATGCCTTAGAATCAATGAATCTATTTAAAATCATCATCTGATATATTTACAAGTTTCGTTATTGATATTTTGGCTGAAATACAATTTGATTTTAGATCTTTAGTTTAATTAAAATTTTCATTACATATATTTTATGTCTAATATATTTTCTTCTAATACTTTCTGTTTTTTTAAAGAAATTTGGACCAATTGATTAGCATGACATGTCATTCGTTCACTTATAGATGCTGTTTTTACTTTTGAACATTTAACTTTTGAACATAATAAGTAAAAGAATTAATCTACTTAGAATTTTATGCACTTTACTTACATCAACCAACGTACAGTGGATTTATGTAAGCAATTTGCATACAAGCAAATCTAGAGAAAATTAGCTAAAGCAACCCATTATTTCTTGGGTAGACGTGCGGAACCTCACGGATTATGGGTTGCTTCGGTAGTTTGACTGTAGTATAGTGATGTTTGCATACATTATGCATTTTGAAGTTCAGACTTAGGATGCAATGCAAGCCAAATCAATTCAAACTGTTTCGGTCAACGAAAATAGCTACATGGATCATGGGTAGTGTCAATTCATAAAACCTTGGACACTACACATGCACGAGTACGAAGATATTGGACATGGTTTACGTACTATGGCGTTATGTCCTTACAGAACCCTTATTTCATGGCTGAAACCCTCTAACCCCTTCAGAACGACCAAAGTTGTGCACAGCACGGGTACCGGGATATGACGACAAAATCTGTAGACATGGGATCGAAGATTATGAAGTGAAGCTCAGGAGGAGTGGACAACGTTTCCGTGCTGGACGGGGTGTCGCCGTCGTTTTTGCTATCCACTTGGTTTCCTTTCCTAAACCCTGACGCGTACTTTCATGTACGTACTTGTAGACCGCAGTTACAGGAGGCCAAACTTCAACTGCGGTTGTGAAAGAGCCTTCAAAACCCTAAACCCTGTCAACAAGGACAAGGAAAGTCAGTGTCTTACATTTCTCGGTGATTAAATTTGTCACCTGCTGAATTGGGTGACGAAAAGTGAGGACTGAGTAAGGAAAGGGTGTGAGGAGGGGTAATCTGTGAGCGGTAGTCAATGAGTAGATTTCGTTGAAGGAAGTGGTTCTGTGGATGCTGCTGCAATGCAGTCCACTAAGAAAATTTCTCGGAGGAAAAGGCCCAGGGACTTGCATGAAAGTGTTCAGAATTTGTCTGAAGGTGTAAGCCCTGGCGGAGAGAAGAATGCAGGAGATTCAGAGGGCTTCCATACGCCTGTACGGGGTAAAAGACGGGACGGCGGCGGGGCAATTCATAACATAGAGGTTTCAGAGAAAAATGGCGTCAACTCAAATCATGAGAGTCATAGAATATCTGCAAAAAAGCAACTTGCAGAATCGCCAGAACGAAAAAAGAGGAAGAAGCAAAATGGCTTTGAAGGGAATTCTCCAAAACAAAGCGGAATTGAATCCGAGAAATCTTCGGCCGGAGTGTCTACAATGCAGGTTGATCACGAGGAATCGAACGGGCATTGCGATGGGGGAATTGGATCGGCAGCTGTGAAAGCGGATGTTTCTCCTACCGGGCCCATCTCCAACCTTGCGCTCGTTCGAATGCTGCAAAATACGAAGATTTCGAAGCCAAGGTTTAAGCTTGCCAGACGCCCTCATCGGAGCTACTGTCTGAATGTTTGGGTTGAATTCAATAGCTTGGTTTAGCTCATCTTTCTGTACTTTTCAAATTGTACACGTTTCTTATGTTAGAATGGACTCCCAATCTTTGTGCAGTAAAATAGAAGCGGCTTATCGGTTTATCAAGGATGAAGGGAAAATGCTTAGCACGAAAGCTGATCGGGTCAACGCGAGAGCTCAAATCAGAAAGGCTGACAGCATGCCTATGCCACAGTTTGTATCCTTTCTTTTCGAATGGGCACAAAATGCGATTCTCTGGTCATCGAAGCCACAAACAATTTCCAAATTGTCAGCTGCCAGTGCAGAAGGAGGTCTTACAACTTGCCCTCCTCATTTGGATTACCGCTATTGGGGCATTCTGAGCTGGTGTATCTCATCTGGGAATCTTCCCCTATCCGCAAGTTTGTCACCTGGTCTACTGAGATCCCTGGATCAGTACGTTAGAAACGGTGCTTCAGTTGATGACACGAGTGCTACTGACAGTTCAACAAAAGGGACTTGGATGAACGAAGATTCTGTCAGATCAATCGAAGTCCTCCTTTTCGCAAACCAGAGATCATTCCGACCGGACTTGGATCACTGGGTTTCGTTAGCTGTCACAGCCTTGGCGAGATTAAGTTCTTGGAAAACTGTCACCATTGCTCCTCATCATGAAATCATTCTCTCGCATAGATTATTTGTTCGTATTCTCGAAGCTTTTTCTGGGTTCATTGCCATCCATCCAAATAGGAAGAAGACTTTCGTTAGTTTGGTGGACAACTTGCTAGAGCCCCTACTACTTGCTCATGGGCTTTTCAACCTGCCTAGTCATCAACAGCCCCATTTCCTGTTGACGGGTGATTTGATTTTGTGGAAGAACAGGCTTCTGAAAGCCTTGGAGGAGATTTTGGAGAAGGGTTTATTTCATCCTGCGCATACTGGTTTCTTTCACGGAGTCTGCACTTTTCTTTCCGGCAAGGTTGATTCCACTTCTGAGATGAAAGAAGACTTGAAAAAGGGTGGCAGGCCGAGGAAGGGAGATGAGGATAAGGATATGGTTAGCTACCAGAAATTGATGTTTAGAAAGTTGGATCAAATAAGGAAAATGAGGGTGGAATCAGCTCTGACGGAACTGGGCTGGATATTTGAGGCCTACTCTCGAAGTTTGAAAATACATCAAGCTGCCGATGCCCTGGATTTTTTTGGCGTAAACACTAAAGGAAAGCTGCAAAACTCTTCAAGTAATGTAAATACCGAGAAAATTGTAGAAGTCACAGAGGAGGGAACCGGTAAAGTTGCGGACAGTTCAGCTGGAGGTCCCCGGTCTGTAGAGAAGAAGGATCAAAACAGGGAAGCACGGTTCACGGTCTTTGCAGAACTCACAGGACCCGTACTGACTGACCTACAAGCTTGTTGGTCATCTCCCGAAGTGAGCTTCTCTTATGAGCACCTTTCCACGGCTCAAATTTTGCTACGTGCATTTAATAGTCTTCTGAAGGCAGCGGTGACGGAAGGAACCTACGTGCCCACCGAGGATAGTGCTAAACACACTCACTTTACATTTTTGAAGAAGTGTTTCAGTGTCGTGACTGACTTCGGTAATCTGCTGCCTGTCCTTTTGAATGGTTCCGATACGGATGAGGCAACTTTTGAGGACGGTGATCGCCAATCACAGGGAAGCCTTGTTGAAGGAAATCAGAATAGACGCAAATTAAGATCCTCGATTGTATCGTTGCTCAGGGAGATAATCGTGGCCACCACACATCTGCTAGAAATGGAGTACAGGGTCGCCGAGAATTTTCTAGAAGATGTATGGTTTATTCTCCTGCATGGGGCTGCTTTTAATGAGCCTAGTGTGAAGCATAAAACGGCTGATAGAGAATCAACGGGGACGGCGAGTCAGGCTGCTGTTAGGGTGGCTTGTCAAATTATCAGTACATACAGTGATCTGCGACAGGTTTGTTTTCTCTTGGTCAATTTAATCTGACAACCCATGCTCCTCAGCTTATAAACCACAGGAGTCCTCACTTAGCTCCTGTTCTCTGTGATAGAACGTTCTGATTTAGTCATAGAACCGTTTGGAACATCAAGTACGCTCTTTGGTGTTGGGTGCTTTTGCATTTGTGGGAAATGATCTACTTACGTGTAATCATCTTGCTAATCATGAAACATTTGTGCAGGTTGATCGAGCTTTGTTCACACTTTGTGGAACCTTGAGGAATTTTATTCATCCCCCTTCGAAATTAGCTAGTCAAGATGGGACGAGCTCACGATATGCGCCACGAAATTTTGGCTCTAATTTGGGAGCCTCTGGCTTTTTGGTGTGTGCCCAACTCTTTCTTTCAGCTGTAGCAAGAGCAATGCGCTCATTACCAGAAGGTCAAGTGGCAGAGTTCATTAGATTACTGACGGGTGACTCGCTCGAAAGCATAACAGCTATAGAAAACAGTATGAAGTACATGCAGGAAGGACTGGATGGGGCTGAAGATGGTAGTACGAACACTGCATTGTTTGAAATGGGCTTTGTTGAGCTTTACAGCTGCATGCTGGAGAATGTAAATATCACAGCTACTAACAGTTTGCTATGCTGCAAAGCAGTAAGCAGCTTTATGAGGGGTGTAGTTGTTACGAACATGAGTGAGCTTATTGATTCATGTTTGGACACTGAGAATTCAAAACAGCGCGGTGCAAGCTCACTTGATAATTGTAGAAGAGGAATGTCAGGGAAGGAAGAGAAAGACGTTGAGGGTTCATTGAGAACATGGCATGTTATCCTGAAGCTTCGGTTGTTTATGTCCAGCCGGAGCCTTCATACACAGTGTCTACGCTTGATGCCTCCCAAAGCTGTTAGGAAGGCAAATCTAGCATTGGGTGGTTATTTTATTGACTATCACAAATTGGACGTTGAAAACGTGGCCACTTCTTTAAACGCCGGAATGTTTTTTTCCGCAGTTGGCCGAAGTTCTGTCAAAGTCTCGGACTTTCTGGCTGGACTGAAAGCAAAGGTGAACGACAATGAGTTGGTAGAATGTCCAGCGCTGCAATATTGTTTAGATTGCATTGCGATTCAGAGTCTTGTTGACCTTGCCAGACACGTCGAAGCTGTAAGCTTTCTCGTCATGAAGTACGGTGAGATCTCTCCTATACTGAACGAAGAACGTGGGGCGAATCGAATTTTGAGTGAGGGGAATGAAGCACCTTCACCGCCTAAAGCTGAGGATGTGGATTTTGAGATCCTGAGAAAATTGCAGAAGCTTCACAAGTCGATGAAGCAGGAAAGTCGGAAGCTTGCAAAGACGTTGTTACAAGGACTTCCGCCGATATCTGGTGCATGGCAGCTGGAGTCATCACTATTCGCAACCGTAGCAAATTGGCCGACAGAGAATGCCAAGGACCAGTCTCGGACTTCGACAACGTGTCCAGAAGGAAATTGGGAGCAACTAGCTTGGGACCATGTGGATGCCACTCTTACCGCAGAGAGTTTACATGTGCGTAGATGGCGTCTGCTTTGTCAAACTTTTGACGTGTGGGCGAAATATGCAGCTGATAAGGATTTGAAGAAGTTTCTGATCTGTCTACTAGCATGTTCGGTAATGACCACGTCTGCGCATGTGGCCAGTCGCCAGGGAGATGGTGGGTTACCGAGACCTGAAGTGACTGGTATGCAGAAAATCGCAAATGACCTGCTAAGTAACTCCTTGTTTTTCGAAGAGGAGGTGAGTGTCAGTGGTAGTAATATAGGATGACCTTCTCGGGTTGAGCAATTCGTTTGTCAGTTAAGTTTTCGTAGGGAGAGTTTGAAGAATATTATCCGCATCTGCTCGGTAATTTGGAAACTGGCAGGGCCACAGCTCAGCCTTTAGACTGAAGCCTTTTTTCCATACAAAACCTTAGCTTGTGCCATTACGTAGTTCTACTTTTGACTCATGAAACGTTTCTGGTGGTTCTCAAACTCCAGTCAATACGCAGGTTCTTCGCGTCCAGCTTTTTGGAGGCACTCAAGAGTTCAGTGTGCTCAGCTTTTGGAAATTGGCCCTTTGAGTGGTACACTTCTGATGACTCTCTGGACAAAGAAGTACTCTTCAGGGTTGCAACTGAATGGTCAGATTTGGTTGAAGCACAAATTGGAGAAGAAGATGAAGAAAAAGACCTCGAAGTCCTTCTTCGGTCTAAGTCTCTGACAAAGAAGAGGAAGAAGTGGAAATTAGATTCTTTTGAGCTCAACGTGGATGCAATAAGGAACTGTGTTTCTCTGGTAGACCAACTTTCCATTCTGCCATCAGGTTATTTGACATCCACTGAAGCCAGTCGATGTGCATATGCTCTCCAGTGTCTTGAAAGGTATGTCGCCAGTCGCTTTCTAAGCTATTTTCTAGTCTCCGGCCTCAAGTAGGTGTCATCTTATGAAATCCAACCGAGGTCGGTTCGCGCTTTTCAAAGCTAGCTCTGAGGCTGTAAATACTTCGTCATCGTTCAACATATTCTGCGAACACTTCATTGGCGAACGTTCACTCAGATTAGAGTTTCTTTTGTTTTTGCTCTCCGTAGTCTCTAGCGGTTCAGCTAATGTCGCTTGAAAACTTCGACCAGTGTTGGAATTTACGTTGAGTATAGGTTCTTCAGGCCATAACAAGCACAGACTAATGAGTACAGTTATGTGTATTCTCTGGTCGTGGAACTAGAAACATTGCTACATACTACAAATCTGTAGGTCGCAATTCCATGTTGGAATGTAGAGGATCTGCTGTGGTTAGTTGACATCCGCAACGCTTTGTGAATTTTATCAGGTTGCTGGTGCAGAGTATTCTTCAGGAGCAGCTGACTGCTCTCGACTTACAGCAGGGTCGCCATAAAACGGTCTCAGGAGATTTTTCTACTGTTTTCGCGGTTCTTGAAGGTCTGAGCAGCTGTCGCAGTGCACTTTTGGTCTTGACCTCCTCTGGCACGGTGTGTTCTAATGACAATGTATGTACCCTTTTGACGGTTCTCTCTGGGAGTTTTGCGCTGGTTAAGTGGCCGTCACAATCACTTCACGCAGCCGCAACGTGCTTCGTGGATGTGGTCGAGCGCAGCAAGTTATCGGATAACGAGAAGTTGAACAAGCTGTCCTTGGGAGAGGAGTTGCTCCATGTTGCACTGAAGAGAACTGCTTCTCTGTTTACCTACATTTGTGAAGAGAATCTTCGTTTGGAAGAAGGGAATGTTCATGCAGCGTTGAGTGGAGGGGCACTTGCTAGCTCCGACGGTAAAGAACACTCATCGAAGGTAGCCGCTAATGGAGATTGTGCTGTTTTTGTAAAGCACCCAAATGGTCTGTATGAACTGCTCAGACTGCAAGCCACGAAGATTGATCAACTCGTACAGAAAAGAGGAAATGTTGAACTAAGTTCTCACTCTGCAACAATGGAGGCCGCAGGAGGCCGATGTCTCAGGGATTTCAAAAGCTGTTATGCAGGCCTTGCTATCGCAACATCCTTGTGCAGCTATTTCTGGACTTTGGTTAGCTCTGGTGAAAAATCTGTCAAAGGCAGTCCTGTGCTAGAAAACCGTGTGATGTTGCTGCTAAATTCAAGCGGTAACATTAATGCTCTCGGACACATATTGATGAGAACGCTGGTCAGGGCCCTGGTACCCGATGGCTCACATGCCATGCTTATAGTCGGTGAGGCTGATGTTGACAGAAACTTGCAGTCGACTGATTCACATGTTGACGGGAGGCTAGAAGCAAATAGTGTTCAAGCTATAAATGAAGGTGAGGTCAACATGAAGGATCAAGACGAAGACGAAGAAGGATCTGATGACGATGACTCTGAAATAGCTTCGGATTCCTTAGCACCACCGAAAGAAGATACCAGGCATGGAATTGAGGAGGAAGATGACGATGATGAAGAGCAAATGGATGCTATGCAAGATGAGGTTGTTCTTAAAGAAGAAGAACAGGAAAATGTGACAAGTGCTCTAAACTTAGCAGAAGCAGAGTTTTCCAAAAACAGTTCTGTACAAAGAGTGGCACTTAGCACCTTGCTGGAGGGTAGTAGCACGGAAATGTGTAATTTAATTGGCGAGCTTTACCTGGCAGCAGCAGGATATCTCAAGTTTGAGGCCTTCAGGTTGTCACGTAGTACGGATAAAAGCAAGTGTTCAGGATGTTTGCCTCCAGGTGGAGATGTCCTTCTTGGAGCTGGATGCTGGATTCTACTCAAAGCTGCAGAGCGGATGCGGTCGGGACAGTGTTCTGGATTTGGCTGGCTTGTAGGGGTGGTAAAATATATAGAGTCCGTAGAAGCCTTGTTGCCTCACGTTAAATCATTCCTCACACCTGCCGCTTTCAACAAGCTCTTTACCATACACATATACCTTCTAGGATCCCTGTCTCCAGCAGAGAATGACCATCGCAGAGAATCCCAACCTTTAGATGTCATAGATCAACTGGAGCTGTCAACTCCAATTGATATGCTCTCTGATGGGGTGACAAAAGGTGAAGCAAAAGGAGCTTCGGACTTCGTCCTGAGGGAGGCCGTGAGATCTTCTCTTGGTTTGTTGATGAAAACAGCTCCCCGGCACCATTCGGTTCTAGCACTGCAGGCTATAACAAGAGCATTGGTCGGGGCTTCAGAGGACTATAAATCATCATCTGGGCTCGAGTTATGTGCAGATGAGACTGGCAAAGTTGGGAGAGGCGTGGCAGCTGGCGTCCAGTCACTGTCGATTGCTCTAGAGTCTATTTCAGGTACGATATATATTCTCTTTGGGAGCCTCAGTTGCATACAGCCGCAGTAGTTAAAGCGAGGAGTTTGACCTGGTCACTTGGTTGTGATCCACCAGGAACAAAGCGCCTGCGGCTACTTGCGAATCATTTCAAGGAGTTTTCCGGCGCTATTTTGAACTTGATTGAGCGCTTAACGGGCCCAAAGATGTTCTACGACAACGAGATTGTGCATCACGACAAGGCTCCTAGAGAGGGCCAAGTGGGAATGGTTCAGTCTGGCTCTGTAATTCTAAGATGTATTCAGATTATGACTAGCGTGGCGTGTAGAGAGAATATATATCCATTAAAAGCCTGCCATGTTGCATTGGCTTTGCATTGCCCTGCAAGGATTTTTTCGCCTGTCTTTCAATCTGGGTTGTCAAAACACAGGACGATCAAAACCTTTCTAGCATATGATCAGTCAGGAGCGACGAATACGGAAAAAGTTGTAATGACGAGACTGAGAATAGGCACGGATCTAGAGGTGAAGCTGTACGTGGCTTGCTGCCGGCTTCTGTGTGGTCTCATCAGGCATCGTCGTAGGTACGTGTACTTTATAACATGTCTCTCTTCTCATGGGGCGCCGAAGATTTATCTGCCGGTACATCTCCCAACCATAGGATATACTAGCTCTTGTATGAAGTGGGCCGAATTATGGACAAGCTCCGAAGTTTACTCACATTTCTATCATCTTGTGCCCATGCAACTTAAGATTCCCTGCAGCGGACACAAGTTGCGTTTTGCAAAACATCTTCATCCTATCTTTTATCTCTACCCTAATGCATCTGAGAAGAAATCATGAGGTGTCCACTAATGGCACAGACGAGAACCCTCTTCTGTGAAAATTTTTTGTCTGTTGAACTAACGGCGTTCTTGTTTCAGGGAGAGTGGTCACTGCATTGCCCTTCTTGGTGACTCCGCACGCGTACTCCTGCATTGCCTCGAAGCTTCATACTGGCCTATGTCCGATGGGCCCTCTAGACTTTGGAGTACACAAATGGCTACTTATTGTGCGACCTGGCTTCGACGAATTTACGAAGAGGTGAAAAATGTTACAAATTTGACTTGTAATTTTTGCGAGAAAAGGACACAAGTAGAACGTTCTTTCACCTACCGAGGTCTGGAAGTGAGTGATGGGTGACTCGTGGGGAACATAGCAGCATTTGATGGATGACGGAGGAAAGAAAGTGTGCGAAACGAAGAAAAGTCAGTCTTAATCGAAGAATAGAAGACAGCTCAGGTCTACGTTTTTTCGAATGTCCAGATTTTTGCGAAGATCTTTACTTGGAAGTTGTGTTTTCTGATAATCATATATTATGGTCCTGCAGATGGGCGAACACAAGGAAACTCTCGGGAAGTACTGCTGCCACATCTTGTCAGATTACCTTTCTGTTCTCTCTGGCCATGATACATACGCGGTTGGTTTGATGAGGTATGGTTTTCAGGAAACCTATGGTTCGAAGGTGCTTGTTTTCGTGTGCCTTCTTGCTCATCAGTTGCGAGGAACCGCCATGAAGCGGTGAAGTCTATATCTATGACTGTTTTGTTGCAGTGGATGATTTAGAGATCCTGTGCCTAAGTTTACCAGCATCACTGTATAGTGTTATCATGAATAATCGTTGATTCCACCTGTTAATGCAAAGAATTTTCTTCCTGGGATTAGGACTTTTTAGATATGTATTATTCATGGCACTGCATAGCAATAAGTAGGACTGGTCGACCTGCATTCTGACGATTCACATCGGATCAATGTGATTGTTTGTACTTTCAGAGAGGTTGAAGCAGCTCTTCGACCCGGAGCTTACGTGTTAGTTGATGCTTGCTCAGCTAATGATTTACAGCAGTTACACGCTTCTCTTGGTGGTAATATCCAGATTCATGAATGATCTTGATAAGCTTGTGGCACATAGCAAGACTAATAACTGTAATGTGCTAGTACGTGTCGTACATTGAGAGCAGAGTCATGTCAGTCGTACCGCAGATTACCAATTCCCAGGAGCAATCTCTGTCAAGGATTACGCCGAGTCCAAAGGCAGAAGATGACTCAATAAGGGAATTCTGAATGAAATTCAGTTTGACTAGAATTAGATATTAGATATTCCATTAAGATCTGGTCATGGATGGAACCTAGTATGATTTTTTTTGGGAAACCCGTTCCTTTAGAGACTTATTATTTTTATGATTGTGCAGAGGGGCCACGACGAAACGCTTTGTTAGCTTTGAGGCGCGAATACACACAGCAGTTTAAGTACACGGGGAAGGTCTAGTAGCAGCAGGGACTGAAATTCAAGGTGGGAGTAAACGATGTTGCATGTATTATTGCTGCGCATGAGAGAGAGTTATGCGCATTTTTGTCACGGAGTTCTTTCTCTACGAGGGCCGAACGTGGAAGCGAAATAAGTTGTATATTGTTGAGACAGGTCCACTTCTGTACAATGATAGTGCTTGAAAATATATATGCGCACAATTCTAAGCGATTATTGTAAACTAAAATTCTTACGTCCTTTGGGCAGTACATGAGGCAGTATGAATATGAGTGACCAGTTCAGTGGCTGTCTCCAAATCTTGCTTGGTCTAACATTTTTTCGTGTCGTGGTTGCCGCGTGATTTTTCGCTGCTTTTTGGTCTTGTACACTCTACGTTTTTACATTTTCTAGCGAAGTTTGGTTTATGAAGGTGAAGGCCATCGAAATCTGCAATGTTATCTCTGGCTTTCTTAGCCAGTCACTGTCGGTTGCTACATGTCATCCACAAAATCTGAGAGGCCGGTCCAAGTTCAAAAATTAAACACGGCCTTGAAATATGCATGTACTCACATTACAGATTCCCAGGGAGACATGGAAAAGCAGACCTAATGAAAGACTTATGAGTAGAGTCCTGCTGGCCAGGAATGCAAAAGTAGACACAAAGAGCCGCCTCAAGAGTACGTTCCGCTATTGCCCACAATGTTACAACGGACAGGAATGACCTGATAAAGGGTAATGCCATCATTGATCAGAGTTTAGATTCGGAGTGTAGTATACTATGCAAGTCTATTACAACAGAGTAAACATACTTACATGGATGATTGCGCTCTACTTCTACAATAACTGAATAGGTGAAATGCACTTGTGAGTAAGGCATATATATCATTTGTCAGTATGCTATACAGAGGAAGGAACCATGATGTAATTTTGTGGCAAGCTGTAACGACTGCGTACCTTGCCGGAGTGCAAAGTTTTAAACTCTCCCGAACTGGCCATCAATAACACCGGGAACGAAATTGCGTCTGGATGGGTGATCACCTTAACTGCAACGAAAGTCTTACTGTCGACATCTGGAGAATGGCACCAGCATCAGGACAGGCAGAGGATGTGTTGTTGGATCTATGACTCCACGTCCGCGTGAAATATGTCATCCTTCGACACGTGAGGCTCGGCTCCACCGAACGGATTTATTGGGTGCATGTGTGTGTATCTCTATCACGTTGCATGACTACTTTTTTGTGTCTCGGTAGAAGTAACATTTTTTTTGACATTTAGAATACTGCTCTTCAAATGGACAACTTGCGTCCCAAATAAATCCAAGCTGCGTTTGCAGTCACTTGTGGAAAAACCTTACGTAAAAGGGTGAATGAACTCTTGAAGTCAACCATAGCCTATGCTTACATGATAAACAAGGACGTTGACAAACTCTAACGACCGCAGGGAATAGTGCTATGATACAAGACGGGCGATACAAATCCCCATTCCTTAGATTCTGTTGATCAACGAGAGTGTAGGAGCAAGATGGCTCTAACATTGTCAATATATCCGTCCTTTTCTATGTTCACTTCTGCAAATGGATCTGCATATCGAACTATGAAGGGTGCAGTAGTTGTCTCTGAAGAGCTATGAAGACGCCTCGTAGATACTCTCTAAGGAATCTTGAGAAATTTGCTCATAGTCTCCTGTACATATGTCAAGCACGCCTCCACGAAGTGCTCAATCCGCTCAATTTTCTCCCGCAATGTCCACATATCTCTCGCTGGCGGGAGGAGTCAGTGTCCTTGAGAGTTCACTGTATTGCATGTCCATGTTCAACTCAGTGGTCTATATGCGTATATTGACGTCTGATGTACGTGACTTGACAATGATCACACAATGATCATACTCATATTGTTGCAATGATCATGCAACTTTAATCTACAAATTTAAACACATCTTTCTTCATACTAGTTTGAAATTAATGCACCAGAATAATGGAATCGTGATACTATTTATTATTTTATTATTTGTATGTATGCAGCCGGATCGGTTTATCTTGCATGTTAACGTTTGAAACTATTTCTACGTTCATACGTCTTTTGAACACTTAGAGAGTCTCATGAACTTTTGTGAAGTCCAGTTTTTATACTCTTATGATTTACAATTTTTAGTTCTACGAAATTTAGACTCACATGTGAAAATCTTCTAGAGTCCACTATTCGTGCTGAATTAGCGTATCCTGTTTATTATATTTATCAAACCTCATCACACAATTTTCTCTTTCTAATGACTTGATCATGATAGTTCGTGCGCTACACTTTTCAAATGATGATACATATTGTTATCTTTTACATTACGTACATGTATTATCTTATTTGAGTAACAAGTTTCATCTTGTATAATTGATGATCAAAGTTCCAAATTGTAGACTTTAATGGAGTCTTTCATCTCCTCTTCAGTTCTAGTTTTAATAAGGATGTATTGATTTTTACACTTCATGTGCAAAAAGAAGGATCAATCTATCCTATAATATAAGTCTTTAAAATATGCACCACAGCTTCCTCTACTAGAATATTTTCAAAGTCATTTGGTACAAATTTTTTTGTTCTTAATTGTCAACTTGAATACTCTATTGACACAATTTCTCTTTCATTCGCATTTCAATCATGTTTAAATTTTTTTGATAAATATAGATGATTCTGATGACATCATTGAATCAAATATAAATTTTCAAATGTATAAGATGAGATTTCACATGCAATATATATCTTTTCAATTTTGTGTACATAGATGTTTTATAAGAAGAAGATAATGCTTATAGCTTTTTGACCATCGTGTGAGGCTTAAACCTTCGTTCTTTTTTTATCATTACATTCTCATTGCTGATTTAACCATTCTTGATGTACACAAAAATTATTTATAATATCAAGTGCTTCATAACTTGTCGTATGACATATGATAAAAGCTTTAGTCTTTTGAAGTTACGAGTTGGACTCTATTCTTTTATCATCTTTGCCTATTGATTAACAATAACTTGAAAATATACAATCATACAATTATTTATCTCCAAAATCTTCATACGATTTTAATAGATACGACCTTGTATTAACAAGTAAATGAGACTTGTTAGTATGCTTACAAGGATGTAGACTTGACGATCTTGACTCATAGGTTTTAGGATTGTATTAGCGGCTTGCAGAAGTGTTTTTTCTCACCGATAAAGTTGCTCCTTGTTTAGATCTATTAACTAATTTAATTTAATTTAATATCACTTTTAATATGCTTGTGATTACCGTACTTTTTTAGATGCAATAGATGTTCGCATGTCCGTTCAAATTGCAAGAATTTCCTGCTCATGACACCATTAGAATGTGAGAGTTAATATGTTGGGAGTATGTATGAGCTCATTGAATGGCATGCTCGAATGGATTAGGTTTATAACATATCTGCATTTTGTTTGTAAGTGTCAAATCATTGTTGGTGGTTAGATATTTAATGAGCTGTAATCGAAACAATTTTAAAAAGATGATTATCCAATTCAATACATATGAGTAGTGTGTAGCAGAAACAGATTAACCCAAATATCTTAATTTGCAAAGATTTAACATCCTTGTTGCTCTTGCATTACAATTGTATATTCCACTATACTTAATCTAGTTTATAATAAGACTATTGCTATTAATAAAAGCAATTTCAGCAAGTACTTTGAGTGTAAATAAGTCTGATATTAATCAACATCAAGTGAAGTATGACATATTTCCCGTCCTCATACTATTGGTGGGTTTGCACATGGTTTCTTCTCATAAGGATGGGATTTGACATCTTGAGCTCTAATCGAAAAAATTACAATGAGATTATTATCCAATCTAATGAATGAGATGATATTGATTTTAGTGTATATACACCCAACCAGTTCAAACCGCACACACCCAAGAAAAACCACGCTATATATATATAGAAAATGTATAGCGTGATATTTCTTGGGTGTATATCATTAGAACTGCGTGGGTGTGTGTGTTGGATGTATATACACTAAAATCACTACACTCAAAATTAAATGAAGTATAGTGGGAGTCCAAAACTCTAATGCAAGAAATAAAACATGTCATATTTCATTTGATATTGATAAATATCAGAAACATTTACACTCAAAGTAATTGCTGAAATTGCTTTCATATATAGCAATAGTCCTCTTATGAACTAGAGGAAGTATAATTTGATTCCACAACTCTAATGCAAGAGCAATAAAGATGTTAAATAATTGCATAATAAGATATTTGGGCACATTCGCTTCTCCTACACTCTACTCATATTCATTGTAAACTATAGCTATTTAAAAGAGTAATGACAGCAAGTACTTTAAGTGTAAATTTTGTCTGATATTAATCAGTATCAAGTGAAATATGACATGTTTTCCGTCTTGCATTAAAGTTTTGGAATCCCAATATTTTGCCTTCACTTTATAATATAGACTATAGCTTATTATAAATGAAATTTCAGGAAGTACTTTGAGTGCAAATTTATCTGATACTGATAAATATCAGAAAATATGCAATATATTCAGATTGCAATATATTTCCAATGTAATTATTCATACTAGTGGTGGGTTTCTTCTCGTAAGGATGAGATTTGACATCTCGAGGCTCGGTCGCCATATCTTGCTTTCGAAGGCGCCGCGATCGTGGGCTCTACGCTTTGCGCACGGGCTGAAATTCTTCAGCCTGCGGACGCAATGGAGATGACAGTTCTGCGCGGGACGGCGTGCGTGAGCTCTCTGGGCGGTGGGGGCTCGCGGTGGTCTCGCAGCTTGAGCAAAAGCTTGAGTGTCGCCACGACCCGGACACGTCCATTGCCACGAGATTCTGCTCTCTTCGCGAAGAGGTCGTCTGTGGGTTCTGCGATCTCCTTCGAGCAATCACGGTGTGGGGGAGTCGCGCGTGAGATGGCGGTCTTCGCACGGTCCCCGGCGCTGCATGCTTTTCAGCGGAACTTGCACTGTCAGAGGTTCGAGAAACCCCAAGGACTCAGTTCTTGCTCGCATCTCCGAATCAAGGCCCGCGCTTCAAGGTGTTTTTTTTCTCAGCGGAGAAGTGTTGCCGGTCGATCTCAGTCCATTTTTGTATGCCCTCGCCTGGGTTTGGCGAGTAGGCTTCACACTAGCTCCATCCAGGAGGGCAGGTACTTATGTGCCTGTCTGGAAGAGAAGAGATTTGACACAGATTTGCATCTCGAATCCATTTTTGAAACTGAGGAAAGAGTTAGGAGTCAATTAGAAGACGAGGGTGCGAATCAGACAGCCTGCGCAGACGAGAAGATTCCCAACGTCGCTTCTGAGGCCACGGTTGCAGAAGATTTGAGTCTCGAGCATTGGGTTGTTAACTTCTACCACTTTGTCAACATTGACGATCCTCACCTGGAAGTGGCTCGACATACGGATTTTTTGAAAGTGCGTGTTCTTTGCAAAGTTTAAGCATTTTCCCATTACAGTTTCCCTTGGAGCTTAAAATTGGTCCTTTCTTTCTACTTTGCCACCAAACCTGTATTCCGTCCATTTACTCCTGAGTGAGAGATTGTGCATGCCATCTTCCAGCGTTATTACCTAAGTATACCTCCTGTGACTTATTCTCGTCACCACAATTGGTTTCGTTATTCCTCATACCTCGAGCAACACATGAGCTACCTGGAGATTTTAACGCTGCCTCGCTGGGAATCTTTCAATGTGATGCTGCAGAATTATGATGTCCGTGGCCGAATCTATATCAGTGAGCAGGGTATCAACGCTCAGGTGACTTAAAATTTTATGTAAGCTTCGTTTGTACCATGTGGATTTTCAGATTTATAAGCTACGTATTTCAGTCGCATGCGCAGCTGACTAATTATTTCCCTAACCAATCTGCAGCTCAGTAGTCGAGGGAAGGGTGCTATGGAGTATGCTGAGTGGGTCAAGAAAGACTCTCGCTTCTCGGAACTCTTAGTGCAGATTTCACCTTCTCCTGAAGGGCATGCATTTCCTCGTTTGAAACTGCGTTACAAGCCTTCTTTGGTACAAGTAAGTTATTAAAAAATTGCATTGGATGCATATGGTTATTTGCACTCTCAGATTCGATATACTACCTGTGATGTTTCAAATAGATAATGTGCAATTCTTTGTTCTCTGAGCCCTGTAGTAGTTTTTGCTGTATTTGAGCAGAAATCTTTTGCTTTTTCGAAGTTTCCAACTTTATGCAGTAGTAGGAACCTTGCAGCTTTTACAACCACCGCTCCCATCTCAAATTTTTTGGTCATCTCCCATCAGAGATTTCTGGGAGTGTTGTGCTTCCAATCTACTTATCTGTCGGTAGTTTTCTTAATACCGAATTCAAACTGCATTTGACGGTTGAACTTAAGCCTCAGAAAACACTTAAAAATGAGTCCGCAAAGTGACATGGGGTTTTCGTGTTCAGGTTGAAGGTGGAACTCAACATCTTCCGGTGACAGATCCCATAGCAAGAGCAGTGCCACTCTCACCTTCCGAGTGGACAAAAAGGCTGGATGCAGCCAAGCTTGTTGGCAACACTGAGAGAGGTTCGAAGCAGATGGATTCAAATCTGGATGATGAACACACGGATACTTCAAGGCAGGTCGTTTTACTGGATGTGCGAAATGGTGAGTTTTATTTTCTTATTTACTTCTACTATTTCGAGTCGCAGTCTTGTATGAACCTTTTGATTTACACAGGGTGGGTTTGATGTTAATAGCCGGTATGTCACAGGATACGAATGGGACGTTGGTCATTTCAAAGGAGCTCAAAGGCCCAATGTGGACTGCTTCAAGAGTACTGCTTTTGGACTTGAAGAAGAGGAGGTCGGCCTCTGACTCTGGCAGCTTTGCCTGTTTCTGTACCGCATTTGTTTTGCTTCACATTTATAGTGGGGTTGCTGGTTTTAAAAACTACTTGTTGTGCAGGATGCTCGCGACGATCCATTGGCAGATGTAGATAAGGAGGAAGTTGATGTCCTGATGTATTGCACGGGTGGCATACGCTGTGACGTATACTCCACTATGCTACGGTATGTGATCTGTACTTTCGTGGTATCTAAATTAGGAGTTTTTATAATCTTCAGTGTTCTCTCCGTAGGTGGTTGCTAACTCCATGTATGGCGTTAGAATTATGGCGAGTATTAACGCAGTATGTTCAAAAATTGCTAAACCTAAACCCCTTCTTGTTGGGGTACCTTAAGTTAGATATTCAGCGAAGGAAATGGAAACCTTTATCGGGAAAGACTAGTGGCAGACCATAGAAATGCGAAAGCATGTCTGCCTTACCACATGATATAGTTTCCTACAATCCAGTTTGAGTCATTTGTTTTCTGATACGTCGAAACCATGATCACTGCAGAGCGAAAGGTTTCAAAAACCTGTACTCTTTGAAGGGTGGTATTTCAAACTATCTCAAAGAGGAAGGCTCAAGAAAGTGGGCTGGAAACCTGTTTGTGTTCGACTCACGTTTGGCAGTTCCTCCCAAGGTCTACCACGATAGTCCCATTCAAGAAGGTAGCATGAGTGACTCTCTTAAGAACTTCGAAGAATCCAGGACAGAGGAGGCCTTTGCTAGGTGTCGTCTGTGCGGAGATCACATCCTCGAGCCCCGACATCGCAACTGTGCCAACCTGGACTGCAATCAGCTCTATCTGTAAGTCTTCGTAACCTGCACTCATCATAGTCTCTAGGTATTTTTTGTCACACCCCGTGTTACGGAAACTGGATAGGTACAGAGCATCTGCATTTTGAACACTATAGACGGACTTGGTCACGACACTTGACGGATGTACTCAGTGATGTAAACATGTATAGCAGTTTTCAGTCTGAAGATCTAGCTCATGTAAGCTGTTAATGGCATTCTCAAAATTGACATATCGGCCCATGTAGAGGCACGCTAATTGTCGGGGAGCTGAAAGACTCAATTTTCCTCATAGCACGTGTTAAATTTTTGCGTTTAAAGCACGAGTAAGTCGCGGCTTGTATAACGATGTATTGGTGGGAAACTAAGACGAGCCTAAATCCAGGATTCAGACTACAGATGGACTTGGCTAAGTTCCTTAGTCCCTCGACCACTTACAGTCTTCATGTACAGAGGTTACTCAATGTACGCTGTCTTGAACTCGAGTGATAGACCTGTGTCCATCTTCTGATATTTTGCTGGTTATTATCGCAGGACTTGCGACGAGTGTTTAACACAATCTAAAGGATGCTGCTCTGATGAATGCTCGTCAGCTCCAAAATTGCGGCCCTTAATATCGAGACAACAATACGAGCGATGGCATAATTATCGTCCTACGGAACCTGCCTTGCCAAAGCCGGCCGACTATGTGAGCAGGAGAGCGATGAAGAGGAGGAGACGGAAAGAACGCAGAAAGGAGTTAATGAACAACGGTGTATGTGAGGAAGAACCCGAACTTCTTGTGCAAAATGCATGAAGTTGAACCATTGAAGAAGAGATATATCACAACTTTTACCTGCTGTTCGGTCAACGCAAAGTTGTCAAACAAATTCAACGGCTGGACCGAAGACATCGAAGGTAATCGATTAGGCGTTGCTAGAGTTCAAGGTTCTCTTAAGTTTAATGCTTTGTCATTACCTCGGATACATTGACGAAGAATTAGTATGTTCCTTTCTGGGCTTTGATCTTCGAGTATCTGTATGCGAATGGAGAGGGTCGGACTTCACCGGTTGTAACTGAGGGTGTGAATGTTGATTTCCAGGACACGTTGTTGCCGATGGTTTTTGAAGAGGGGAAGAATGCTAAGCTTAAAGAACTTCTCGATGTAGACGATTCGTCAAGGCAAGATTGTAGTAGATTTGAATTCATAGGAAAGCTTCGCAGTCTTTTCTTTGGACGGCCCGCGGTGCGCGGCGGCATCCTCGAGTAACAGCCAAAGCATCAGTCTTCTAATCCTTGAGATTCTACCTCAACTTCACGCCTTTAAGTTGCGCTTTGGGAACTTCATCTTGTCAAACCTTCGATACGGGGTGAAGTTTCAGTATGATAGACACCAAATGAGGCACTGTAGCCACGTACCTCGTTATTTGATACTGTCCCTCAATATGCAGGTTGTCACTGGCAGCCATTTACATAAACCATCTAATCATGGTGACCATCAGTTTTAGTGATGCATCTCAGAGAGGAGTTTAGATGAGGCCGGAATAAATTAGTTGGTAATAAAGCGACTAATATATGAGCATGCTCACGGCACTTTTTATGGTCAAGTGGCTCTCGAAATCGATCTATGTTCATGTTTGGGACGCATGGTTGTGTGGAAGTCAACAAACCTGTCTTGGATTGATCGTGTATAAGTTTTCTGAAGATTGTTCATGGTCCCACAGCTTTTGAATGATATAGTTGTCGCCTCAATCACTACGTTTGATGTTCCGTGTTCCTCCGCTACTTGCCGTTTGTCACAGTAACGACATCACACTAATTTTGTTTATTGTACTGGAATATATGTCCAAACGCTATATGCACTAAAACCATATAGTGTAGTGAACGAAGTTTCGCTTTTGTGGATGATTGTGAACTTGATAATCTTCTCGCGAAGACACCTATAATCGTCGGTACGAGGAGCAGAAGCGGGGGCTTCTCATAATTTGGTTTAGTTGTTATTATTCCCAGTCAGTTTTTATCATTCACGTCTTGAACACTAAAATAAAATTATGAGGGGATTATATTTTTTGATAGTATCTAAAATCACGTTTTCACAACTTTCCTACGATCACACGGAGAAATTGCAGCTTCACGCAGTGCTTGTTTACCGTATCTCACAGGAGTAGGATTATTCTCTAAACAGTGTGAACCGCAACCACCAAAAAGAGAATATGCTTCTTCCAGTTTGACAAGTAACAAGAACCCCTGAACAACTGTCCCAAATTCCAGAACAACAAGCTGTAGGGAAGAGTCGTACAAGTTAGCGGTGACCACCAGGAAAGCATCATTACTTCTTGGCACATATCAATGATCTTAATGCTGGAAAACAGGGCACTTCTGACAGCTGCTCAGCATCGGTGAAGAAGGTGAACGCGTGTACGTCCAAACTTACTGTACTGTCCGAAGGCTGTTGTGAATTTGCGATAAGGTAAAGATGAATCCCTTGGGAACCCTCCAAATGGCGTGTGGTGAGCATGTGGCCCACGCAGGTTTTCCGACCTTTTGAACCTTCAACTTCCTTTGGTGGGACCTGCCGGTACCGAACCACAATCCTTTTCCTGCTCGAACCATTGCTGCCAGTCTCAGAAGCTCACGCCCGAGGCTCAGCTCAGCTCACTCGAACAGTCGATCAACGAGTTGTACCCTTGTGCTCTGATTCTCAGGAGCCACAGAGAGGAGCAACATCGACAGTTGTGATTGATTTGCAGACTTCTAAAATCTGTCTGTCCTTACAGCAATTGTCTTGCGAGCACTCTGCAATTTGGCGCTGTGCAGGACGACATGGAGACGCTAATTCGGGGATCCGTGGGATTGAGTTCCCTCAGGGGAGTGTCAGTCTTGCCTCGCCCATCCTTGTCCCGTGACCTAAGGCGGAGCAGAATAGCGGTGGCAGCGGGCCCTCAGAGCAGCGCTCCAGGTTGGGGCACTCATTCATTTCATTTCCGAAATTTGCTCTGCTGTGATTCCCACTTGAAATGAAGCCAATGTGGCTTTGGATGGTCTGCTCCAGTCAAGACGACAACTTTTGCTGTACTCAATTCGTTGCCTCCTATAATGTGTCGACCCAACAATTGAATTGTTATTATTTTCTTCGGTGCAGAAATTGATCAATCTGAAAACTCCACCTTAGTCAGCTGTCCAACCAGGCATGCAGACACCGTGTTCACTGCAAAGACCAAGAAGGAAGACATTGCAGAGCTTGTATTCTTCCCGAGAGTTGAAGATGACTGCACAGCTGACAGCAACTCATTGTTGCTTTCCGTCTCTCCGCTCTCAATTTTGGCCCTCGCCGCTCTCCCCGGTGGTATCCTTAACGCAGATTGTCCGGCTACTCTGCCTCGTCGTTGAAGAGAATGTGTCGCAGGAACACAAACCTGAGTTTTATGAAACCTGTCGGAGAAGATTATCAAAAGATGACAAAATTAGTCTGCTGTAGAGAATTGAGCAAACAGTAAAGTCGAAAGCTAGACCGCAATGCATGCAAGGAATCTTCATCTGCTTCAAATTTACCACGTACATCGATTGCCTTGACTGACCATCCACAGCTGAGCAACTAACGAGTTTATTTAGTCCATTCGCTGAGCTCGTGAGAACATTTGACCTTCCAGAGTGGCTGATCCACTGGGGTCACCCCGGCAACATGGTACTTCCTACCGCATTAAACTCTGAGCGCATTGCAGCTGCGATTCATGTTTCTGAGCTCAGGACATTTCAGCAGTCTGACTATCTACAAATTCGGAAACTTTCACGCAGGCCGTCGTTCTGTTCGCAATGGGAGGCTATGGTACATACTTGGGATGGCAAATACGTGTTGGAGATGATATGGTGAGTTTCTTTTCCAATATCGCTGCAGGGCTACTTTGACAATTTCAACAAGGCAAAGAATTGCCATACCTCGACCTCAGACAATTGATCTCATCCCCAAATCCTCACACAAATGTTAAAACGTCGTGCAGGCTTTGAAGGCCACTGCCAAAGACCTTCACCCGAAGCTTTTCGCAGGACTTTTCTTCTTCTTCGCTGCGGGAGCCACGGGTGGAGTCACGTCTCTGCTGACACAAGGAAAATCCATCTTCGAGAGGTATGCGAAGAGTTCATTCGCCGTTCTACTCATGGTCACAATCCACGACGCAACCATTTTCGCATAACTAATGTTTCCTCCTTGCATGCAGCAATCATGCGTTGACGGGATTGATTGGCCTGGCACTTCTTGCCATTCAGACAGGTTTATCTTCGCAATTTGAGGTAAGGTTCTAATGCCATTTCACTCACTGCGGCTGCAAATCTCCATGCTGATGCTCGAAAACAACTATTTCGTCCCGATTCAGATTATCAGGAGGACATTAATTGCTAACTCAAATGTCATTTCTACGCAGGGTAAACCCGAACTCCGCAGTATCCACGCATACCTCGGGAGCAGTATCATGGCATTATTTTTAGTTCATGCGGCACTAGGTTTGCAACTAGGATTGAGTCTATAGTTACAACTTTCACATGCTCCAGAAAATGTAACGACAAGCAAAGTACATATCTTTCTCAGTCAATAAAACATTTTTCCTCGACGTTCTCAATGCATCGTCAGATTGAAGCTGAGTTATTGGCACAACTGACGAAGATATTAAATCCGAATGGGTAGCACGGCTTCATCAAAGAGCATGCTCCTTTATTTCGACTGCTGGATATTTACAAAATTGGACTCTCCGCTCACGGGAGACCTGTATATTCCCTATCGCAACTATATCGTAACTAATTACTTCCGCACATCACCGAGTGTTGGAGGAAATCCTCGGTTCTCTCTTTTGCCATCTTTCGAAAAAGGAGGAGGGTCGCCTTGGAGGGCAAGACCGATTTGACTAACGTAGAAGCGCCATTTCGCCCACCACTCGCTGAAGAGGAAATGTATCGGGCATGAAAATAAGCTTACTGTAGTAGGCGGAGAATTTTATTTAATTAGGCCCCGCTTACGGACGCTAATTGCGCTTAAATCAAGTCATTCACGTCTAAGGGGCAAGTTCACGAAGTTGACCTCAAAAGTAAATGAATGATTTCCTTCACCAGCACATGACGAGAATAACACCCTCCAGGCGTTCTCGAGAAGATCGACGACGTTCAACCACTCACATTGAGCAGAGCCAAAGACAAGCAGTGCTCTGGATTGATACGGACGACATCAGATTGGCAAGAGATCTTCCTGCGCTTCAGCTCAGCAGGAGGAGTGATTATAAGATACGCCATCACTCGCAGCTGGACTGCGGTGCCGTACACCAGTGCGTGAGCGGCAGCCAGAGGTGCTGCCATGTCGCACCAGAAGGTGCTCACTTCCTTGCTCGAGGGATCGCTGGATTTCGACACCTTCCTAGGAGCCGGCTTGAAAACCGTGCGAACAACCGGCAATTCGTCACCAGAACGACTTGGTGTCGCTGCTGCGCGAGATATAAAGGATTCTGCACGCCAACCACGACGTTAGCGCGAGCATACTGAATTTGATGTGCGAACATGCTGAATTTGATCTACCAACGGGAACACAAAAGCACAAAGGAAGCGAGCTGAGCTCCGCGGGCAAACAAGGGAAGGGAAAAGTTTCGGACCGATAGCCTCCGGGACTGCCAGTACGGTGAAGTGCAAGACATCCAAAAAGCCTTCGTATATTGGATGCCCTGGCTTGATGTCCAAGTTCAAATCCTTGGAAATAATCTTCCTCGGAGATGCTTGGACGGGAAGAGTCGCATCCAGATAATGGTTGCTCCGGTACTGCTCAAGGGTCAGAGAGAGCACCTGCAAAGATTTCAAGCCCGAGCATGAGACAATCTCTTGCTCTCGACACACGTCAGAGAATTATGCAACATATTGGATAAACTTCAAGGAAGAAGGTCAGACATGAACACTGCGCATGGAACAGCAGGGGAAGTACACTCGCCTTTCTGATCATGACCCCCTCCGATTTTCTGAAGAGGGAAACCATCGCCTGAGGATCCCATGGAACCTCTATGACCACTTGCACCGGCAGCTCATCAAGCTCAGAACCGTCTTCGTCGATGAAACACTGGGTCATATTCGGAATATCGAAATAATAATTTAAGCCGGTCCTGGAGCTCGTGATTAACAGCGACCTCTGAGAACTGACGATTGCCCTCAGCAACGCGGTGGCGATGTCCTGGTCGTACTGTTTCAACACACCAGACGAGTCCTTGTAATGGACTATTGCCGGATTCCTCTGCTGAGGCGGCGGGGGTGGTGCCATAGTCTGTGCAAGCAGGCAAACAATCAGGGCAAGCTTTAAACCCCCGGATCGGCTGAAACAGATGAACCAGACGCAAATCGAGGAAATCCAGGTGGGATGGGATGTCAAGCTCTACAGAGTGCGGTAATTCGGAGCTCAAACAACGAGAGACCTTACTCTCGAGAGAAACGAAACACAGAAACGAAGCACTCACGAGTTGTGGAGGAGTCTTTTTGACTACTGCCTGGACTGCCTGGCGGTCGATAATCTTGATGGGCCTAATCTGCCCGCTGCTTACGGCCACCTGCTCCATCTTTTGCAGGTTCACCGTGTAGCGTGCTCCATTCGGATGCACGGACGACTTGATCGTTCCAAGGTCTATAGCCTTCAAACCAGACGATACACCATTCCTGATCTGCGATTGAAGCGCAGATTCATACTTCTTCCAGGAGGTGTCGTCCCTCCACCAGACGCCCTCCTCTTGGGGATCCGCGCACGGTTGAAGAATACACATCCTCGCGCTGACAGGAATCCCAGTTTGGAAATTCTGCCAGAACGCAAAGCCCCGGCAGACACCTCTCCCACCGCCACTGCTCCTCTTGCCGGAAGCTCTGATGGACTGAGACCTTATGAAGGCCTTCGAGGGCTTCTCAAACCGGGAGCTCTGTCAGAATACGAAGTCCCGGAAGGCCGATCGCTCTGGCTTCCGAAGTGATCTGATGGAAGGGTCAATACAGGCAGAAGGGAGCTGGAGTGTCACCGCTGCGACTGACGGAAGATTTGGAGGGCATTGAGGTCGAAACGCCTGAGGAGTGGGCATTTCAACGGAAGCAACGCCGCATGAAGTCTCGAGGCTTTCATGATCCTCAGCCGTCACTTTCAGAGGGCCGGGGTTTCCGCGTGTCCGTGTACTCGCTGCTATTTTGGAACTAGCAGTAAATTTCCTCGACTACTTTAATGCTGGGCCTTCAATTGTCGGATTGTGGGGACGTATGTCTCTGTTCCATGCCCCGCAATCATGAAATTGGTGTATGAAATACTGCTAGTCGTACCAAATTGTGTTCGCCGGTACAGATCGGTGACCGGCCCGAACGGCGGCAGCCAGGCCTTGAGCAATGATCGAAGATTGAGGACTGGGCTTTAACACGTGCGGTACAGGAATAAATCCAGTGCAAATCACATTTATCACATCCTGATGTCTGAATCTCGCTGACAGGCTCGTCACTGACCAGGTTCGTAGCTCGCTCGTACTCGTGTCGTATAGAGTGCGACCAAGATAACGTAAGGGTCTGCCTCGATCGGAGTTGGAGACCTGTGCGGTCGAATATTAATTTGATCCACATCTTCAGATGATTCTAAGGCCATTGAAGCATGTGTCTCGCGGCTCGCCTCTCTGCCCTCTGTAGTCGCTCTTTTTTTGAACTGTATTCCACTTGACTCGTGGCGACGCACCAGTACATATGTACTCGACGAATCTATCACCATTAACTCAGCGACGAGCTCCAATTATGGTGCCCGTATGCCTTGGCGGCCGCGTACACCGTTTTCGAGCTCATGCGAGCGATCAATTACGCCTCTTTGGATTTCAATCTGTGTGTGGGAAAGCCGAAGCCGAGTCCAGTAGCAGACTCGACTCTCGACGAGTTTGGCCTTCTGGTGGGTCTGTGGCTCTTTGCGCTCGTATAGCTTGGACTGTAGCGTTCAGTTCATAATTAGAATCAGATTGGAGTGGAAGGAGTCAGTAGCTTCATCACCTGCACCAGGGGTGCTTGCAAGAGGCCCCAGAAATAAGTGGCATTTCTGCTCGTGCTCGATGCGGATGCGAATTTGTTGCTGCCTTCCTTTGCTCCTGCTGGTCCCCTTCCCTCTCCAGCCGTTTCGTCGTTAGATTACATCATTTAATGAGTATTGCAAATGTGGGCCTGGAAACTTTTGGGGTTACATCACCTGCGCTGACCTGGAGAGAAGGAACCGTCATGCCTGTGTCTGGCCGGAGGTTTGCCATTCTTGAGGTTTGAATGTATCGCCATGACTCCATGATCTAGCAACGGTGAGTTCCATAATCTTTGCCGTTATTGGATGCAATGGCAAGCAATCTCCTGTACTTCCACCGAGCGAAGCGCCTGTAAAATGTTGTTCAGATAGCGGTAGAAGTCACGTGAAGTCGTATCGATGTCTCGTGTATCGTTCCTCAATGAGCGATATACATCGATACTCGATGTACTAGACTCGTGATTTGTTTTTGTTCTCTCTGTTCTCTCATGACTTTGGTATCAATCTGTATGTGAAAGAGCAAATCACTCGAGAGGAGTTCTGTCTACCTATAAGAAACGCCTCTTTCAGGAAAGGTTCTGAACCGATGATCGATAATGTAAATCTGGCCTTGTTTATTCCTCGGGACGGGGTGATCGTCGTTCCTGTTTCTTGTCCTTTCCCGGAGTCAATGCGCGAATGCTTGGTGTGAGAGTATCTACCATCTCCACTTTGACGTCGTCACCATAAGATGACAACAGGAAGTAGTTACATAACCAACGGATGTTCTTCCTGAATCTGTATATCTTCCGTGGAACACCGTTTTTGAGAAAAGGTTCAAGTACTGGATCACTACGTATCTTGAATCTCCGATCCGCTTGGCTGGTTGTTTATAACTGAATCTAGCAGATAATATTCATAATTTAGTTGTAGACAAGATCATCCACTCAGGCGAAGACACTAGCTGCTCGTACGAGTGTATGTAAAAGAATCTCACCGATAGCTTTCTTCTTCTGAGGTCAACACAACACTGGACAATTTTTTGCTGATTTCTTTGTCAGTGTTGTCCATTCCTTGATGTTTTACTGATAAAAAAGTGATTGTATTTGTCTGGACTCGTAGGGACATATCTAAAGTAAATATATGCATCGCACATCTTGTTTATGTCATCTATGCTCTATAATCATACAAGCTGTGCGCTCATCAGCTTCCGCCATACGCATATCTATATGGCGTTTCTTTCTGTTATGCGATGCTATTCACAGCTTTTATGAACAGAGTTTATGTGAAACTGAATTTCGAGGGTTCCGTGAACTCCCTTGTTGTGCAGCTTAGCGTGGAATAAAGCTAGCGAGGATTTCCGAGTTTCCCAATACGAATGTCGAATGTTTCTTTCTGTTTAAATCGACTTGTGTTGAGATTCGGAGATGGCCTGTTTACTGTACATCTAAACCCATCACAGGTTGCTTCCACCTCCAGGGAAAAGTACATTTACGTGATGTTGTGTAATTTACCATACTCCTAGTCGAGCCAGCTTTTGCGTGCTCTGAAATGTGACTTCTATGTAAGTGTCCCACGTCAAGGGTACTGAAGTATATGTAAGGCTGAATATCTGAGAACCTTAAACCAGTCCCACCACGGTATCCCACGTCTGGTTTGATAGCTCACTACTATATCATAGACCGTGGAAGAGAAGTAATTTAGCACGTCTGTGATTCATATGAACCATAGATGTGCGTCACATCAAGTCGAAAGTCTTAGAAAAGTTTAAGTTGGTTGTGTAGACTAGCAGTTTTGCGATATTCTTTTCTGAGCTTGATAAGGAACATGAGGCCTCGTTGCATTTCTATCGAGCATCAGAGCTTGCAAAGGCAGTAGTGGATTCATGAACTAGAGGTTTGAGGTGAAAACTTAAGAGTTAGGACTAACCCCATCTCTCAACTTCAACCAACTGTTCCTGAAAATCAAACGAGGAACGGTTAAACTAAACTCGAAGATGAAGGTTGTAAGTTCTGATCATTGATCTAAGGTGTCGGATGATCCAACTTCTTGGTCAAAATCCCTTCCCTAGTGGTTGCATATATGTTTGACTCCGTTCGAAGCATATGAGTTTTGCGTTTCGGAAAGTGACTCGTTTGAAAGTGTTCATCGAATCCGTGCGATTTCTTTCGGTTCAACATTTGTGTTTTAAATACATGATAGATATCAAGAATCAAAAAATAAAGAAAATTTTCTTGAACTTGTTTCTATGATCTGCAAGCACAACGTTAGATACGCCAATATTTGTCTCAACAATGCTCCTGAAAATGTAATAATAAAATCACTTAATATTCAGATGAAGATCTTGAAGGTCCACACGTTTATTGTAAAGAATTGCATCTTGAAGAAAATTGAGGATTTAATCTTCTGTTTGTTGGTGAATAAAGCACGGGATGAGTCAACAGAAGAGCAAATGTACCTTGTTTTCCAATATGTTTACAACAAAGTATACATTCAAAAATGATTTTTGGAAATTGTACATGTTATTGATACTCAAATTAAATCTTTAAAGTCTGCAATCACTTCCACACTTAATATGCACATGCTTTTATTTTCTCGTGTTTGCAAACAAGGTTATGATGGTGCTTCCAATGTGGGTGGTGCAATCAGCGATCTCAGTATTCTCATCCCAGAAGAGTTTTACTTGACGTACTATGTACATTTTCTTGCAGGTCGTTTACAATTGGCAATAATGTTTGCAGCTAAGTTTCAAGTTTTTTTTTGGATCTTTTGTTGATTTGTGTTGTCGTAAGATCTTCTTGCAAAGGACTCAATCGTTTGCATCCTCGATAAGCTGAGCAACTTTGCGGTGCTATAAATTTTGACGATTTAGTTACCGGATGGAGCTTGAAACAAGAACAATCTTTGCGTTGAACAACAGACACTTGTTTGCCATCCCATTATGTTTTTCTTAGGCCGTGTTCTTGAGATCTTGAAGACAATTGTGGAGCAAGTAGCACTTGCGAAATCTAGAGCTGAAGCTTCAAGGCTACTTGAAGTTGCATACTAGTTTGAATTTGTATTCATGCTTCATCTATTCAAGTCTATTTTGCTGAAAACAATGAATTTGTCCAGTATGCCTCAGAAAAAAGATCAAGAAATTGTAAATGACATGGACCTCGTGCACATCACAAAGGTCAAACTTGAGAATCTTTGTTTTGATCAGGTATGAACTTTGTTACTTAGCACCGTGAATTGTTTTTGCCAAGCTAACCATATCATTGTTACTCAACTTGATTCCATTTATATCGCGTCCCGGTCGTCCAAGATGTGATGTTCGACAATTCACTTTTGAGCATCATTTCAAAGTTGATATTTTTTATCGCGTTAACAATATGCAGATTGGGTAACTTCAAGATCGTTTCTTAAGAGAGTACTTGATTCTTCTAACGCGTATTGCTTTACTCAATCCTGCAAATCTGAAAGACGCTGTTGACTTTGGTCAGCTAATGGCTTTAAGCAAGATATATCCGATGTATTTCACAAATTATGAGCACAGTTTGCTTGAACAACAAATTGCGCAATTTCCAGATAAATCTGAAATCTAACGAAACCTTGAAAGATACATCTTCACTTTCTGCTATGAGCTTCATTGTATGAAACTAACAAATTGGATTGTTATACTCTTCTGTTCTGAGTGATAATGTTGGTTCTTACATTACCTTTGAATACAGCATCAGCTGAATGCACTTTCTCATCTTTGAAGATGGTTAAGACAAGACTTCTTAACAAGAAGGCCAATCAGTAACTGGCTCACTCTCTCTCTATATACATTGAGAAAAAAATCGCAAATAATAAATCCAATCAGAAGGTTATTGATAGATTTTTCTGCAATGATCACAAGTCGTTATCAATTTAACTAACCATTTGATTTAGTGCTACTGAGATTGTAGATTAGCATGTAAAACTTCTTTTGCCATAGCACTCAGAGTAATATCGAAGCATAACTCTATTGAAGTTCTAGATTTTTTTTCTAGATTAGATCTCTTTGAGGGCCAATAAGCATACGTTAAGTTTCTATAGAGCCTTTGCGTTGTACTCTTTCTGTGTTAACTCATGGTGGCTTGTTTCTAGTATTGTCCTCGACATGGTGCCATGAACTTTGAAACCATGATCAAGGAAAATAGTCAATTTACTTATGAGCAAGTTGGGAAGATCATTACTGATGCTGTCGTAGTATGTGAACTTGAACTGTAATTATTTTTTTCCATAGATTTCAAGTTGGACTTTGTGTCTTCAACTCAAAATCTACGGAATATACAAAGATTAACGTTCTTAGCTTCATCATCTTAATGACGAGGAAACATTTACAGTGATACCCGAAGTTAGAGTTGCAACAGACAAGGATTGAGATGAGTACAATGCTAATGAAAAACTGTTGTCGAAAGCAGGTCACTAATGTTCTCGAGCCACTCTAGAAAATAACGCAAACAAGAACAATCTGGCACATCGTCCACCAAAAGACATCCTTGGAGTTTAGGTGCACTGCACGTACTTCTGAGGTCGTCTGCCGATGACTGTGCATAGCTTTGTTGGTGAGAAGATCTCGCGCACTATTCCAGACTTGACAAGTAAACATTGAACTCGTTCATCACCAAGTACTCGATCGCATTTTCACATTTGAAAAAAAAACTCACTTCTGTCACTTGATTCTGTCACCATTGAAAGGCTGCAATCTACACATTTAACTTGCTTGCATTCCGCCAAACATTATTTCATAAGCTTGCAACAAAGTCATGAAATGTGAAGTGCGAGACATACGACCTTATGACGAGTATGAATCCCTGGCTAGTGGCAACTGATGATACATCGTAAGCTTGAAGCTTCAACAACTTTTTGACGAGTATCAGTCGATGGTTCATGGCAACTGACGATTCATCGTAAGCTTGAAGATTCAACTACTGTACATGTTAAAATGAGATTACACGCCAACTCTGCATTATGTTTCAAAATCAAGCTCCAAACATGAGTATGATCAGACATTTTCTAAACATTTCTTTAGAATGGCTCCCTTGTCTGTGCCACTGGTCATAATCATCTTAATTCATATATGATAATCTTGTCTAGCATGTATAGATTATTATGCTATTCATTTTTTTTCATTGTATTTTAAAATTGTATTTAATGTTTTTTGAGTTGAACAATCCAAGATATAACAAATTAATTGAAGTACTGGATATTAAATTAAATTGAATCAATGTATATTTATCACCATCTAATATTCAATTATAAAAAATAATACTTTCAATTTTAATAGATAAATCATTGTAACATTAAAAATTGAGGAAAAAATTTATTTGAATATATTTTTGAAAAGAAAATATTTTAGAATAATTTATTCTTTATTACATTTATTTTATAAAATATTAAAATTCATTGCATTATTTATTTCACTCATAGTGAAATAAATAATTGATTTAAACACACAGATTGTTCATGAGTTGTTCTCAATTATTAACAGACTCAATATGTTACTAATAAATGCATATTATTGATTATAAAATTATAATATTATATAAATTAATGTATATAATACAAATAATATTTATTTATTATACACGTATTGTTAATATGAGAATGTAACATACTGCGACTCTTTTTTATATTTTAATATTGAATAAATTTTATTTAGAAATTTATTCAACGAATTATATTTTGATTACAATCATAAATATTACACAGTTTTAAATATACATTTAAACACAAACATTAAATAGTGGTTATAAGAATATCAATTTCTCTCACAAAATGTTTTATACAAGTACATTTTCGACACATTCGTCATGTTTATTTTTAAAGATTGATTTTCACACTTGGATATATCTTCCTAGTTTAATGCTCGCCATTTTTGTTATCGTATGAATATGGTCTGCAGTCAGTAGATTAGTTGACTGATTTCTTATTAACCAAACAGTTATGATTTCATTATAAATGATTGTTTCATCGCGATGAAACAACACACCTTATAAATGATTGTTTCATTATCAATGATTGTTTCATCGCGATGAAACAATAATAATTTAAAACAAGCCATTTTATAAAGTGCAAACAAGAGTTTAAAACGAGAAGTATTTTTCATCTTTTAATTTTCAAAAACTTAAAAGTCAATAAACACTCACTAAAGGTTTTAGTGTGGTTTTGGGTTGAATCAGTTGGGGATCGGGGTTAACATCGGTTGCTCGACATTCGGGAGGTCTCTTCATAAGACTGGAATCCGATTATGCTGATTTACAATTATGTCACTAGGAGCCACATAATTCCATCGGGCTACTACCTCGTCATTATACGGCAATACATCCCCTTCAGTTCCAGTCCGAGTTCTAGTCCGAATCCGACCATGAGTCCCCATCCGAGTCCGAATTTGATGTTCCATGATGTACCTTAGTACATGCTGTCAGTATCCTGTCAGGATACAATGCGCTTGCATTAGAACTTTACGATACTGACCTCGAGAGTGGATGTTGTTAGTATATAATTACCGAGTGCAATATATGAGCAGATTAGGATAATCTGTGTTGTATTATGTCTTCCTTGTCTTCTTCTCCTTTTTTTTCTAGGCAGTTATATTTACGATCCATGTACTCATCATCGATATCTCCTTTGCTACTTAATATATCCTACTCTCACTACTACAATATCGAGTTCACTTCTTACTTCCAACATGATCGGTGTGATTGTTGATTTCCTCGAGCTCGCCCGAGCAAGCCACCCCTGCCCATTAGCGATTGCCTTCAGCAACACTTTTGCGATGTCCTGGTCATACTGTTTTAGCACACCAGACAAGTCCTTGTAATGGACTATAACTGGATTCTTCTGCTGAGGCGGCGGGGATGGTGCCAGCGCCTGTGCAAGCAGGCAAACAATCAGGGCAAGATTTAAACCCCCGATCGGGTGAAACAGATGAACCAGACGCAAATCGAGGAAAATCGAGGAAATCCAGATGGGATGGGATGTCAAGCTCTACAGAATGCGGTAAATCGGAGCTCCAACAACGAGGGACTCACCGGTTGTGGAGGAGTCTTGGACTTTCCTGCCTTGACTGCCTTGCGGTCGATGATCTTGATGGGCCTAATCTGCCCGCTGCTTACGGCCACCTGCTCCATCCTTTTCAGGAGCACCGTGTAGCGTGCTCCCTTCGGATGCACGGACGACTTGATCCTGCCAAGGTCTAAAGCCTTCGCACCAGACGATAGACCTTTTCTGATCTGCTTCTGATGCGCAGATCCATACTTCCTCCAGGAAACATCGTCCCTCCACCAGACGCCTGCCTCTTGCGGATCCGCGCACGGTTGAAGAATACACATGTTCGCGCTGACAGGAATCTCAATTCGGAAATTCTGCCAGAACGCGAAGCCCCGACAGACACCTCTCCCACCGCTACTACTCCTCCTGCCGGAAGCTCTGATGGACTAAGATCTTATGAAGGCTTCGAAGGCTTCTCAACCCGGGAGCTCTGTCAGAATACGAAGGCCCGGAAGGCCGATCGCTCTGGCTTCTGAAGTGATCTGATGGAAGGGTCCATAAAGGCATAAGGGAGCTGGAGTGTCACCGCTGTGACTGACGGAAGATTTGAAGGACAGTGATGTCGAAACGCCTGACGGGTGGGCATTTCAACAGAAGCAACGCCGTATGAAGTCTCGAGGCTTTCATGATCCTCAGTCGTCACTTCCAGAGGGACGAGGTTTACGCGTGTCCGTGTACTCGCTGCTATTTTGCAACTAGCAGTAAATTTCCTCGACTAATTTAATGCCGGGCCTTCAATTGTCGGATTGTGGGGACGTATGTCTCTGTTCCATGCTGCGCAACCATGAAATTGGAGTATGAAATATTGCAAGTCGTACCGAATTGTGTTCGCCGGTAGAGATCGGTGACCGGCCGGAATGGCGGCAGCCAGTCCTTGAGAAATGATCGAAGAGTCTGACTCGATCGAACTTGGAGACCTGTGCGGTCGATCATTAATTTGATCCACATCTTCAGATGATTCTAAGGCCATTGGAGCATGTGTCTCGCGGCTCGCCTCTCTGCCCTCTCTAGACGCTCTTTCTCGGAACTATACTCCATGTGACTCGCGGCGACGGCCCAGTACTTATGTACTCGACGAAACTACTTCGCGATGAGCTCCAATTCCAACTCTATTTCATCGTGAAAGCCAGCAGGTTGTCGAACAATATTTGAAACTGTTCAGCGAATCCGTGGGATTTAATTCTACGTTTGCGTTTTGAGTACATGAAAAACATCAAGAATCGGCAAATAGAGTATATTTTCTTGAACATTATATATGACAACAAAAAGAAGTTGTTGACTTCTTATGTAATAATCCACTAAAGTCTAAAACTGCAATATAGTGATAGAAAAATCGAACTCACAGGGACAAAAGAACACACAGGGTACAAAGTGTCACATTTAACAGACTATTGAAGAGTTTGAATTCTCAAGCGACTGTCACTCCCAGAAATACTACAAGTGTTCACTCGGAGCTCACTCGGAGGTCGCACAGTGCAGCGTACAACACACACACACACAGCTGAAACTACAGAAACACAACCCAGATCTCTACTTAAGATTTCAGGGTGGGAAAAGTCTCTCGCGAGTACACTTAGCGAATCTGCGGGTAGTGACTCCCAACTCCGGCTTTTACAACCCTCCCACTAGCTTTCTGCTAGTGTGGGAAACCCGGGTTGGACTTCCTACTTCGGATCGAAGTCACTCCCACGCGGCGAAAAACACGCTCAACTCACAAAACGCGCAGATAACACAGGTCCGCATGGAAGGACTCACTGAGAAACGTTCCAGTAACACACCATAACAGTCTATTGAAGAGTTTGAATTCTTAGGCACTTGTCATTCCCAGAAATACTACAGGGGCCTGTAGTATTTCTTTCTTTCTGCAGCAGGTGCCTTCAGGTTACCCTTAAGGCACCTGCTGCAGCGTAACTTGATTTACAACCAAGGCTTACACGAAGTAGCAAAACTTCACTTTGGCATTCAGGGGAAAAATCCCGAAGGAGTACAATCAGGAACAATCACTCGAAAGTGTAAGGGGAAACTGTTCAAGTATCTAACTCGTCGCTGGCTCTGAGCATCGGCAATCACCCGCAGGTGTAGATCCGAACTACTCAAGTCTCTAACCAATGTACTAGCTCTGAACATTCGGCCGAAGGCCTTCAGCTACACAATGCGGACCGCCAAGGTGTAGCTCCTCTTGCGTGGTGACAGAACTAAGTACACAAACACGCAGAGAAAATGAGTTCCTAATCTGCACTTCCAAAACTGGAAGAATCCCAAGGCAAGACGCCTTGAACTACTTTATACCTTCTAAGTCCTAAGTAGCACTACACTGCACTACACTCCGCAGAACCTGTGCTTCGCCTCCTAAGCGACGGACTGCCGCGCACTAACTCCCTATCCTGCCAGTCCTCAGCTCGACTGCGCAGTCCCAACCGCCGCAACACCGCGGAAACCTCCGTCTCAAGAGTGGCCATGATGTCCCGTGACATCGACAGAAAAGAGTCTAACTTCTTCGCCACTCGCCGCCGACTCCGACTGTCACCTGTCAACAACCCGGCTGCACGAAGCTCTAACTCGCGCAGTGTGAGTTTCTTCTACGCCGCCACTTCCCAGTAGGCGTAGCCCCTGAGACAGTGGGTGACTCGCCTCGCCATCTCTTCCTTTGTGCGATCTGCCGCCCGCCGGCGATCGTCTTCAACTACAACCAACTGCAATTCGGCCTCCGCACGCTGTGCTCTCAATTCTCCGCACTCGGACTGCAGTCTGCGGATTAATTCCTCATCCGCCTGTCGTGCGAGCTGACACTGCTCTTACAACCGTGTCTGTCGCACGAGCTCCTCTAACGAAATTCGATTTTGAGCCTGCTCAGAATCCAGCGCCTTTGTGAGCTTTGCCTTCTTCTTGGCGAACTCTTCCAGCTTCTCGTCCTTCGTCTTGTCAAAGTGTTTGTACAACTTCCTATTGAGGTTGTACTGACCCCATAGGCACTCATGCTTCTCCCGCAAATCCTTAAGTTCCTGGTCCACCCGGGCCAACAACTTGCTGGTGTGGACTTTAGTGCGAGTTCGCCTACACACTAACTCGACGTAGGACCCAGGCTGGCGAGGGTCCGCGTACTTCTCCATCTTGGGGTCCAGGTACCTCAGTTGAGGTACTACCTGCTCACAGAGTGCCGCCGTCGGCGCGCCTACCATTTCCTCCTCCTCCTCCTCGGTGGATATCGATCCCGACACTGATTCCGTGGATACTCCTTCTTCGTCATCCTTTGAATTGAGGATTTCGGTCGCCATTGAATGCGTCGGCGACTGGCCTGTGCGGGGCTGCGAGATGTCTGCGTGCTCTGCCGCCGCTGGCATTCCTGCAGCCTCGCTGCTCCCTACTAAGATGTCCAAGGCGGTGGGTGAATGCGGCCCTGCCAAATTCGCATCGTCCGCCTGTCCTTGTCCCGCCGCGACTGTAACCTCCTCGCCGCCGGCGTCTACCGCCGAAGGCGATCGTGCGGAATGTACCTGCGCGGGGTGTAATTGTGCATTGCGCGCACGAATTTCACCCTGCGGACAATCAATCCGCTCCACCGATCGGTCATGCTCCACCCTTAGGTACTGCGCCAAGGATGCGTCTACGCGTAGGCGCAATTCCCGGCACTTCTTTCGCCGAGGGCGCAGCGCCGAAGGCGTCTACCGCTGTTGGCGGTTGAGCCGAAGGCGGCCCGCCCGATGTCTCTTAGCCCGAAGGCCCTTCCGCCGAAGGCGCACCTTCCGGCGGATTTCCCGCCGGCTCTCTGTTTGTAGCTCGGTGGCCCGAGGGCCCTGGCGCCGAAGGCGCATATCTTGGCGATCTCGCCGCCGGAGGGCCTTGCCCCGAAGGCCCTTGAACCGAAGGCGGATCTTCCGCCGGCTCCTTCCTTTTTCTGCGTTGCACCGGGGGTGAGTCCTGCCTTTGCGTAGGCGAACTTTCTCTGCCTATGCGTAGGCACAAGTCTACGTCCGCAAAGGATCGCCTATCCACAGGGAGTCGCCTATGCGTAGGAGGCACACTCATCCGCGCCGCACGTTGTAGCTACTGATCCGAAGGTCGTCTCTACTCCGACGAAGGCGTAGGATGGTCTACTGATCTCTCGGCCGTCCGCGCAGTCCTTCACTGTAGGCGCAGCGCCGAAGGCGTTGACCGCGGTCAACGGACTCCGTCTAGTCTGTCCGTCTCTCTCGCCTTTCCATCGGCGCTCTTGTCTCCAAAATCCCGACCGGCCGAAGGCGCACTCGTCCGTACAGTTCGTACGGATTTCGCTACTCCGTTGGGTCCTTACCTAACCGTGATGCGCTGGCGCCGAAGGCGCCGTACAAGTTCCAACCCCGAAGGCGGATTTCTAGGGCCGAAGGCGGACTTCCCGCCAATGCCGAAGTGCCTATGCGTATGCGATCTCCGTGCGCCCATGCGTAGGTGCAAGTTCTCCCGCCTATGCGTAGGCGGATGTAATAACCCTATTTCGCCTATGCGTAGGCGGACTTCTCTCGCCTATGCGTAGGCGAAGGTCTTCGTATCTTTCGACCGTCACAACTCCCTGAGTCCTGATCCGTTCCGAGCGAGTTTGGGCTCGTTAGGACCAGTGCGTCAAGCTCTTTCCAACAAGACCCTAACCAAGTCAAGACGTTCGGGAATTGCATAGATTCTGAGGGATTCCTCTAGCGCCGAAGGCGGATTATGCGCCTTGCGCCGAAGGGGTACTCCTTCAGAGCCCGTCGTTTAGGGCGGCGCCTGTTCCAGACATTGCGCCCAACTCCTGGATTCTACGAGATTCTCCAAGATCATCTAGTTTCACTTTATTTTAATGTACCGATTGCTATTTACACTGCTGCCGCAGTACAGTTTTCCAAAAATGTTTTAAATTCCGCAAAAATACCAAAAGTGGGTTACCACAGATATGCAAGCACAATGTCAGCTACGCCAATATTTGCCTCAACAACGCTACTTAAAATGCAACAATGACATCACTTGATATTTAGATGAACATCTTGGAGGCCACTCGTTCATTGTTAAAACTTGCATCGTGAAGGAAATTGAAGATCTGATCTTCTGTTTGTTGGTGAACGAAGCCCGAGATGAATCAACGAAAGAGCAAATGTCCCTTGTTCTACAATATGTTGGCAACAAAGGATACATTTGAGAAAGTTTTTTGGAAATTGTACATATTATTCATACCGAATCTTTAATCACTTCCACACTTCACATGCACATGCTTTTATTTTCTTGTGTTGGCAAAAAAAATTATGATGGTGCTTTCAATATGCGTGGTGCAATAAGTGGTCTCCGGCCTCTCATCCAACAAGAGTTTTCCTAGACGTACTATGTCCGCTGCTTTGCACATCCTTCACAATTGGCAATAATGTATGCAGCTAAGTTTCAAGATTTCTTTTCTGACCTTCTTTTTATATGTGTTGTCGTAAGATCTTCTTGCAGACGAGTCAATCAGTTTCGTCCGTTGTAGGCTGAGCAAATTTGTGATGCAATTTCTTTGTGCGACTTAATGACTGGACGGAGGTTGAACCAAGAATACTTTGTGCGTCAAACAGCGGACACTTGTTGGCCATCATATTATGTTTTCTTATGTACTGTTCTTGAGCTTTTGGAGCAGGGTTTGACATGCATGGCTGAAAATCACCTGGTCACCCCGGGAAGGAGCCACAAAACGTGGTTTTTTGTGATTTTTGACTTGAGCATTCTTGATTTCTCGGGCTCACCTGGAAACATCTAGGTGACCAAAAAGTTCCGGGGTGTTCTGAGTGGATTGAAAAAATTCCGGGGGTTTATCAGTGGATTGAAAGCTCTTGAAATGTTCCCGAAATTCATTGACATTTAAGGGGTGTCCCTGGTTCTACCCTTAAAAACCTCCGGATGTAACCCTATTAGCAAGAGAAAGTCAGACGGTTGTGCTCCTATTTCACCCCCGAAGTAAGTTAGCCATTCCCGGGGGAATGTCAAACCCTGTTCTGGAGACATTTGTGGAGGAAGTAGCAATTGCGGAATCTAGAGCTGAAGCTTGAAGGCTGCTTGAAGTTGCATCCTTGTTTTATTTTATATTCATGCTTACTGTTCAGGTCTATTTTGCTGAAAATAACGCATTTTTTTAGTATGCCTCAGAAAAAAGGGCAGGAATTTGTAAATGACATGGATCTCGTGCACATCACGAAGCTTAAACTTGAAAATCTTCGATTTGATTAGGGATGCAGTTTGTTTCTTGAAGTTTGTTTCTTACCACTGTGACGTGTTGTTGCCACTCCAACGATATCAGTGTTCCTCAACATGATTACATTTATATTGCGCCTTGTCGTCAAACCCTTATGAAATAATGTTTGGGAGGATGCAAGCAAGTTAAATGTGTAGATTGCAGCCTTTCATTGGTGATTGAATCAAGTGACAGAGGTGAGTTCGTTTTGAAAAGTGAAAATGTGATCGAGTACTTGGTGCCGAATGTGTGCAATGTTGAATTGTCAAGTCTTAAATAGTGCGCGAGATCTTCTCACCAACAAAGCTATGCACAGTCATCGGCAGACGAGCTCAGAAGTACATGCACTGCACGTAAACTCCAGGGATGTCTTTTGGTGGACGATGTGTCAGATCATTATTAAAATCAAGTAAATATTAATCAGTTGTGATTATCCACACTAAACCCACTTATGTATCGGGGTTAAAAGTGGGCTTAACATCGGGTTCTCGACATTCAGGAATTCTCTTTATAAGACTGGAATCCATTTATGCTGATTTACAATTCTGTCGCTAGGAGGCACATAATTCCATCGGGCTACTACCACGTCCTCGTCATTATACTGCAATACATCCCCTTCAGTTCCAGTCCGAATCTGATTTCCATGCTGTCAGGATACAATGCGCTGCCATTAGAACTTTACGATACTGACCTCGAGAGTAGTTGTTGTTAGTATATAATTACCGAGTGCAATATATAGGCAGATTAGGATAATGTGTGTTTAGTTATTCCTTATCTTCTTCTCCTTTTTTCTAGGCAGTTATATAAATAATCGACTGACTCATCATCGATATCTCCTTTGCTACTTGAGGGATCTTATTCTCACTAATACTTTCAACAGGGTCGGACTTCACCTGTTGTAACTGCGGGTACGATTGTTGACTTCCTCGAGGTCGAGCGTACAAGCCACCTCTGCCCACTAGCGATTGCCAGCAACACTTTGGCGGTGTCCCGGTCGTACTGATTTAGCACATCAGACGAGTCCTTGTAATGGACTGTAACTGGATTCTTCTGCTGAGGCAGCGGGGCTGATGCCTGCGCCTGTGCAAGCAGGCAAACAATCAGGGCAAGTATTAAACCCCCCGATCGGCTGAAACATACAAACCAGACGCAATTCGAGGAATTGCAGGTGGTATGGAATGTCAAGCTCTATAGAATGCGGTAATTCGGAGCTCAAACAACGAGAGACCTTACTCGCGAGAGAAACGAAACACTCACGAGTTGTGGAGGAGTCTTTTTGACTACTGCCTGGACTGCCTGGCGGTCGATGATCTTGATGGGCCGAATCTGCCCGCTGCTTACGGCCACCTGCTCCATCTTTTTCAGGTTCACCGTGTAGCGTGCTCCCTTCGGATGCACGGACGACTTGATCCTGCCAAGGTCTAAAGCCTTCACACCAGACGATAGACCTTTTCTGATCTGCAACTGATGCGCAGATCCATACTTCCTCCAGGAAACATCGTCCCTCCACCAGATGCCTGCCTCTTGCGGATCCGCGCACGGTTGAAGAATACACATGTTCGCGCTGACAGGAATCTCAAGTCGGAGATTCTGCCAGAACACGAAGCCCCGAGAGAAACCTCTCCCACCGCTACTACTCCTCCTGCCGGAAACTCTGATGGACTAAGATCTTATGAAGGCTTCGAAGGCTTCTCAACCCGGGAGCTCTGTCAGAATACGAAGGCCCGGAAGGCCGATCGCTCTGACTTCTGAAGTGATCTGATGGAAGGGTAAATAAAGGCAGAAGGGAGCTGGAGTGTCACCGCTGCGACTGACGGAAGATTTGAAGGACATTGAGGTCGAAAGGCCTGACGGGTGGGCATTTCAACAGAAGCAACGCCGTATGAAGTCTCGAGGCTTTCATGATCCTCAGTCGTCACTTCCAGAGGGCCGAGGTTTACGCGTGTCCGTGTACTCGCTGCTATTTTGGAACTAGCAGTAAATTTCCTCGACTAATTTAATGCCGGGCCTTCAATTGTCGGATTGTGGGGACATATGTCTCTGTTCCATGCTGCGCAACCATGAAATTGGAGTATGAAATACTGCAAGTCGTACCGACTTGTGTTCGCCGGTAGAGATCGGTGACCGGCCGGAACGTCGGCAGCCAGGCCTTGAGCAATGATCGAAGAGTCTGCCTCGATCGGAGTTGGAGACCTGTGCGGTCGATCATTAATTTGATCCACATCTTCAGATGATTCTGAGGCCATTGAAGCATGTGTCTCGCGGCTCGCCTCTCTGCCCTCTCTAGACGCTCTTTCTCTGAACTGTACTCCATGTGACTGGCGGCGACGGTCCAGTACGTATGTACTCGACGAATCTACTCAGCGACGAGCTCCAATTATGGTGCGCGTATGGCTGGGCGGCTTCCGTTTTCGAGCTCATGCGAGCGATCAATTACGCCTCTTTGGCTTTCAATCTGTGTGTGTGAAAGCCGAAGTCGAGTCCAGTCGGTTACTCGACTCTCGACGAGTTTGGCCTTCTGTTGGCTCTGTCGCTCCTTGCGCTCGGACTGCTCCATCAGCCGAGTGCGTATGCTCATGAAAATTCTTTTAAGCTTCGAAGCGTTCAGTTCATAATTACATTCAGATTGGAGTGGAAGGAGTCAGTAGGATCATCAACTGCACCAGGGGTGCTTGCCAGAGGCCTCAGAAATAAGTGGCATCTTCTCCTCGTGCTCGTAACGAATGTGAATTTGTTGCTGCCTTCATTTGCTCTTGCTGATCCTATACCCTGTCTTGCCATTGGTCGTTAGATCACATCCTTTAATGAATATTGCAAATGTGGGCCTGGAAACTTCAGGGGTTACATGATCTGCACTGTAGGAACCGGTGCCCGAGTCCATGACATGCCGGTTGCTGGCCAGTTGAGTTTTGAATGTATCCCATAACTCCATAAACTAGCAACGTTGAGTTCCATAAGATTTGCCGGTTGTGGATGCAATGGCAAGCGTTCTCCTACTTCGACTGAGCGAAGCATCTGAGGAATGTTGTTCAGATGACGGTTGAAGTCACGTGAAGTCCTGTCAATGTCTCGTGCATCGTTCCTCAATGAGCGACAAACATCGATACTCGATGTACGAGACTCGTGACCTCTTCATGACTTTCGTATCAATCTGCATGTGAAAGAGCGAATCACTCGAGAGGAGTTCTGTCGACGTATAAGAAACGCCTCTTTCAGGAAAGGCTGTGAACTGATGATCGGGAATATATATTTATCCTTGTTTATTCCTCGGGACGGGGTGAAGGTCGTTCCTGTTTCTTTTCCTTTCCTTGAGTCAATACGCGAATGCTTGGTGTTAGAGTATCTACCATCTCCACTTTGACGTCGTCACCATAAGATGACAACAGGAAGTAGTTACATAACCAACGGATGTTCTTCCTGAATCTGTATATATGGAACATCGTTTTTGAGAAAAGGTTTAAGTACTGTACCACTACATATTCTGAATCTCCGATCCGCTGAGTTGGTTGATTATAACTGAATCTAGCAGAAAATATTCATAAGTTAGTTGTAGACAAGATCATCCACTTACGCGAAGACACTAGCTGCTCGTACGAGTGTATGTGAAAGAATCTCACCGATCGCTTTCTTCTTCTGAGGTCAACACAACACTAGACGAGCTTTATGCTGATTTCTTTGTTAGTGTTATCCATTCCCTGATTATTTACCGAAAGAAAAGTTATTGTATTTCTCTGGACTCGTAGGGACATATCTGGAGTAAATATATGCAGCGCACATCTTGTTTCTGTCATCTATGCTCTATAATCATACAAGCTATGAGCTCATCAGCTCCCGCCGTATACCTATCTATACGGCGTTTCATATCGTTATGCAATGCTTTCACAGCTTGTGGGGAACAGATTTTATGTGATACTAAATTTCGATGGTTCCATGAATTCCCTCGTGGTGCAGCCTAACATGGAATCAAGCTAAGAAGGATCTCCGAGTTGACTCCCAGTACAATGTGGAATGTTTTCTTCTGTTTGAATCGACTTGTATTGAGATTTGGAGATGGGCTTTTTACTGTACATATAAACCCATCACAGTTTGCTTCCACCTCTAGGGGAAAGTACATATACGTGGTGTGGTGTAATTTACCATACTCCTAGTTGAGCCAGCTTTTGCATTCTCTGAAATGTTACTTCTATGTAAGTGTCCCACGCCAAGGGAAGTGAAGTGTATGTCAGGCTGAATATCTGAGTCCCTTCAACTAGTCCCACCACGGTATCCCACGTCTGGTTTAATAGCTCACTACTATTTCACAGCCCGTGGGAGGGAAGTAATTCAGCACGTCTGTGATTCATATGAACCATAGATGTGCGTCACATCAAGTCGAAAGTCTTAGAAGAACCCTTCGTTGGTTGTTTAGACTGACAGTTTTTGCGATATTCTTTACTGAGCTTGATAAGAAACATGAGGCCTCGTTGCATTTCTATCGAGTATCAGAGCTTGCTAAGGCAGTAGTGGATTCATGTAGAGTTTTGAGGTGAAAACTTAAGAGTTAGGACTAACCCCACTTCAACCAACTGCTCCTGAAAATCAAACGAGGACCGGTTAAACTGAACTCGAAGGTGAAGATTGTCACTGCCGACTTGTCTCTGATCATTGATTGATCTAAGCTGTTGGATGATACAACTTCTTAGTCCAAATCCCTTCACTCGTAGTAGTTGCATCTATGTTTGACTCTGTTCGAAGGGTATGAGTTTTGCATTTCGGCAAACCAATGAGTTGGCATGTCGAGTGCCCACTTTCAGTACATTTCAAAGGGTTTTGTGAGTTCTATCACTTCGGAGTTTCTTTTGCCTTTCTCGAAACGCATGAAATCACCATGGGCTACATGGTACTGTTGTAAATATATTGATAGTGGCAGTGTCCTTGGAGCTTCTCCTTCAGCCTTTCACTACACATGTCAAATCTCATCACAGCGCTTATGGGTCAAAAGAAAACTCAACGTGGATCAAGAGTTATTAACTTCAAGAATATGTATGACATGATACATATGCAAATATCAGAATTCTCTTTCTTGTGATGAGTATATGACATATCAGTTAGTCTCAACTTGAATTGAAACAACTGTACCAGCCTAGAAATTTTAACGTCTGTCGATAGCATATTCCTGGCGGGAAACACTACGTCGTGTAACCAAAGTTTGCTAAGTCCAGGATAACACTGATTATGAATGGAATATTTCTATCTTGCGTACGTTCGGGAGAAAGTCGTGAAACGATTGTTCAATACCGCGTCAAAATCCCATCGATCAATATTCTTATTTTCATTTCTTGCGGCAAGAAATGACTAAATTATACTCGAAAACAAAGGTTCATATTCATGAACATGTTCGTGGAAGGTTTTGTAATTTTGTTCACATCTGATGCAATAGTATGAATCTTCTGAAGATTTTATTGTATCTAAATGAACATAAATTCCAAGAAGTTTAAATTATTAAATTTTGTAATTTAATATTTTTGATTTTATATATTATTTATTCTAAATTTCTTGTAGTTTTTTTTAATAAAATAATATTACCAAGAGAAATTACTTGATGGGAATACCGGAAAATGAAAAACAATTCTTAACTTCTTGTTCATTTTATCCAAGGAGATCTCTCGGAAGAAGACTACAATACACCGTCACTTCTTATTTGGCTACTATAGTGTGGTTATGAGGAAGATAAAGGGATAATACCTCGAGGGGTTAAATTGTCCTAATGAAAATCTGTAAATCATTGTGGAGAAAAAATATAATTTGGAACAATTAAAAGAATAAAAAAAACATTTTGATATTGACGAACTGACATTCAGGTCATAGTCTTTGTGTTTTTTATGGTTTTAAAATCATCGTTCTGACCATTGGAGCAGTTCATTGTAATTATCGGAATTATAAGATTGTTAAAGTAATTGTGAATTTTGTCTAGAGAGCGTACCGTCCTACAATGTGTTGTAATCTCATGCTGAAACATGGGTGCTGAAGTGTATAGGAACCATAGAAAACCATGAAACTAGGGAAAGCATGATCTCAACAAATATTAAGAAGATTCTAATCAAATATATTTTTCTTTTATTAACAAAAAAAAAGTTCTATTTTGTTAATTTAAAATTTCTATGTCTACCCTTGTCAAGTACAATATCTTTCTTGTTAGCATTTTCTTTGTGCTTTATTATTAAATTGATTTTACTATTGATAATTTTCATATAGTAAGCTTTAGAAATATTTCTTTCGTTAAACTAGATATATTGAGAAAAATTCCAAATTAATAATAATCTTATATGTTTCTAAAATTCATATCGAATTGTTCACAATGTCTACATAATTAAATAATGATATTTATTAGAGATAATATTCAATTTAAGATTATTTTTTAGGGTCTGAGAAGATAAATTATACAACAAAATGTTTTCAAATGATTAGATTCAAATTATAAATTTGAATAATATAAATATTTGATTACATTAGAGGAGAAATATTTAGTATACATATTACAATATTCAACATCAATATTTTTCTTTTAATAATTTTTAATGTTCAAAAACCTTTAGATAAATTTTCATTATGACAATTAACAAGTATATATACTCAAACTATGTCAAGTGTATGATGTTCACGTATCATAGTTAGTGGCGGAGTTAAGGGAGGGGGGAACATGGTACCCGAATCTAGATTCGGGGACTATGCTATTGAAAAACCCTAATACGAGGTAATGTGAGACGAAAGTTCTTGTCCACGGACTTGAGGAGATAAAAACTAATTTATTTTTCTTTTCTGTCATTTCTTCCTAACATTTTAGCTCTTGAGTCGCCCATGTTTAGTCTACCTGCTGTAAAACGTATATGCGCAAAATCCTCTGTCGGCCAGTTGTAACAAGATATTGCTCTACGCAAGCAGACCATATTTTGCATTCAAAGAGAGAACAACCATCCGTCGAGGTTACATCGAATTAGGCCTTTCCAGCCGATATTGAAAGAATATCCATCCATTCTCTCAAATCAAGGCGCTTAAACTCGGTTTGATTCAAAGTTCATCCCTATATGGAGAACACTCCTGCTGAAATTTAATGTTTTGTTTCCCTCTTTTTTATTTGCTAACATTGTAAAGCTTGGAAAAGCTTTTCTAAGCTTTACTAGCTTTACTCGATTTCGGTTACTAGCCGAATCAAAAACTAGAACAAAATCTATGGGAAAGATTGTAAACGGGTGAAACATACTGACGTTAGCATTGTGAATTCTACTCATTCTTTGTGTATGCGTTGTTGCCAAAGTTTATCACGACGTCAACATTCCACATCAACTCTATTTCATTGTGAAAGCCACCAAGTTATTGACAATATTTGAAAGTGTTAATCCAATCCGCGCGATGTCTTCCCACATTTGCGTTTTGAGTACATGAAAAATATCAAGAATCGGCAAATAGAGGAGATTTTCTTGAACTTTTTTCTATGATATGCAAGCACAATGTTAGCTACGCCAGTATTTGCCTCAACAATACTACTCAAAATCCAACAATGACATCACTTGATATTAGATGAACGTCTTGAAGTACGCACAAATTTTCAATTTCCTTCACAATGCAAGTTTTAACAACTTGCATTGTGAAGGAAATTGAAAATTTGATCTTCTGTTTGTTGGTGAACAAAGCTAGATATGAATAAAGGAAAGAGCAAATGTACCTTGTTCTCCAATATGCTAGCAACAAAGCTTACATTCTAGAAAGATTTTTGGAAATTGTAATTAATATTCAAACCGAATCTTTAAAGTCTGCAATCTTTTCCACTCTTCACATGCACATACTATTATTTTTTTGTGTTCTCAAACAAGATTATGATGTTGCTTCCAATATGCGTGGTGCAATAGTGGTGTCTGGATTCTCATCCAAGAAGAGTTTCGAAGAGCTTGAATTTGCATACTTGTTTGATTTTAAATTCAAGTCTATTCTGCTGAGAATAACGCATCTGTCTTGTATGCCTGAGAAAAAAAGGCAAGCATTTGTAAATGACATGGATCTCGTGCACATCACGAAACTTAAACCTGAAAATCTTCGTTATGATTAGGGATGAAGTTTGTTTCTTAGCACTGTGACGTGTTGGTGCCACGCCAACGATATCAGTGTTACTCAACTTGATTCCGTTTATATTGCGCCTAGTCGTCCAACCCTTATGAAATAATGTTTTGGTGGATGCAAGCAAGTTAAATGTGTAGATTGCAGCCTTTCATTGGTAATTGAATCAAGTGACAGAAGTGAGTTCGTTTTGAAAAGTGAAAATGTGATCGAGTACTTGGTGCCGAATGTGTGCAATGTTGAATTGTCAAGTCTTAAATAGTGCGCGAGATCTCCTCACCAACAAAGCTATGCACAATCATCGGCAGACGAGCTCAGAAGTACATGCACTGCAAGTAAACTCCAGGGATGTCTTTTGGTGGACGATGTGTCAGATCATTATTAAAATCATTAAGTGATTATTAATCACTTGTGATTATCCTCACTTAACCCACTTTTTACTTGGGTACCGGGGTTAAAAGTGGGCTTAACGGCGGGTGCTCGACATCTAGGAAGTCTCTTCATAAGACGTGAATCCAATTATGCTGATTTACAATTCTGTCACTAGGAGGCACATAATTCCATCGGGCTAGTACCACGTCTTCGTCATTATACTGCAATACATCCCCTTCAGTTCCAGTCCGAATCTGATTTCCATGATGATGCTGTCAGGATACAATGCGCTGCCATTAGAACTTTACGATACTGACCTCGAGAGTGGTTCTTGTTAGTATATAATTACCGAGTGCAATATATGGAAACTGTGTTATTTCCTTATCTTCTTCTCCTTTTTTCTAGGCAGTTATATTTACTATCGACTGACTCCATCATCGATATCTCCTTTGCTACTTGAGGGATCTTATTCTCACTAATACTTCCAACAGGGTCGGACTTCACCTGTTGTAACTGAGGGAGTGATTGTTGCTTTCCTCGAGCTCGCGCGTACAAGCCAACTCTGCCCACTAGCGATTGCCCTCAGCAACACTTTGGCGGTGTCCTGGTCGTACTGTTTTAGCACACCAGACGAGTCCTTGTAGTGGACTATAACTGGATTCTTTTGCTGAGGCGGCGGGGGTGGTGCCAGCGCCTGTGCAAGCAGGCAAACAATCAGGGCAAGATTTAAACCCCCGATCGACTGAAACAGATGAACCAGACGCAAATCGAGGAAATCCAGACGGGATGGGATGTCAAGCTCTACAGAATGCGGTAAATCGGAGCTCAAACAACGAGGGACTCACCGGTTGTGGAGGAGTCTTGGACTTTCCTGCCTGGACTGCCCTGCGGTCGATGATCTTGATGGGCCTAATCTGCCCGCTGCTTACGGCCACCTGCTCCATCTTTTGCAGGTTCACCGTGTAGCGTGCTCCCTTCGGATGCACGGACGACTTGATCCTGCCAAGGTCTAAAGCCTTCACACCAGACGATAGACCTTTTCTGATCTGCAACTGATGCGCAGATCCGTACTTCCTCCAGGAAACATCGTCCCTCCACCAGATGCCTGCCTCTTGTGGATCCGCGCACGGTTGAAGAATACACATCTTCGCGCTGACAGGAATCTCAATTCGAAAATTCTGCCAGAACGAGAAGCCCCGACAGACACCTCTCCCACCGCTACTACTCCTCCTGCCGGAAGCTCTGATGGACTAAGATCTTATAAAGCCTTCGTATTCTGACAGCCGAAAGCTCTGTCAAAATACGAAGTCCCGGAATGCCGATCGCTCTGGCTTCTGAAGTTATCTGATTGAAGGGTCCATAAAGGCAGAAGGGAACTGGAGTGTCACCGCTGCGACTGACGGAAGATTTGAAGGACATTGAGGCCGAAAAGCCTGAGGGGTGGGCATTTCATCAGAAGCAGCGCCGCATGAAGTCTCGAGGGTTTCATGATCCTCAGCCATCATTTCCGGAGGGCCGAGGTTTACGCGTGTCCTTGTACTCGCTGCTATTTTGCAACTAGCAGCAAATTTCCTCGACTTATTTAATGTCGGGCCTTCAATTGTCGGTTGTGGGGACGTATGTCTCTGTTCCATGCTGCGCAACCATGAAATACTGCAATTCCTACCAAATTGTGTTCGCCAGTACAGATCGGTGAGGGGCCGGAACAGCGGCAGCCAGGCCTTGAGAAATGATCGAAGATTCTGCCTCAATCGGAGTTGGAGACCTGTGCGGTCCATAATTAGTTTGATCCACATCTTCAGATGATTCTGAGGCCATTGAAGCATGTGTCTCGCGGCTCGCCTCTCTGCCCTCTCTAGACGCTCTTTCTCTGGAGTGGATCCATGGGATTCGCGGCGACGAGCTCCAATTACGGTGCGCGTAAAGCTTGGCGATGTCCGTTTTCGAGCTCATGCGAGCGATCAATTATGCCTCTTAAGCTTTCAATCTGTGTGTGGGAAAGCTGAAGCCGAGTCCAGTCGCAAACTCGACTCTCCACGAGTTTGGCCTTCTGTTGTTCAGATGACGGTTGAAGTCACGTGAAGTCCTGTCAATGTGTCGTGTATCGTTCCTCAATGAGCGACAGACATCCATACTCAATGTAATAGACTCGTGATTATTTTCTTTCTCTCTCTGTTCTCTCATGCCTTTCGTGTCAGTCTGCAAGTCAAAGAGCGAATCACTCGAGAGGAGTTCTGTCGACGTATAAGAAACGCCTCTTTCAGGAAAGGCTGTGAACCGATGATCGGTAATATATATTTATATTCTTGTTTATTCATCGAGACATGGTGATCGTCGTTCTTATTTCTTATGCTTTCCTGGAGTCAATGCGCGAATGCTTGGTGTGAGAGAGTCTACCATCTGCACTTCGACGTCGTCACCAGAAGATGACAACAGGAAGTAGTTACACAACCAACGGATGTTCTTCCTGAATCTGTAAATGGTCAAGACGTTATGGTCTAGGTTCCGTGGAACATCGTTTTTGAGAAAAGGTTTAAGCACTGTACCACTACATATCCTGAATCTCCAATGCGCTTGGCTGGTTGCTTATAACTGAATATAGCAGAATATATTCATAAATTAGTTGTAGACAAATCATCCACTCAGGTGAAGACACTAGCTGCTCGTACGAGTGTATGTGAGAGAATCTCACCGATCGGATTTTGAACCGACAGCTTTATGCTTGCAAACATACGCTCTACCAATTGAGCTACGTCCCCTACGGAGGAAATGGTTATGAGGTCAACACAACACTAGACGAGTTTTTATGCTGATTTCTTTGTTAGTGTTGTCCATTCCCTGATAGACAACACTAACAATGTCGTTGTATTTCTCTAGACTCGTAGGGACATATCTGGAGTAGATATATGCAGCTCACATCTTGTTTCTGTCATCTATGCTCTATAATTATACAAGCTATGAGCTCATCAGCTCCCGCCGTATGCCTATCTATACGGCGTTTCATGTCGTTATGCAATGCTTTCACAGCTTTTGGGGAACAGATTTTCTTTTCGATGATACTACATTTCGATGGTTCCATGAATTCCCTCGTGGTGCAACTTAACATGGAATCAAGCTAGGAAGGATCTCCGAGTTGACTCCCAATACAATATGGAATGTTTTCTTCTGTTTGAATCGACTTGCATTGGGATTTGGAGATGGGCTTTTTACTGTACATCTAAACCCATCACAGGTTGCTTCCACCTCCAGGGGAAAGTACATATACGTGATGTGGTGTAATTTCCCTTACTCCTAGTCGAGCCAGCTTTTGCGTGCTCTGAAATGTGACTTCTATGTAAGTGTCCCACGCCAAGGGAAGTGAAGTATATGTCAGGCTGAATATCTGAGTCCCTTAAACCAGTCCCACCACGGTATCCCACGTCTGGTTTAATAGCTCACTACTATTTCACACTCCGTGGAGGGAAGTAATTCAGCACGTCTGTGATTCATATGAACCATAGATGTGCGTCACATCAAGTCGAAAGTCTTAGAAAAGTTTAAGTTGGTTGTTTAGACTGACAGGTTTCTGCCGTATTCCTTACTGAGCTTCATGAGAAAATGAAGACTTCGTTGCACTTCTATCGGGCATCAGAGCTTGCAAAGGCAGTAATGGTTTCCTGTACTAGAGTTTTGAGGTGAGAACTTAGGTCTAATCCTAACTTTAACTCAAGTTCATCCAACTGCTCCTGAAAATCAGACAAGGGCCGGTGAACTCGAACGTGGAGATTGTCACTTCTGGCTTGTCTCTGGTCATTCACCTAAGCTTTTTGGATGTCCCAACTTGTTCAACACCGCGTCGAATTCCGATCCGTTTTTTCCATTTACTCATTTATGTGAATAACGCCCATAGCTGAAAAAATGACTGAATGACTAACAAAACAAATCTCAAAAATATATTTCGTAACCACTTGATTTACTTTAAATAGCACCCTAAATAAAATTAAAATGAAACATGAGTAGAGTAGATGTATTATTTACATTTATATTCTATATTACTTAAAAAAATATGTTTTGATAAACATTTAACCAAAATGATAAAATTCATTTTATCAGTCACAGATAAAATGGGTCATCATATAATATTTTTGAAATATCAAAGCGTTACCTTTACGTTAATTTTATGCGAAATAGATTTTAATTACTTTTGAAACAATAATGTAATGTTGTAATTTATATATAATACTTATATGTAAATTACAACAGATGAAACTGTTGGAATATTCAAAACTTTGCATCTTACAGTATGTTTAGAAATATCATAGGTGGTCTTATGGATTTTTTCAAAAAAATATTATATCTTATTTATGATATTAAGATTTGTTGTGAAATTCATCCTAGATGTACTTCTTGAATTTTACTCTAAGAATAAATATCTCAATAATCACTTTTAATGATTCCCATTACAACTTTATCAATTTGAAAGCTGTAATTGAAAAACAATTTTATCCACCACTTTCTCTGTAATATCATGTGTTTTTGTTTGTTTAAGTGTGGTACCATGCCATATTAGTTTGAGTAATTTAGTCATGCATGCCTCGTTTTGTTCATATTTCGTTGACTAAGAATACATTGTGTATTCATATATAAATCTAACACAAACACAAAGGCTTTTATTTTGATTCGGGAGAAGATTTTTTTAATTTTTTTATTACAAGAGATAATCAAAATCTCCATAATGGGTTATTTTATTTAAATTAACATAAACTGCCAGAAATTTTTAATTTTTTAGTGATTTTTTTAAAATATTTATGTTGTGAAGATTATAATTTTTATAATTTTTTCAACTAAAACTTACCATGCTTAAATAATCACAAAATATTCTGCACGTGCAAACACATTGAGAATGATAGAATATTTATTAGATAAATTTTCATAAAAAATTAACAAATAGATGTAATTTTTATTACAAATTTTCTAAATATTTTGATTAACATATCATCTGAATTGAAATTATTATCAATCTTAATTAAATGAATTTTTTTATCTGAACCAATATCTGATAATAATATATATACTGTACCAATGAAGACTGTATGAACCGAATGTCTCTCAATGCGCAACGACTGTATGCAAAAGAAAGAGCTCTTGTCTTGTTTTTTGTCTCCCTGAGGACTATCGTTGGCTGATGCTACTCGGCCTCGATATAGAATGCACCATCGTCTTCCAAACTGAAGATATGTACATGTTCTCCATAAACGGACCACTGTCGACCTCTACGGTAGAGATAGAGGCTCTACCTTGCTTGCGGTCTTGCGGTCTTGGGAGATCGCGAGTCCGCAAGCAACAATACATACTCTGCAGGCTTCGAAGACGCGCTCCAAGATCTATCTCTCTCCAATTGTTATGTCAAATCACGAGGAAAGTCAATAACTCACGATCACACACGCCAACACTGAAGTAAGTGGTTCATTCTTAGGTGCTACGTGTACACAAAGTCCATTTACTAGTAAAATCCTAAATATTGTCAATGAGAATTTTGTGAAGTCTTTGATACAATGGCAGTTTAACCTACACTCTAACTAATGTTAAACTATCCCGAGTTAACAAAAGACCTGATGTAACTCCTAATAGGATCGTCATTAGTTAACTGATCATTAGTGTTCATTTGTTCTTATCACTTATCACTCACTGCGAGTCCTCACTTTCTACATCCTTCAAAATATTGTCTATCCAATACAGCTGAAATCCATCATTCAGTGATGGAAATTGCCACTTGTACAAAATAACTGTTTTGAAAAAATGATATCTTGGTACATGAGTTCCAGGAGTGAGTCTTTGATGATAACCTACCGAGTGAGTTCAACAAAGCAGGCGGTCACTTACTCTCGCATTTGTGAGACTCTAAAATTCATCCCTTGCTTTGACCATAATGCCAACTCTACATATTTTTCACTCTCCTAACTATGCTAATCAACAAAGTATTTTGTATTAACTTCCACCTGCAAATCGTTGATGGTATTAACATCTCTCTCTCTCTCTCTCTCTCGATCCAAAATATATTCTCCCTATGCTCATGAATATGAATCTCTGGAAAAAAGTAAGATTGGTGTGATAAGACCCTTGAAAAAAAGCCTTGCGAATTCATCTATAAGCATCCCCACATAACCTCGCTATAGGCTATATCCAGTAAGTGATGAGTGACGAGTTTCTTATTTGGAAAAGCCATGTATAGGGAACTCACCCGTAGCTTCCATTTTCACGAAGCACAAATTTCATCGATACACAGTAGCAGTGTTCAATCTCACGTAATTTCATTCCTCATGAGTTTGAAGAAAGTGAAGAAAGCTTACAGAGGAAGCTCTGCACGTGTACTTTAACAGTTCGACAGTCCAAATCTATTAGCAGTAAGGATTCAGAACGGAAACGGATTATCAAAGGGAGGAGCAAACTAGGAGATACCTTCCTTACTTCCCATACGTCCTTAATGTCAGCATCATGTACTCATCAAGTTCTCCCGAAGGAAAAGTTACACAAAATAAAATTTCAGTATTTTAGTATGAAATTGTTATAATTTTCCAATAAAATTCGGGAACGGTTAGTTATGCTTCAATAGGGCTAATTAGCCCTCATTCTAGTATAATCAGTTCTCTTATTGGTCGATGTAGGGCGGTAGAGATGCAATAGCAACTATAGGGTGTCCGACCAATCAAATAAGTGAGTGGATAACTAGCCACTCACTCCCTAAAATTAGAACTCTACTCTTAGAACGGTAATGTAGGATTAAATTGGGATATAATATGTTCCATCTTTTGTCAGTTATCCTATCTTCACGTTCTTCTTGTTTCTCCGAAGCAGATCTGGCATAAAATTCGATTCCCTTTTCTGTTGGAAAATTTCTGTAGGAGTACACTGAAATCTAAACTTGAATCCACCCTTCTAGAAACTCCTCTCATCATGTGCACACTGCGTTTCATACCTGACGATAGCAGAGCACGTCGTTAACGGCTGAAGTCTTATGCTGCATTCTTCTGGATCTTTTGTGCCATTCAATCAGTACACAAGGATTTCACGGCGCAATTTCGGCAGTTCAGAGGTGAACTGGTAGAATATGTCTAGATAGCTTCGTACCTGCTACCAGAGGTCAGGACCTCTGACAGGATTTTCAACTGATGAACTCAAATGGAGAATCTGTCGTTACTTGTCTCGGTTGTTCCTCAGTTACAAACACATGGTTCTCTCCTCTTCATCCAGTTTTGAGTGCAGAATGAATCGTCCCAGCTACCTGCAATGTGTCGCATGATTCACCCCATTCATCTCATGCAGATTCACTCCGTTCCAAGAGTAAGATGACTTGGTCTAAGATCCTCATATGAGAATTCCGGAGAGGTGGCGACAAGAAGCTCCCACTTTCTTTAAGTACTAGGGACTGACTGGACGAAGAAATTTATTCAGTAACATGAGGATACTCTGCCACTAAAACTGAAAGCAACAACACCAACTTCTAGCTTCTTCATATTTTAACAACGACACGAAGCCTTGTGATACAATGCGATCGATACGACTTTAACGAGATCACAGCGATTCAGTTCACATGCAGTCTGCCTGCAGCTAAATGGATTATAACGAGTACTTCGGACTCTTTGCAGCTGTAACATGCTAAATACTGTTAGTTTTGTATTTACTCAAGCAACTGATTTCATCAGAGTTGCTAGAGTGCTAGAGTGCTAGTGCTGTATTGTGACAAGATCCATTACCTCAACTCTATTTCTTCTTTAACTCCATAACAATTGAGCTCATCTATTGGAATGATCCCGGCGGATGAGTTGTACTCTTGTCCTGGCACGTCCTACTTTGTGATGCATTTGAGAGGTCCATATCTATCGACAACTATCGATAGGAAAACGAGCTGGGTAAACACACTCCGGCTTTGATAAAGAGTTGAGGAATTGAGCGCCATTGAGCATTCAGATTCACGAGTCTCTGGCCAGACATATGGAACCGAATCAGGCACAAAGAACAATGCGGGAAATGAGAAGCGGCAGTGAGGAAGACAGAAAAAAACGTGTGCGGGGCGAGCGTCTCTTATCAGAATCATTCCAGTTCTAGCGTTAGCGACAACATCTGACCCAGATCAACTTGATCTCCAAGCTGCAACCACGAGGAACAGATCGTGAGGATGATGTGAGACCTACATGAGTCCGAATCAAGAAAAAATGTGTGGCAGCCGTGTGCTTCTTCTGCCAGCATAGTCGGTTTCGCGCCTATGAGAAATCTTGGGAACGTGAAGGTGAAAGAATCCAAAATGCGTTGTAGAATAGTGTGGGTCCAAGCAACGTCGTCTTCCCCCACAAGCCATGCGAAGTGCACGTGCTTCAAACGTCGTCAAGCTTCAGTCAGTTCATTGAAAAGTTCTTGGAGAACGAATCTTCCAAAAGTACGTGATTTTACACTCCACGTTTATTACAGTGAGGATTAATTACCCAACCATGGATTCCGTTGAATCCACTCGAAGAAGGAGAGCACAAGATTCGAGTAAAAGATAACCTCAAAGCTGTTGACAATTTGCAATGTGTGAAGGCACACTCGACTTCGACTGGTCAGGCTCTGCAACAGTCCAGAAGAGAATGGTTTTCTCACTCTAGATCAAAACTCGATGCGTTCACTGTTCTTTTAGACACGAGCGCAATGCCATCTAAAAATCACGCCACACGCATATAGCTCACGAGGCTACAAACGTTTCCATCGGGAAACACGACATGAGAGTTCGAAGCGAGCTAAAACAGCGAGCTTTGTGACTGCAGCTGCTGGTGCGGCGGGATTGGCAAGTATTCCAATGACGACTGAAACAGTTGATGGATGGGTCGACAGGACTTTATCGAGTTTACCGTCCCATGGTCGACTTCTGCTGGCTCTGAGGGGCTGAACACTGTATCCTGAACGTCAATGAAACTGAGAACGAACAGCAACCTCGATGACTCGCGGGCCCAGCACAAGACTCGTAGAAATTGTGCTTCTTTCAATCCCTGGGTCCTGACGAATCTACGACGAGTGATAGCGGCGCTGTCTGCTGTCTCGAGGAGTTCAATGGAATAGATGGTCGACGATATGAACATCGAGACGAGTCCGTTCCTTCTTTATTCTCTATAACCAGGGAGCTTGGAGTTTGACGGAAAGGATCTTGCGTATGGCATCGTGCATGCGTGAGAATCTTGGAAGCGTTGGCCCCCGAATTTGTGCTAGAAAGCATGGGAAGCGTGCTTGACGAATGTTCGGCACGCGGATAATGGATAAACCCGAGTCCTTCACCATGCAGACCGAACTTCAAAGACGAGTGAGCTGTCCTGGCTTTTGAGTACAGGCATGCATGCAGGCTTCTGAAAAGGTTTCCTTTTGCTTGTGATTACTTCTCATCTCTCTATGCATTGCTTGTCATTCGAAGAGCTGAGTCAAAAACAATTCGCTCAGTCGAGTAGACAAAGCCACTTGACTGATCGATCATTCGAGTGAGTTTTGAAAAAATCTGATCAGTTCTACTTCATTCCGCCTCAATTGAGGGCTCATCCCAAGCAATCTCTGAGGGGCTTTTTCTGAAGAAGAGCTCGACCGGTGCGTACTCAGTCCGGCTTTTACCAGCGAGCATGAAAACATCTGCAAGCGAGAGCTCCTCGACGTCGTTGACCAAATAAAACAGCCCATACACCTACCCCTTCCTCCTTTCAGATTACCGTCCAAAACAGTCCCCAAACACCGGCCCAGTCCATCGACACTCGTCCCAATAGACAGCCAAGTATCTGAAGCTGAGGCTAGAGATGACAGAGATCGAAGCCGACGCCAAACCTGTTAAAAATGCACGGCTCACCGTGATCGGAGTGATCCGCTTGATATCTGCTCTGCACCCCTAGACGACGACGACGACGACGACGACGACAGACTCGAGAATTGCATGAACTCCACTCCACTCCAGCTGCAGTTCCTCCTCATCTACAGTCAGCTGACTGGAAATGAATTCACTGCAGCCGAGAGGCGAAAAGCGTCCTGGGCACAGGAGGAGACCAGGCCCCGAGGGCTGCCTGCCAGGGGGGGCGGGGTGATCCCGGGGCGCCGTACTACCGTTATGCGGCTTTGACTGATCCGCGACGCGCGATGAGGGCAGCTCTTCTGTTTTCTAATCATGGCTCCTAAGAACCGACAGCGACGAGGACCGGGGACGGCGCGGATCTCGGCGGCATATACCGGACGATTCCCGGAATCTGTCGCACGGATTCGTGAATCGAACACACTCAAGGACGCAACTTGAGGGTCACTGTTATCCAGCGGGTTTGTTGTTTGTTCCATCACGCAACTGGGAGGACCAGCGGACCCGAATCCGGGCTGCCGCCTGTCATGACAGAAGGTGGGTGCGCGACGCTTTCGACCGTCGGCTTTTCGAGCTGCCGCAGTTGAAAGAGCCGGATCTCGCTGGCCCACCGGCGGGCCGGAGTCGGCATATGCTTTGCGGATCCTCGGTCGCATCGGCATATGCTTCGGACATATCCGGATATTCTCCTGGCCGTGTCCCATGCCGACGTGCATGGTCTGTCTGGTCTTTCCTTCATGTCGCTGTTGCCTGTGCTGCTGCTGCTGCTGCTGCTGCTGGCTCGTGACGGGATCGTGATGCCTTCGTAATCGTCCGGTGCGGTCACATGGGATCGCGGCCTCGCCCTCGAACAATTTCCTTGACGACGGCGAAAATCTGCCACGACCGAATGTAGAAAGCGTCTTTCTCGTGGCGGATAAGGCCACGGGGCTGGACTCTGTGCTACTGTGTTTGATCCTGGGCCTTGGGGGCCTTCTGTAATGCACAATTTGACACTGGACTCGGTGCATATCCGGGGCCTGAGAGCTGCCGAGGGAGGGCCGCCGCGTGCCAGGTGCTGCAGGTCTGAAATATTTTTTTTCGATTTTAATTACAACAACTGAAAATACATCGGATGTAATTCGGTCAACCTGTGGTGACGGGGAGTTGTTAGAAATTTGTGACCCCGCAGATCGAGATGGCAACCGAAAAGTTTGTTGAGTAGTGAGGGAGTAGTGATCCGATACTGTGGGGATATACTGTGCGTTTTGTTGTTGAACTCTCCTCTCAATCCTCCCTCTCACTACCTCGTTGGCTGCTCTCGAGTGAGTCCTTTCTGTCTGTCTCCTTGAGTCCGAGCTGTCGGGTACTGGTCCCGGCTCGGAGGAGGATTTCTGATTGATCGCTGGCGAGGTTGTGAGAATCCTCTCGCATCTGCGTTCGTGGCTAGCAGCCTCTGGGTCTGTGTTGCCACCAGGTCCCGAGTCCGGGATGGCCACTGGAACATGTGGGCGGGGCACTATGACATAATTGTGCGTCAGTTCCTGATACTTTCAAGTGATCAGGAGTTTGGACTTCAGGTTTCGAATGACACCTGAGCTCGGCTCCAGTGTCACACTCCTTTCCAGCTCCAGCATCTTCTGGATACCACCACCCTCTCTCATCCAGACAATACGACCTCGATCCGCTCTGGGTCGGGCTCGGCACGAATCTCACGCAATCATAACTGCTAGATACAGCCTTAGCCTCTTGAGTTCTCGGCGTACGGGCCATCGCCTTGGTAGCTCCAGGCCAATTTCCTCGTGCTAGTCCATTGGCCAGCATTATCAGATTGAAGGCCTGCCCCTCTCCAGATGCCCGTTCTTTCACATCGTGAGAATGCTCGCGGACCCGAGCAAAAGCTCTAATCGTTGTAACTCTAGCTTTAAGTTTGCCAAGGTTGGCCCCTGATACTGAGGTCCGGCTGATCACGAGCTTCGGCCACAGTACTCAAGGTATAGTAGCGCACGAGTGGATTCGTCCATGATCTGATCGGAAGCATTACGACTTTAAGCATGCAGATGAATGTAGAAGTCCGACTGCAATTACGAGCAGTTTGCCGCTGGCTCCGTGCAAGTCGGGAGAAGGCGAATATAGCTCGTCAGCAAAACTGTGAGCTTGAGCTTGCTTGACTGCAGGATCGGGCAGATTATCGCTGATGGAGCGAAAATTTACAGTTCGCGTCCATTTCCACGCTCCTAGGATCCGACGGTCTTGCGAGCTCGCAGTGCGTCCTCGTCATTGACCTCGAACGCCATCGAGAGAGTGAAGAAAAGAAAGAGAAAGTATCTATTACGAAAACTGTTGTGATGGAAGAGGATCGACTGAGAACAGAAAAGCTCTCGATTCTAGCTTGGACGCATGCAGAACAGTAATTTCTGCAATGAGTCCCAACAAACCACGCAGGTTTACATCTCTTCTTTGACAAGCAATCAGTGAAGAATCTTCCCGAGTCCACAGACTTAGCAGACTCGAGCGTGGTTTCCCACACGCCGATAGACGAACTAATACACGCTGCTCTATTCATCGAACGATTTGTGCTGAGAGGCGAATGATGCCCCGGCTTTATATGTTGAATTATTAATGCCTTCCTCTCACACTGCCGGATGTCACTTCTTCTACAGATGGACGGAACGAAGTGTGGCATGGGCCGCCGTCAGTGGGTGTTATTCTGTTCGAGATTCTCCCGCCCTTCACGTGATTGCGGGGAAACTGAGGCCCTGTCAGATCGCCCAGCATTTTCAAGCCTTCTGTTTCGCGACGGCGCGAAAAGAATCCATGGAACCTGACCTTCAATATTTTGCGGTTCCTTCCGCATCTCCTGGTTCACGAACGGAGTGAAATGTGGATTAATTTCGGAACTGAAGTAGTTCCGGCACTTTAGGTGACCCACATTTGACTGGGCATACATTTACTGTGGTGCATCAAAATAAATAAAAGCCTGGAGAAAATAAAGAGCAAACTAAGATTCATTTCCAGGAAGGAAGGAGACGCAGTCCAGATACCCAATCTGGAATCTACAAGGGACAGTTCTATACCAATATACAACCATATCCTACGTCTACCTAAGAGAAGATTCAGATATTGATTTTTTCTCGAAAGAAGAAGAAACGAGCTCGCGCTGGACTGAAGTTTCCGTTACAGACAAGGAGATTTTTTGTTGTAACTGACATAACCTAGTTGATAGCAACAAGTGCCATCACACTCCCAAAAGTGACTGTACTTGCATAATTAGCATGATGTCGTCAATTGAATAACAACCTACATAAAATAGCTTTCATTGACCATTTTTATTCAGGACACACTTTCAGGGAAACTTCAATAAGGACAGTTCAACAAGGATATTGTATTCTGAGTTTTCTATTACCACGTTGATCTACAGGGTGAAATAGAGTAATGAGAAGAACTTAGTATGGATATTACCAACGTGACACAATTGTGGATATACAGGGTAAAATAGAGTAATGAGAATAACTTACTTTGGATACTACCAAAGTGACACAATTGAGTCCAAGGTGTAGACATGGGGATTAACACAAGATGCCACATTCTGATATCTTTGTGAGCTTGTGATAGCGTGCGCATCACCGGCCATTGTTGAAGTTTCGCATGTGTATCAGACTAGCAATAAGACATGTGACTCTGACGAGAAAGAAATCATTCACCCAAACCCACATCACCTTCTCCATCCACTTGTCATAGACGAGGCAGGCACTCATGCCGGAGACGGTCGTGGACAGTTTTAATATCAAAGATTCTAAAGTAATCTTCACGCTTACCGTTCAAGACGAGACAATTTCCAGGTTTCAGTGTCACGACATGGTCTACAACTCGTTGTTGGGATAGAGTGCATAATCTAAGCGAGCATGCCAGATTTCAGCCAGATGCCAGTAATGAACAGTTGTATTATAAAACAGTCATAATCAAGGGTAGGTTTTATCGGATGGAAGTGCAGGGCATGGAACCTCACAATCTCGCCTTTTCAGACATGATTTGACGCGATCAGTGTATAACTGTCGGTTCTCATAGTTAGCAATTAACAAGACTAAATAACAACATGCCAGAGAGTTGTTTGCTTATTCGGTTCTTAATTTTCGAGTGTTGTCAAACGCGTGTTGAAATTGCGAACTGCGCCAGGCTCTAGGCCTGTACACACAATCAAAAGGATTGTGGCAAAAAGTATCCTTTACACATCTTTGTCAAAAGATACTTTACAACGTTTGGCCTACGAAAACGAAACACTTGTCGACATATCAGGCATTTTCCTTGAACACTGGATGTCGGCGAAGCATTAAAAAATAGCTGAAGGTAAGCTATAGCCACACTGCAGAGCATGAACTCTCTAGTCTCAACACGTAGGGATGTAGGTTGGAGAACCTCAGGATAGATGGACGTTCTTCCTGCGGATGCCAGTCACACGTACACCACGCCTCGACTCAGAAACAAATTTCTGAAATTTAAAGCAAAAGGTAAATGCAGGGATAAATCCCATGTTTCCTTACACATCACGCTCATCTGATTCTGGCCTTATCGGATGTAAAAAAGCAGGAAACGTCAAGCTCGGTAGTGTGACCTACTTCTCTATAGTATCCCACTTCTTTTCCCTTCGCTTTGTCATTTGTATCTTTTGTCAAGTAGCCTCATGCGAGGTAAATGTTACGAAATGTCAAGCAGCATGATAAATGCTGGATAGTCTTGAGAAGCAAAGAAGCAACATGATAAATGCAGGCTAGTCTTGAGAGCAAAGACGGGAGCAAAGTGAATATCTCATATTTAAAAGGTGAGATACCATGCAACTGGATATTGAAGAAAGAGAGATGGGGTGCAAAAAGGTCAAGGGACGACACTTGTCTTAGTATGTCACTCGCTGCTGAGTTTCGTGTAGTCACGATGAGTGAGTCCACTGCATTTGTTGCATTCTGTGACAGTGGTGTCACAGAAGCAACCCTGGGGACTCGTCCCACTATCATGTCGATAGTCTCCTCGTGAAAATGCAGTGCACTTTCCACTATGGTAGTTATCCTCTTTCTCATTGGAAAAGCTTTTAGTGGAAGGATGACTAACTACACCTTGCTTCCCAAGATTTCTTGGCTCCTAAAAAGTATTGCATAGCCTACTTTCGATCGCGTTCCATGTACTTTCGTATGTGTCTTTCATCCCCGTCAGCACCTCCACGACTGATTCTAAGCAGCTCCACGACAGTTTTGTCTTCTCAAATATATTAGATCCACGCTCCCTTCCTTCAGAACACGCTGCATCCGCTCTCAAGGCTTTGAGGATTGGACGGACAGTAAGAACTAATCAGGTTCTGGTCAATGCAGGACAACAAAATGCTCGGACCTACGGTATGAGGTTCGACGACACTCAAACAACATACATTCTCGTCGCAACTTGGTCGAAGGAGTTTGGAAACAAGCATACTCTTGCCAAGTGTCAGTCTTTGAGTGTAAATACAACGATCGACGTGACAGGTTGCATAATTGTTCTTGACTGTCCCGTAAAAGTCCAGTATACAAAGCCTCTCCAGAGCTGGAGCTAGCCCAGTCTATCCTATACGTCATCCCGTTTCCATAAAAAATTATAATAAATGTATATCATCATATAACCACCATACACTTTTGCCGTTGATATGGACAGAAGAAAACTCTTCGAAGATTGCTTCTGTAATCCAAAGTGAGCTCCTAGGTCTCGTACATGCATGCAATAAATCTTCTTCAGTAGATTTCTTGAGTTCCAATAGTAAGAACCAAGCGTATTCCTCTCTAGCGCACATTTATAGTAGGCAGTATAAAAACAATTTGAGTCTTCGTCTTGGAAAAAGTTCAGTCATGTGCAGTAGCCTCCGCATAGTTTGAATGGTAAGATGACTTGCTCCTGGAAGAAGACAATTTGATTATTCGTCATAGACCGTCGAACTAGAGTGAAATCACTACCCACCCACCAACATACACTAAATGATGATGCAGACATCAATCATGACACTGTAGATGGAGAGGTCCCAACATCGACTACAGTTAGACTGCTGTTTACAGATTTTCATGAGTGTCGAACATCAAAGTTATCCACATCAATTGGTCTGCTGCTGATTACATTAATTTCTACTTTAACTGGTATTCCATATTATATATATTGCACTATTATCGCATGCTCCAAGACAAAGAAGGGTATAGAAAAGCTGTCTTCCGTTGTCAAAAATCTGTTCGCAGGTAAAGGGACCACCAATAATGGTCCCTACAAATATGCATAAATACAAAATGAAAAATATAAGTATGATGTCTTCAAAAACACATAGCTAATTAACAGCCATGTGAGTAGCCATCGTTTTTGTTCGTTTTTCTATACATTTAGAATGTGTAAAATAATTGTTTTCTTATAATCTTATCCTATTGAATCTCTTTGATTAAAATAGAGACAATAAGACATTAAGGTAGGATAGCTGTATTTTGGGGTTGGGGATGACGAATATATAAAACGACGTCTACGGAACTGGCCTTATAGCTCGTCTCATCATTCTAAATCCGCATTCGTTCTTTGTCCTTCTCTCGTTTAGAGGACGGGATATATTATTTTGAGCCAATGGACAACTTCAAGGGGAGGAATGAAGGGTTTAGGAAGGACGTTGAGGTCCAGTCTGACGGACTCAGGCACTACATGCGGTCACGACGCAGAAGTCCACCGCTTCAGCGGATGACGGGGGGAGGTTGCAAGCGTATGTTCCATGAAAGCGTGACTCGGGGACATTTGCGACCCGACGCGACGGCGAAAAGGTCATACGCATTGCAGCTCCAGTCTTGTCAGACCTTCACATCCAGGTACTTGTCAGCTGAAGACTCACTTCCTCGTTTCATCCTCCGTCCACTTGCGTCAGAGAATCCCAGGGTAGTCACTGAGTGCCCAACGGCTTGCGAACGAAGTAAGTTGCCTTCCGCTGATTTCAGTCGTCCGCGTCATGCTGAAGACCATTATTGGACGTTCATGGCGCACTCCTTCAGCTAGACTCATCTACGGGCCTCCTTTGAGGAGACCCGTAGATCTGCTTGCGTGTCTACTTGCGGCAGCTGATCGTGTCTTGTTTGTGCTAAAAGGAGCGAATTGCAGCTCTTGTTTCGCGTTTTCATGCTTTCACCTTCTTCTTTTCCTCCCTTTTTGGTTCTCAGTGCCACCCTGCAAAACAAATAATTTTTTCCCAAATTCGTCATTTTACACGAAATTCGGAGGATTGTTGCTGAATTATTTCCACTGCCTCATGCACTTGCTTGCAGTTTGAACTCTGGATGCTGGTGGTTGTTAAAGGTCCTACAATTGGGTCCTATCAACTTCAGTGCAACGCAGTGGAGGACTGCATGGGTGAAAACAAAATACTTCTTCACTTAAAGCAACCTGCTAGTGCGATAGTGCGTTGCAGCAGCGGTGACTGCGGGGAATCTTTAAAGTGTAAGAATTTGGCTTTAACGAAGGGCGACGATGATGAGGTCTCTATGACTTTCCGAGACGGAATATGCAGGTTACTGGGAAAGAGTAAGCTCGAATACTGACAACACATTTAGCAGTACACAATCCTCCGTCATAGGCCAATCTTTCCAAAGGCTCAAAATGCGTATATACACTCAGGCATTGTCAGACTCCAACTTTCCTTCCCTCTGACAGCATGGGAGGCCGAAAGCATGTAACCATATCGTAAAATGCACTTGCAAGTAATTTTTCTTTATGTAGTGGTGTTAGATTCCTCCCCGTCGTGGGTACATACTTCCCCAAATCACTCCGTTATACAGAGCCTTTCTCCTTCAACTTGGAAAACAACAGTTGCGTATTGAGATACTTTGTGAGCTGAGAGTACCACTACCTCACCGGAGATCTGACAGCAGCAAAAGGCAGTCCTGGTTGTTCAAAGTCACAGAAGGAATATACCGGCAGAAACCCGGAGGGCTACCGTGGACGATGCTTCTGAAAGCCGGATTTAGTGATCAAGTTAATTCTAAGACCACTCATTTATGGATACAGTGTCTTCAACACAGTCGTCGTAGAACCCACGAACCGCAGGAGGAAGTCAGGAAAAGGACCTCAGAAGGAAGCCAGGAAAAGGTGAACCTTACCAAAAAGAGAGCTCGTACCAAAAAGAGAGCTCATCTTGTTCTATACAGATTGCAAGTTTCCGAACTGTGCTATTATTGGGCCCGAGTGTTGAAGAATCTCTAGCTGGAGGTTTGGGAAGATCCGAGAATTCTATGGCTCTCGTGCCATCAAAGCACACGTAGACCGTGAGCCCGGGACTCCGGGAGAGCTTGTGTCCGATTACAGTGATTGCTTCAGGAGATTGAGCTCTAAATTTGAATGACGGCGTCCTCTGTTTTCTTCTGTACTGTACCCAGAGCGAGACATGTCGAGGAGAGGGATTCGTCCTCACAAGCAAACTGGCACATACTCGGCCACAATCCGACTCAGACTCGCAGCCGGTTACGGTGGAATGCGGATCTTCGTCGAGGATACCGGAACATTCGGCTTGCCAGTAAGTCAGGAGGAGAGTGCAAGTTAAGTTGTAGCATCTGCAGTGGCATATCCGAGCATCGGCTCGGCATATTCTCAGTCCACATGAAGCTTGAATGGGAAAATTGGAAGTCGCAAGACTCGTTCTGCACTCTCACCACCAGGTGGCACCACGAAAGCCATGATCAAACGCTATCGCCGCGATCCTGAGCCCAGTGCCTGTAGCCGAATCGTCTTTGTGAAATTTCGGTTTTTTTAAGCTCATGCGATCCATCTACTCACCGTCCTCTAATTTTGCCATGGACGTATCTCCGTACAGTATGCAGGAGCATGGACTCCTGACATGGCTCTTGTTTATTTTTGTGGACCACGGCCGATCGTCAGAGCAGATGTACAAAACCAGACAGTTCCATACTACGTAGACTGAAACCTCCATCTCTGTTGTTGCTGGTGCCGATGAACCTCACCTCACTTCTCGTCACAGTGAACGTCCAGCCTCCGGACTCGAGTTTAGAGTCGAAGCCGAAGGCAGCAGCAGTGCATTGGCGCCGTGCGTGGATCGAGGAGTGTACCGGATTCTCCCATAGCTGCGTCCATGTGCTGCGCTTGAGATCCACGCTCTTTTGTCGGTTAGTTTACTCTCTAACTGTGACAAAGGATTTCTACCGCCAGCAATTAAAGAGTGGCTGTCAACCCTTCGGCTCTGTGCTATATTGTACGCTTGTGCTGTCCTTGTTGTTAGCCGAGGCTTACGATGTCCCAGCCCCATATGGAAGAGTGACGCAGTACCCATTCCGCTGCGTTGTGACTGGCCTGCTTTTGACCTTTGCTTCGACTTTAAGCCCAGAAGAAGATACGTCTTGGAAAGAAATGGCCCTGCTTTCGCCCTTTCGGAAGACCCAAACCCCTCACTTCCCCTCGCCTCCCAAGGCAGCGAGAGATTCGTTAGCCTGCGGTTCGTCGCCCGCAACAAACGTAGCTCGACCCATAACCTCTCGAGTGCTTTTTCCAAACCGAACCCCGAACTGAACTGGGGAAAGCCACTTTCATGGAATCCATGTTCACTTTCCACTATCCTCCAGCTGACCCCCTTCGTCCACGAGAATTAACACCATCAATTTTATAAGCACCGGAACAACTCTGGTTTAATTTAGCGTTCCGTCCAAAATGGACATCTAGAGGCACAACTGAATGGGAGGCTAGGCCGACGACATTCGTCAAACGTCCCCGAGGAAATCCATAGCTGGGGGATTCGCTCGTCCACGGGTTTGCAAGGCCTGTAGGGAAGCAGGCGGGGGCCAATAATCCAAAGACGAAGAATGTACGAAATTCACCTGATCCGGCCTTTGGGACGAGGGAGGGAGGGAGGGAGGGAGGGAGAAGAGAGGAGGTCGGGTCCATCATCTCAGATCACAACTGTCGGAGAATGAACGCAGCACTTGCCGCGAACGATCGCAGACACAATGGCATCTTGACTACTGGGGTCTGCGGCCATAACCCGAGTTGGCCCGACCCAACCACGGCCGTCCGTCGTCGCCACATCACTCTGCGCGTCGACCTGCGTAGACCTGCCTGCAGATCTTCGCTTTACGTAGTATGGTGGCGTGGCCTGACTACCAGGTCGAGAACCTGGTAGTTTCAGATCGCTTTTCAGGCCGGCCCCGCCCGCCGGAACTTCCCTCGTCCCGTTTCGTGCGAGGTGTCGTGTCGACGCCCGCCCGCCCGACCCTCCACGAGCGTGAAAAATTTACTCTCACCTCTTTATCGGAAAAATAAAAGTCCCTCCCGTGAAAGAACGAACTCGCCGTCCTCGTCTCGGGAACTCCTCAACCGAAAATCCCTCCCAACACGTGTCGCGTCCGGGCCGTCCTGCCGAACGCGACGCCATTTCAAAACCAGATAAATCGTGCCGGTAAACCCACCTGCTAATGTCGGTTAACCCTCTCGTTAATCAATCCGCGCTCCGAGATTTCCGGATGGCGCCCGACGGGCACCCGACAGCGGGCCGCAGCCATGAACGCCCGGCAGCGGACAATCGAGTTTAACAAACTGTACCGCCCGGTCGGGGGCTCGAACTGTACCGCGTTGGCAACAAACAAACGATCGCGGCGTGGTCGAGCTGGCGAGGCCCGAGGGTCAGTCAAAGTAACCCGAGTCCGGTGGACGAGGGTTCACGAAACAGAGGCCGAGAGAATGAATAAACTCGAAGCTCAGTCCGGCAGAAGCAGGAGAGAGAAGAAGATCAGAGAGTCAGGCCGAGGACAACGACGAGGTAAGGGACGAGGGAAGGGAAGGGAAGGAGGGGCTGAGCTGAGCTGAGCTGAGCTGAGATGAGAGATCAGATCTGGAAGGAAAGGAAGGAAAGATTGATTAGTGCAGGCTTTATCGGCAGATAATCGTGCTGGAAGTGCAGGGAGAGTATCCCAATCGAATACCAGACAGATTCCGGTGGAGTTGAGTTGAGGAGAGGAGTGTGGTGGTGGAGTCCAGGGACCAACACGGCGAGAGGAGCGAGCGAGCGAGAGCAGACAGCGAACAGGGATCAAGGGGCCGGGGGACCGTCTGCTTGGGACAGCAGCCAGCAGCAGCAGCAGCAGCCAGCAGCGACCTCCCTCAGAGCGAGGCCGCTGTGCTGCTCGTGCGCTTGAGGATCGTATAATTATATTTTTGCGCGGGGCTTAGGCCAACGACGAAGGTACAAGAGGCGAAGGCGGCCCGGCCAAGCAAAGGCTCGCAACGAAGCAAGGAAGGAAGAGGACCGAGAGCCGAGGACAGACAGACACACACACACACAGACAGAGAGACCGACCGACCGACAGCCAGCCAGAGTGAGGGAGAGAGAGAGAGGGAAGAGTCGAGTGAGTGAGCGAGCGAGCGAGTGCACAACAGAAGAAGAAGAGGAGCAAGAGATTCGATCTGCTGAATTGAATATCTGGAGTCGTGCTCTCCGCAGTGTGAAAATTTGGTGGTGCTCGCAGAAGCGTCTGCTGCGTTTTCCTTCCTTCTCCCGTCTCCCATTTGGTCCCAGCCCAGTTCAGCCCAGCCCATTTGAGCTCCTTTCAGTTCTTTCCGGAGCCAGAGCCAGAGTCGCTGCTCCTGCTGCTGGCCCGGCCTGGCCCGGCCCCCTTGTCTATTCTCGGCTCCTTCTCTCCCCTCCGACCTGCGGACATGGCATCGTTCCGTCTTCTGTGAAGGAATTCGTTCATGCGGACGGGGGAAGCCAGAGGGGAGCACGTGCGGTCCCAATTCGCCACAGGGTCGTTGTATGTGGATTCCGGAGATTTGATGATTGAGAGATTGAGATTGAGTGAGTGATATTCCGTGAGTGGTGGAAATTTGATTTTTGGTGCATTCCAGGGAGGCGCTGAAGGAAAAATCCGCGCAGTGCATTCTGCCGGGACTTTCTCTGGGCTGCTCTATTTACTCCCAGCCGAGGGGTGTCATAGTTCGTGATTTCTCGCCTTTAATCAGGAGGTCGCGGCTGCGAATTCGACCCTGAAGCAGCGGTCTGGAGTTTCCGGATTCAATTCCGGGCTCTCTCGGTGCTGATTCGGGCACTCGTTCTGGTCCAATTGCTGGGAGCTAGTCCTCGTACGCATTTGCTCTAGGGCAGGACAGGGCTCTTCGATCTCGCGATCTCTTGCCAGTGCGCGACAACTCGTTCGCATTCTAGTGCCAGTGGGGCGGACTGGGGTTTTTTTTTCTTCGGATATTTTTTTGGTAATCTTCAGATATTTGCTAGTTCTCTCTCTTTAATTTCTGCCTGTGAGATTTGGCTCGATCGAATTCTCGCGGAGGCGGGCTCGAGGAATTCGAGGCTCGTGAGACAGAGACATGGCGCGGTGCCTGGGCGGCCCGGATGATGAGGTGACGAAAAGAATGCCCCCAATTGGAGTCAGGGTGATCCGGACCTTGTGGCGACGAGATGCGGACCTCAACACGTACAGATATGCCGCCCTCATCATGACATTCATCGCCTACTCGTGCTACCATGCGTCGCGCAAACCGCTCAGCATCGTCAAGAGCGTGTTGGACTACGACGAGGTCGGCAACACCACCAGCGTCGAGCGCTCGCTGTCCGAGTTCTACCAGTACATGCCGATGAACCACCTCGCGTCCAGGCACGAGGCTGCAGGAGGAGGAGGATTCCCATTTCAGGCTCACCATTTCAGATACAGCAACTCCTTCTTCAACTCCTCGGCGAACGTGAGCGATCCGCAACCGAATGCGGGCGGATGGGCTCCATTCAACCAGAAGGGCGGCAAGGGCCTCTTGGGCGATGTCGATCTCGCCTTTCTGGCCTCGTACGCCGTGGGAATGTACTTCGCCGGGCACTTAGGAGACAGAGTAGATTTGCGCTTGTTTCTGACCGGGGGGATGCTGGCCAGTGGATTTTTCGTGGCCATGTTCGGCGTCGGCTATTGGCTCGACATTCACTACCTGTCCTACTACATCGTGGTGCAAGTGTGCGCCGGGTTGGTGCAATCGTCCGGGTGGCCTTCGGTGGTGTCCATCGTCGGGAAGTGGTTCGGCAAGAGCAAGCGAGGCCTGATCATGGGAATCTGGAATGCGCACACCTCCGTGGGCAACATTTTGGGCTCTCTGCTGGCCGCTGGAGCTCTGCAGTATGGCTGGGGCTGGTCGTTTCTGCTGCCGGGCCTGCTGCAGGTGTGCGGAGGACTCATCATGTTCTGCTTCCTGGTCGTCGAGCCCGCAGACGTGGGGCTGCACATCCCTCGGGACGGTGAGGAGGCCTCGGAATCGGAGACTCGAGCCATCCTCGCGCCTCCTGCCAGACTCGAGAGTGGCGATTTGGAGGCCGGGCGCTCTGCCAATCCGGCCAATCCGGCCTCGAGCCCGACCTCGTCCCGGGGACAGCCCGCTGGGGCAGCCGATGAGGAGACAGGCCTTCTGGGCGGTGCACCTCAGAGCCATGAAGCTCCCGTGGAAAGGAAGAAGGACGAGGCTGTCAGCTTCGCAGAAGCTTGGGCAATTCCCGGCGTGGCTCCTTTCGCCTTCTGCCTCTTCTTCTCCAAGCTGGTGGCCTACACCTTCCTCAACTGGCTCCCCTTCTATATTGCCCAAACAAGTGAGTACACTCCACTCGTGCTCGAGCCTCGGATTGTTGCATCCTCGGATTCGATTACAGCACTCTTGGTGCACTCTTGGTTCGTACGCTCAGGCACTGACAGTGTGGGATGGCTTCTCGTCTTGCAGAAATCGCTGGTGAGTACCTGGACGACAAGACTTCCGGGAATCTGTCAACACTGTTCGATGTGGGAGGTGTTGTAGGCGGCATACTGGCGGGTCATCTGTCTGACAAGATGAATGCTCGAGCGACCACGGCTGCCGTCTTCATGTACATGGCGATTCCAGCTCTCTACATGTATCGAACTTTCGGAAGCGTCTCCTTCTACACGAACATTTTCCTGATGATGACCGCCGGAGTTCTTGTCAATGGGCCTTACGCGCTTATCACGACTGCAGTTTCAGCAGATCTCGGAACCCACTCTTCGCTGAAGGGGAACCCGAATGCTCTCGCCACCGTTACGGCCATCATCGATGGAACAGGCTCGGTAGGAGCTGCCGTAGGTCCACTGATTACAGGGTATGTAGCGGAGTACAGTTGGGATGCGGTCTTCATCTTCCTCATGGCTTCTGCTGCCATCGCCGGTCTTCTTCTCTCGAGACTGGTCTGGGCCGAGCTGAGCGAAAAGATCCACACGGATCACCCGGTTCTCTCCAAACAAATTCTGCAGGACGAGTCAAATGGTGAGTCTCCTCCTCTGTCTCGATGCTCTGCTGGTGTTTGTTTTTCCGGTGCTTGTAGACGGCGGAGGGCACTCAGCCCCTGCCGAGTGCTCCCTTGATGACAACCTCTGAGAGCTGCCCTTGTGTTCATCTGGCTGGCCACCAGATGGACACGAGCGGCAGAAACGTGCTCTTGAGTCCAAGGTGCTGGCCACACCTTGGACTCGAGAGTACGGAAGATAAGGATGGTTCTGATGCTTCCGCAGAGAGTTAGTCTGATCAGCAAGAGCACTGAGAGTGCGTGCTGTACGAGTGTGGAATTCTCTCGTAAGAGCGAAATTGAGACAGGCCAACTCATCGAATGTCTTTTCTGTTTGCTAATTGCAGGATCGATTACGCAGCGCTTGTTGAGCAGCAGATCTTAAGAGATTCATTATTAAACGTTTTGAACGTGTCCTGGGCCAGTCTCTTCTTTTGGAAGGACTTATTCATGCGACACTCTGTACGCTTGTGAAGTTTCTACGACCAAGCGTGTGCAGACTGTATACTAGGCTGTGGCGACGAGTTATTGATACCACATTGCAATGTGTTCTGCAGCAGAGCTTTGAAAGGCTTGTGCTTAAGTGGGCTCCTCCGGGAGCCACAAAACATACATACAGGTCGGTATCTATGAGGAGCTACACACAGGATTTTGTTAGAGTGTAGCTGTCGTCGAGATGATTTTCAGGGCCCTGAGCGACATCTGGTAGTATCTGCCATCCTCGACATCCAGCCGTCTTCCGCGAATTAGAGAGCGAGCATCCACCTGTATCTACAATCGCCGACATCTTTGATAAGCTTCTTCGTTCTCTCGGCACGTACAAGCCACAATACTGTAGGCATAAGTGGCTGCGGAGGCTCAAGGGATCCAGGAATGGAGGGTCAGTTTTGTCCGTGTACCATTAAGCTCATCATAGATTGAATCTTAGGGTGCAATCTTGGCAACCGATTCATTTACATCTGCCTGTCACATTCTTCTGTACATATGTCGGAGCTCGATTCCTGAGGATTTCATCTTAACGACACAGGCATTTACGATTACTCAGTACATACATCAATTAAAAGTAGCACTGCCCCATTACTTAACGAGAAGCAATTATCATTGTTATCCTTTGAGAGTTTTGTAGAGAAACACTCTAGAGTCTGGAGTGTCACACAGCAACGTAGGAATATGGGTAGCACTGCGTTTACATGACATTAGGATTTGTATTTGTTAGTTTTACATAGTTTTGATAGTCAAATGAGTTGATGACCACACACAAACCGCTGTGGTTCCGAGGTCCAGTATGTAAAGTAGTGAAGTGGAAGTTTCCCACTCTGCTTCAAAGAGCAAGCTTTGTGCTGACTATATCAGGCCTCTCGTATTCCTTATGCGTTTCATGTTCTGCTTAATCCTTTTTCAGAAAAGGAAGGACTCCTCCCTCACGTCATCATGCGAGCGGGACACTAGTCCATGGAAACCATAAAAGTAGGCTGGGTACATTTTTTCCGTAGGTAGGATTGGGTCCTTTGAGGCTCCCAATGGCAAGAGCAAGTATTGCGCTCGAAAGTACATTCTTCACATCATTGCCTCTTGTCTGTATATTGTTTGTGAGTGTCTCCTGTTCTTCCCACCACTCCTTGTCTGTGAAAGAAGACTAAAACTCGATGGACTCTTCCATTTCTCCATTCGTTGCTCTGAACTCTGTCGGTGGGAAGCGTGACGACGGTAAGCTACTCTTTTCCAAACAAATTTGACCATTTGACTTATGATTGAAATTGAAAGTTGTTTCTGCATCAGTGATTGAATTATCAAGGCTTTTTCAGCTTGAAAGGATGAAGCAGACACCATGTCCTCCTCTTCTCCTTTTTGTGTACTACCTTTCTTGGTTCTTGTGACCTGGAATCCCCTCGACTCAATGGATCCCTTTGCTCAAATTCAGCTGTTGTAGTAAACTTGTAGGCTCTGCCACTGTTATGAACCTGTAGTGGAGACAAATTCAATAGACCTTTGTCCACTTAATGTTGTCTGCTACATGCGGAAGACGAGTTATGGGCAGGTAAGTTGTTACGAGTGGTGCGACAAAGTCATCGTCCTGTGGTCATCTTGAGTGTAAAGTAGCAATGAACAAACGCCGACCTCTACGCCGAGAATGTTATCGTTCTGCACGACGATTACTTCAACATCGCTCGAGCCTCACTGTTATTCAGTTTGAAAGTTTCCCATGGTACTTCAGCTCTATTCCTTGTCACTGACGTAGTTCCCTTGCCGATGCTCATTCTACACTACTACTTATGGAGCTACGGTCTGCATTTGTTGACGATTCTGGTTAACATCGCAGAGTGGTATGAAATTTGTTACGATGGGAACGATGAGTATGTACATCGTTCGCGAGAGCTGGAACATATCAGTAACGAGAAGTCGTGACGGAGGGTTTGGTGGGAAATTATGTACGACAGTTAATATTCACAGTCGTGAGGGTTAAGTAGAAAGAGCGGTATTATGGAAATCCCGTGTCCTACTAGAAATCAATTTATGCGTGGTAAAATTTGCATCTATCACGATACTTTGAGTCCGAATGGCCATGATTTCTAACATCAGAAAAAGGTGTGTCTCCATATATAACTGGTGACATGGCTTTCAGCGGTGATAGACATACTCTAATTTGTAGCAATCCGTATCACTTGTACATGGTATATCCTCGGTGCTGAAACGGGCGATAAAGATGAATTTCTTCTGCGTAACTGGAGATATGATATATATTTGGAAGTTACTTGTATCAATACATGGAAGTTTGCATGTACACATGCGCAAATTTATGCAGACAATATATACCAGTATGGTGTAAACACTTCGATAAGATCCAAATATGAAGGAAATGAAGACATCCATGCTGCAACACAGAGTGAAACTCTGTCCTGGATAATTCTCGTATCACAATTTGAAGAAACCGTAGGGAAGGGAGCGATCTCTTTCTGAGTCTGTTCCCGTCAATCCTAGCTGATCCTTTTATTCACGTTGTCAACAGAGTAGCCCGGTCCTTGCATATCTCCGATTCTCTAAGCCAATGACTTTAAGAGAGCAATTAGAGTAGGCCATTCTCACTATATTCTACACTAAACCTTTCCGACACCATTTAATAAACTATAGACTCGTGCGAATAATTCAGATGAAGGTGACTGGTGTTTTTCCAAAGAAAACTGCTTTTCTAAAGCAAAATTATTGGTGTTCGTCGGAATCACATCACTTAGGTTCTGGGAGACGTTAATCAACAGTAGGAACAGCAATGTACAGTTGCTTTTTACACTTTATAGAACTCCTCACATTGCGGGTCCCCTTTTATTTTCTAATGTATACTGATATCGATACTGCTCGAAGTGGACGACATTCACGACAAAGCAACACGAACACAAAGTGGGAATTGTTGCCTTCTTTTAAAGTAAACTTCTGAAGATATATGTCTTTCCTTGGATTCAAACATCGTCACATGCTTTGATTCAGTAAGTCCGTGACAGCGGAAGGGTCGCAAATATTAACTCGCAGGGTGTTGGGGGGTGGGACCACTTTAGTACACACCAGGAGTATCCAAGTGCCAGCAGCCCCTTCGCTTTATATCTAACATCTCCATCCGGACGACGCATTGTTTCGGGATATAACTCAATCGGATAAACTCAATCTCGAGCTCTTCTATCCATCCATATCGCAGAATGACATCTGCTACTTTGTTGATCACCCTTGAAATACGTACTTGTGAGGAAAATCTTTGCGAAAATCAGACCATTCCACTGGAGATTTAGTTTGAGGTCGGAAAACATTGTCTTCACCTAAAGCATCTGCTAGATACAGCTTGACGGATGCTCTAGGTCAAAAGCATATGTCAACCAGTGTTCTTGACATAGGTTCAAAAGCATGCATTGTGGGAAGGGATGAGTAGAGGAAGAGCCCAAAGCAGAACTTCTGTACAGATGTTCATTGCATACTGGTGAGCTTCATTTGGTCAGGTATATAACTTTTCCGATGTACTGGCTGGTCACTAAAACACAGCTCCCTCGCAATTATTGACAGAAAACACGGTTGCTACTGGAACCGATCGTTGAGTTTTCCATCGTTTATTTTGTGACTTGACTGCTTGCTTTCCCTCCACTTTCACTTCACCGCACTTAAATGTTAAATTTTTACCCATTAAAAATTTGTACAGTATATCGTAATATGTTCTTGACGCAGGCTGCGAGCTCAAGGACGATGAACTATTCTTGAATTCGGACTTGGACGTGTTGACTAGTCACATTCACATTTTCTGGGTTGGTACTAAACATTCTCTGGAGTAGACACTGCTCTGTGGATGACTTTCGTATTCAGAGGTGAGAAGATTCACACTGCTGGTTGCAGAGGCAACGATAACTCTTTCTTCCGTGTATTCCACTTTTGGTCTCTACATGTATAATTTTTCTTGTTCAAATGTGTCGATACTCGCAATTTCCTCGGAGACAACGTTATACCACCGAGAGACTCCTGGATTTGCAGGGTAGATAGCTAACCTCTTTGCTGGAGATGTTCCACCTTCCATCACGCAAGGATAGCAATGGCATGAAAGCGCAATATTCCAATCGGGCACTGGGCGTGTGTTTACAAGAACTTGATAAGAGTGATTATTTTCGAAATCGGCCCACAAAGCGATTTAGTCAACAAGAGAAAAGCACCTCCACTACGGCAAAAGCATGCAGAATGCAATCAGTGAGGCATTTTTTCATAGCTGTAAGAAAGCTCAGCAAGTTCATTACTTTCTATGAAAACCCGTCAAGCTAAACCAGTTTCCGTGTTCATACTGGATCCTCTGGCTAAATTCAACCTGGTCAGGTGCATCCATTTCGAGTGAGGTGCACCGATCCATACCCCACTCGAATCAAAAGCAATCAAGTACTTGTATCACCGGCGTGAAGAAGTACACAGTTAGTGCGTAATTCACTCAAATGATGAACAGGCAAATGGCATCTTCGAACAAAGCACAAACCACAGGCAATGTACAATAATGTGATCCATGACACTGCAAGAAAGGACTTGCAGTGAACATTCTTCATAATTGACATGGGTGACACCCTTCACCTCCCCTTTACCAACCCAACAACGTGCTTCTTCAAGTTCATCTATCCCGATTGGAAAAGACAAAGATAATTCGCCCTAATGGTAAATGACCAGTCAATCCAGTGCACCCACCCAGCACCAATTCAGTTCTATGCATGCCCAAGACAGATACATTTTGAGGACGAGAAGTCGATCCACACAGTTCACAAATCGGACAGCACCAGACCGAAGGGGAGGATAATTGTCAGAGAGTGGGTCACACAAAGGCGGCGAATTTCCATTAGAGGCAGGTGGTACATGATACAATCAAGAGACAAAGACTTGCATTGTTTAACTAACAGCAAATGGCGATGAAATTCATGAGAGTTGTCTCACGAGCCCTGCGGAGTCTTTGAATGGAGTGTTTGGGAACAGAAAGTCGACTAATAACCTCTAATCTTTACGTCAGGAGCTGACTCTTGGCGGTCTGGCACGGGAGAAAAAAAAACCCTGAATCTACCTTCCTCTGTTCAGGGCCTTCTCAGCGATGTTGATCTCCTCAAAAATGCGATCTTTGCGCTTGACAGGGATGGCGACATTGGGGCCGTAACTGGTGTAATGGCCAGAGATAGCGTTGATCACAGAGTACATGTTGCTGAAGCTGGGCCTGCCTGCCACGCTCTTCTCCCTCCGGTACTTGGCTACCCAGTCATTGGACGACCGCCTCAGGGCTGCTACGGCATCGGATTTCGTGGGATCCGTCTTCTCCAGCGCTAGAGTTCCCTTGACCTGCTCAATTACAGCCTGCGTCTCCTTCTTGTAATCCTCCTCGAACTCAGCAAATGCGGCGGGCGCCAGGCCCAGGCCTCCGATCAACGCTGTCACTCCGGACAGAACGGCCTCTCTTCGGGAAATGTCGGACGAGGAGTGCGATTCGGCGCCCTCCTGGACGGCGCATGTCACCAGACGAGCAATTGGCTTGCTGGACGCGGTGGGGAAGGCGGCCATAGCCGGCGCAGCTCCTGCACCATTCTGAATCCTCAAGCTGTGGTTGCAGAGGCACTGCACGGACGAGAGAGCCGTGGACTGAACCACCGACGCCATTTCTTGCTCCTGCTGCTGCTGCTGCTGATTCCGACTTCCTACGCCCCGTCCCGGGCCTCGAGATTTCCCGTCGAATTTCTGCTGCTCGATAGAAAACTGAAATTCGGCAAATCCGCGACTTCTGGCTCCGTCGACTCGCTCGCTGTCCGACGGGCCCTGGCCCCGCCCCGCGCAGTTGCTCGCCCCTGGGTCCCCTTTCCAAGGTCCCGCGCGATGGACCACTGAGCGCCCGCCACGTGTTCCTCCACGAGGCATTCCCCTATCCTGTCTGCGCCAATGGCAGCGCGTTCCGATCTATCTGTTGCTCCAGCTCGTCACTCGTCGTCTCTTCGTGCCTCTCGATTCCGCAGCCGTTTATCCTCTCGCTGCCTTTGGTGCCAAGGGCAGTTGGCGACTGCCTCGTCTGCAGGGACGTGAATCATAATCGAGATGTGGAGAACTTTCTCAGGCTTTCATTTCTCGGCTTTTTGACAGTTTCTTTCACCGTAAACTGATCTCCATGCCGGATGATGAGCGAAATCCCGGTAAATCTCTCAAACAAATGTCCAGGAAATTTATACGGGGCCGACTTCTGACGCTATCGCATGTGGACCAGAAACTGATGCGGACTCCTCCTCACTCGTAATACTAACCAAGCCACGTAGTCAGGCTTCTGCAATTCTATCTAAAAGCAGCAGTCTCCGCCACGCTTGCGACATCTGCCGGAAATCCGTTAGAGTTACGTTGTCCTCGAACATCATCGTCCGTCCATAAGTGCAGTAGCGGGATTAGTCTCCGAGTGAGCCTCAGGCTTCAACATCCACTTGCCAAGGATTCACTTATAGCGAATACTGGGCAACAGAAATGGAAATGAAAATGGTGAGTTGTTTGATTTGCGAGATTTCTTCGAGCTGCAGTTTCTATGTGCTGGTCATGGAGAATTGCCATACAAGAGTTGCTGCGTGTTGATACCAGCAATTACTGTACCCAGCTGCCTGCTCGACTCGTCATCCACCCTTCGCGCTTGAATGAGGCTGTAGATGTCGTACTGCAATTCTTTGCTTTGGGAGTCAATTGTCGCAGAGGCTTCGAACTTCACATGATTAACAATAGGGAAAACAGCTGGTGCTAATTCTGAATCCTTGTGATTACCAGAATTAATTTTAGACGTCTGTATTGTGAGTGTTTTCAGGTAGTAAGTATTCCAACCCCTTCACACAAATGGTGACCTCCTGTGATCATGGTCCACGTCGACTGAACAAAGCAGAGAATGTTAATTCCCAAAGTCGACGGTCAGGTACCAGGCATTCAATGGTGACTGCATTAACCACTACCTACCAGCAAAGCCAGTTTGCGCCTTCATGAATCAGGAAAATGAATATACACAAAATAACTCCGTACATAGTATAAGGGATGGCAATTTGCCCAGGCGCGATGGTTAACAAGTCGACCATTGGCAAAAGTCATGACACAATTACCATTCAAATCCGTGCTTGAGACTAAAGGTTTAAGACGGTATCTTCCTATATTTATTTTATTTCATGTGCACTTCAAACTGAAGTGAAAGAATCATCCTCTCACGCGGAGATGGAAAAATAAGTTACCAAAACTCGGACTTAGCAACTACACCACATTCCTGCTCAGGACTGACAGTATCTCTACCTTCCCATGCAGAGTAATGCATCGATACACCATCCATTCGGGAATTCCAACAAGGCTTAACTCTCATATCTCCCCTTCGTAATTATTGGCAGAGATTCCGGAGGTTATCCCGGTAGTTCATTGGGCAATCCGCCTTCAGAACACCCACCCATTCATGAGTGATAATTTAGAGGACGTGGTTTACACCAAGTGCAGTCCGGTGCTGCAACTTGGGAGATGCTAAGTTGCAGGGAGATGTTCCGACTAGGAGAGCTCCCAAGGTGCTGCAACTTGGGAGAAGCTAATCTGTATATTCATGTTAAGTGGGCATGAACATGCAGATTAGCTTCAGAGACATATGGCAGTTGCACTTAATACTCTCCCCATCTATATTTACAACTATGGATAGTCTCAAAGACAATTTAGAACATTTACACCTCAATAATCAGATCCCAACTTTCTCCCGTTTTTGAGATTGGTAGATCCAGTTTCAAAAATCCAGTTTGAAAGTCATACGTGAACTCTGCGATTTCAGAGTTCACGAATACCAATCTTGGCCGCTTTGATGAGTACGCTCCAAACAGTCCGCACCCTCTTATTTTCATTCGAACTAAGGCCAGTGGTACCTGAGTATTATTCGAAGTGGCTTGTTGGCTAAAATCATTGCTCCATGTCATGTTTTCGTTCAAGCCCTCAATAGGCTCCGAATCTCCACTCATGTTGTACATGTTGAGCAGGTCGTGTTCCAGTATTTCATACCCAAGGGTTTCGATTGCCCCGCCGGAGTTGAACATGTTGATAAGTCCAATTGGGGCGAAAAACATACCTGGCGCTAAGGTCTGCACACAGTTCATGCTCACAAAAATTAGAAATTCAATTAAGTTACAAACAAGTGTGGAAATACAGAGACTACATTATGAAGTTTGAGAGACAACTCCGATTGATTAGGTCTCTTGGTTTTGAGCATGCTATATTCAGGGCCAGATCTACGATCGGTATTATAATTGCCCTCATTAAAGAAAACCACGCACACGAACAGCCCGGGTAGAAGTAAGATCGGACTTGGAAGTGACTCTCTTATCGTTCGCAAACTCACTGGCGAACTGTAAGGGGAAGATGGTTGCATCTCATTGATAACCGGAGGATTTATGGGCGACAAACGGACTCGCTGAAGGCAACGAAGACCTACTAAGCCTTGGCTGCAGGGTTCAGTGAAGGACCCCATTTGGGTCCTTAGACACTTCATCTTACTTCTTCCAAGTCAGTTATAATTCGCACCGCTCACCCAGGGTGCAGGTTCTAGGGTCTTCAGGACATGATGGACTAATGGTACAAATTATGGGATGAGGCACAAGTTTTCATTACAACGAGTCAATCTTCACGCACCTTTATAGGAGAAATTGAAAAAATCTCGAACTCCAAAACTTTGAGCGTCAGCGGGATCGCGGCCCCTCGTGGCAGGCGAATCAACTCGCCTAAGCACACCAGATAGAAGAGATTGTTAGAATTCCATCCGGGCACACGAGAAGGGTTCGCGTTGCGTATGTCGTGTAGATATATCGAAGCTCAGAATGTGTAAGTAAATGCTATACTTATACTTCCTGGTCATTCGGTTCCTTAAGCTATTTAACGAGATAATATACTACTGAATCTAACGACTGAAGTAAGATAAGACTGCGTACCTCCACGATGTGTATACACAACGCAGTCTCCTTTCCAGCCATCTACAGCTACTTTGGCTAGAGAGTCCACGTCACTTGCATGCACGCTACCAGTGATGGCTTTTGGTGCAGTATCATGTATGGCATTCTTCTTGTTAACCTTACACCAACCAGCACCTTGACAATTGAAGGCGCCTACAACTCCCCCGAACAGATTCAAGTTCCAAATCTTCAACAAGCTAATTCAACGAACCACCGCACCACGTGTCAGACTTGTGCAAAATTGATTTATTTGGACAGAATTTCATAATGCTCAAACAAAACTAAGATACACAAGGGGATTCACCTGACGCCATCACGAGCTGGATCAGTAAACAAACAATCGCGAGTAGGTCTTCCTGGTAACTGAGCACGAAGCACCCTTCCATCGGGGAGAACGATTTTCCTAAGCAAGTCGAAGTCGTGATTTCCTGGTTTGTCACTGCATTAGAAGAAGTTGAAAAGGTTCAGATTGGATTGGAGACCTCAAAGTACTCATGTAGTTTCGAAATTCCATTCAGGTCCCGCAGACTGTGCACACGTCTGCGGGACCTGAATGGAGAGAGAGAACCAATGCTGAGATTAATCAAGTGAAACTATGGTTTTGAGAATGATTGTGTACATCTCACCTCACATAAACTGAACATCCACCTACGGCACGAGCGGCAGCGTGATACTCAGCTGCTGGATGCAAGCTCTGCAAAATTGGAGCACATGCCGCAAAGACCAGATGTCAGCATTCATCAATACACATGCCTTCGTTATCATTTAGGCTAATTGACATGCGAGTGAGAATTCACATGGATGCCCTGTCTTTGCTTAGCTGTAGACTCTACCAGTAGATACTCACATGAAACATGTCCCAGTCAGGCTGCATGAACTCCCCCAAAAACAAGGTGTTATATGCCACGGATGCAATATGAATCGTATGTGATGCTGGATCTTTCGGCCAAAAGTCATCTGACGCTCTGACAACGGCAGTTTGCTTAGAACTGCGAACGGTCAGAAAGCGAATGATTTATTAGTACAACTCACTGCAATGGAAAATGTCGAAGTCTCAACAATAAAATGCATGAAATAGACAAAAATCGAAATCGAAATTTGGTTCTCAGCTTGTCATGAAACCACACCTGTAGATACTGTCCGTGTTGTGGCACATGCAAGCGATGCACCCATTGTCAGGAAAGTTCTTAGCTATTGATTCTTCCAGCGCTTGGTTAAATTGCTTTGTGATGGACACTCGGCCCCCAAAACCAGCTCCCAGAGTCTCCAAAATACTTTGGGCATCAACCTTCACACCATCAATTCCGGCCGTCCTGAGGTAACCATGGAGCTCGTTAAAAAAATCTGCAACCTTTTTCGGGTTGACGAGGCCTAGTCCATTTACTGTAAGACTGTCGATGGCCATATCCGGCTGATTCCCCAAAATACCTGGTGAATGAACAGGATATGTCACAACAGACTCATACTGCTCCATTCCCTCGCCATCGGGTTGAACTCCTCCCCAGTATCCCGCAAGTGCATGCCAGACATAGACATATCTGCAGTTGATCATAAACATACCGTCACAAAAAGGTTGAATTGAGCAAAGCAAAAATCTGGCCGTCAAGAGAACAATCTGAAATCGATAAACAAAGGACACAGTTTGATGGGGCAATCTTAAGCCACAAAGAGGAAAAGACCTAACGGAATGGAACAAAATTCCCGAATATCCTGTGTCTCATGGGCGAAATCGCATTACCGGGACCATACTGTACACAATGTAAGATTACGAGGTGGAAAACTTGAAAAGCCTGCATCTTCAACCCTAGATATTACACTAGAATCGTTGCCTAAATCTTGAAAAAGAACGAGCTTCGATTTTGCTTACTTGACGTCAAACTTGTTCTTGACCTCTGGAACAATGTGATGAAGACCAAAGCTTTTTCCGTCTTTCAAAAACTTTTGATTCTCCTTAATATTTGTCAACCTGCTGCTATATCTGGAATTCAAAAAATAGGGCAAGCACGGACGAAATATTAACTCCCTATAAAACTCAAAAAAACTCAAAAAGCATCTCAAAATTGAGATCAATACTCCAAATTAGGGATATTGCTGGACAACAATAGGTGTTTATACGATTCTTACTGTGTGCCTTCAGTTACAGTCACGTCTAGTGGCTTGTCAGCAGCAACAGATTGCCATCCATCATCAATAATAAGGAATCGAGCCGGAGAGCCGCCTTCTGCCAGACTTGCGACCAAACACTAAACAGGGTGAGGTGCAACAACTCAATTGAACTTTCCATGGTATCTTCTAAATCCTAGAGTAATTCGACCCATGATGACAAACAACAATTGATCACATGCGATGATCACAAACTTTGCACTAAACTTCAGAACAGTACCTCTTTAAACCTTCCATCACCCCCTCGGCTGTGACATCTGTGTAGAATGCATCCCACGTGCACCATCCAAAATAATCTAGAATACCTGGCATCTGTAAAAAATTGGAGGTCAGCAAAGACAGTCAACTCGATTATCTTTTTGCTCTCCTCAATGCACGATTTACCCAACGGATAAAGAAAAGTTTCGAAATTTAAAGTTGGATTTATCAAGCTTACCCGCTTGTTCTCTCGTCTTGTAAAAGACTGCATATGACTCTCAACAGCCCTGAACAACAAGAATACATCCATCAGTTCATTAGTGGTTTTCTCTACAAGAACGACTGTCACAGTGGTAATTTTCAAGCAAAAGTGGCAGGCCTTCACGTAATTTTCTATGCTGAAAGAAGAGAAACAGATTCAACTGATCTCAAAGTTGTCATTTTACAGTATCCACATTTAAAGACGTGGTAACAGTATCGCTTAAAGGATTACCTTACAGCTCCTGTTATGACTTCAAATGGATCATATCCAGTGTTTATATACACGGAATGCAGGCCCTCTGAAGTCTGAGCAACAGGATCTCCTGGGTAGTACGAAAAAAGCCAATAGATTAACACGATGTCTAACACTCAGAACTCCAGACTGGATAACGAAGCATAAATTCCAAACGGCTTGTTGGAGAAGACAGTATAAACTTGTGTAAAATAAAACCAGACACATTTGAGGATTTCAAATTGAGAGCACTGTTTAATTTACCACTTTCTACACACAGCTCAATTTCGTTCTTCTCGTTTCCTTGCAAAGAAGTCCTGAATGCTCCCTCCAGTAGTGGAAGAAAAACTGTGTAGACGGAATTATTCTCTGGGCGGCAGTCCATGTCGTCCCCAAATGGAGGCGAGTCTGTACTCTCTACCAACATAAACTGAGTTTCTAGAGGAACCTCCATCCCAAGGGATCCCATCCTTTGGGTCATCCACCACAGTTTGAATCGAAAGCAGCACATGAACCGTAAGCCTCTGATTGCCATCCAAGGTAGGTCAAACAAAACAGAGTTAAACTTGATCAATTTTGCCGCACACAACAGTAACAAGTTACTTGAAACACTTCTACGAGACGTCGAGAGACCTTAAGTGATTTCACAAATCTAAGTACTTCCAGCCTAAAGACAATATCCTGTTGTTTTCAGGCTGGATTTAATCTCGTCCACAAACCGTGAGGAGAGGAAGGAAAGGAGATCCCCTTCATTTTTCCAATGATGGACAACTAAAATGCTTGACAGACTTCATATCAACCTCCAGATGCATACAATATCACTTCAAGTTTCTGCTCGTAATTAAGCCTGTGTGCTTACTTGAACACACCAATCGGTACTGAGTGTGTGTGCTTGCTCTCTGAAGCCTTGAAACCAAGGAAGCCTCCATTGTTCAAGCCGGACTTTCTATCTGGCGTAAAGATAATATTGCCTGGCACCTCAGACAAAATTTGAGCTCCGTATGCTAGAAGCTTTGCATCTTCGATCTTGAGATCCTCGCAGATTTCCATTCCGATACACATCTCTGATTCGACAGGATGCGCGCGTGCCGAGGACGAAAAAAGGGTCCTTCCTGGAATTGAGTTTTCAAGCCTTCTTGAAACTAATGGGATAAAATATAAAGGCGCTGGAACGAAAGAATGCACAGATTCAAGGGCCAAGGACTTCAAATTTGTTAATTGTCCTTTGGCGGAAGGCCTTCCCAGTGCCGTTGCTTGCAGGCGCCTTAAATAACGTGGAACAGAATCCAAATGTGAAGGAGTACTCCACAAATTCCACCCGGTTTTTATGCACCTATTCCGAAGAAGAGAGAATCTCGTGAAGTACCCAATTTGACGCGTCGATTTAATCTCCGACTCTAAATTCACTCTGATCCTCGGTCTTGATCCACACTTGTTTCCGTCAAATCTCGCCCCAGATCCTACACTAATTTCAGGAACGTCACCGGCGCAAGCCTTACGAGGTCCAACGATAAAAGGGACAGCTGAACGTGATAAAGTGACGATTTCCATGAATCCCACGGGGGAGAAAACGGTTGGGATACATAATAACGCACAGCAAAGTCCTCTCACGACGCTGGTTTGAAAGGACAATACTCAGTCTAGAGTTGAACAAAGCGGTTCCAATTCATGTGCGGATGTAATGTGCCAGATGAGGCTCTGTCGTCGGCAGTGGTTGGATAGACAGAGCTGCAATGTAGGCTATATAGCGTTCATCAGCCTCGTGCAGGCTTTGGCGCAATTCAGAAAATGTGAGCATTGAGTACAATCCAGCTAAAGATCTCCCTACGACTCACAAACACGTGAAGAAATCAAATCAACCGCGGCGGCGCCCATTTGACCAAAACACGTCATCTAATCCAGAAATGACTCACTCCGAAGATTGCCAACCAAGAGATTGCCAAACTTCGTGGAACATGTATCTTCTCCGGCGATGGTCTGCTCGCCTCTCTTTCTGTAACGCTGCGTGCCAATCATTCAAGGTGCGCAACCTTGACGGATCAAGCTGTCGGAATCAAGCCCGCTTGCATTGCATGATCGTAAGCACCAGGGCCATCAATCGAGCACGCAAAGCATTCGGTCGAAGATTAAATTGTTGGCAGAGTGGGAGAGATTCACTCTGTCCGGAACCAGACGGCCCACGCCATCTTTTGAATTGCTCGCAAACGCTCGCTCCACCGAAGCACGCAGGCACGCAGCACTGGATCCAAGCAATGGTTGCGCAGGATCGCTTCTCCAGCCACCGCCGTCGGATTCGAGAAAGAGCAAGCCCAACGCCATACGATTGGCGCTCCCCGAAACCGTGTCCCGCGCGGTTGTATAAAGTTCCTCGCACGGTTCCTGTAAAGTTCCTAAAGTGCGAGGATAAAGTTCACATTTCCCCTGCCGGTGTTCCTATACGCCAGTGTCTTCAACGATGTTCCCCGCCCTGGGCGGAATCTGCGCTGCCCGCTGAGGAATGCTAATCCGCCACGTCTGAAAAGGTAGAACATGACCTATACCACTCACCTACAACCGGATATAGCCATTAGAACAGTCAGTATTTTCCAGTGGCACGTGCGATTTGGTGACCATTCTACTGTACAGAAATCCACATGACTATTATACAGTTTCACACCGCAAGTGGGCAGGTAGTCTTTTGAAGTCATTGTGCGACCGAAGGTCCGGAATATTCACAAGATTGTACCACATCGATGACAGCTTTAGAGGCTAGATCACATCGAGCGGTAATCAGTACTTCTTTGCTATCGGTGGAGTCCGAGATCTGAGATCTACGCTCAAACCATTGGCTTCTGGATCCGGAACGTGAAATTTGTTCGAGCAGACGGTGGTCCAAAACACACACACGGCATTCTTTCAGCCGTCGTCACATTCTAGTCCTCCTGTGAGTCTGTAGTATGCCGTCTCCACGTGTAAAGGGACTATACAACGCGAGGTCGTAGAATGTTGCTTGGTCCTCCAAAATCCATAGCTTTGTACGTTCGTAGGTTGCTGGTAGATTATAGTTCATGAAGCGTGTCGAGGCTTATTCCATTGACGTTCTATCCATTTCCTTGTAGTATAAGTTTGCAACATTGGCAAATGGACATTCGACATGAAGTCACAGAATCCGGGTGGGGTATGCCTTGGAACCTTCAACAACTCCATGTTAATATTGCATTTCCGTTTCCATATAGCCCACTGATAAAAACACCCGTTTTCACATCACACAGAATTTGGGTCTCTCGTTTTGCGAAGTAGACGAATTTGATGTAAATTTGGGATTGGACTTCAGTGTATTGTTAGTTCTTGACTATACAGATGTCAGATCTGGTCAGCGAATCTGAAACTTTGATTAAAAAAAATGATATCATGTACTACAGCACACGTCTTTCTGAGCACGCTCAATGACTTGAATGGTCCTTTCAGGTGGAACAGAAGTCTTTGTTTGGTAATCCGACTCTGTCCATATGCTGGGAATGAGTTGGGCACAAATATATGTTCCTTAGTTGTGAACGTGCGCACTTTTCAACATTTCACGAATCATGCACCAATCCTGAAGCCGCACTGCTAAAGGTAAAAACTTCCTTCATGATCATATGTACTGAATAGACGGAACACATTCATCCGATGCAATTGAATGGTAGCAGCCCCTCGCTACTTTCAGTTGAGATCTTGCGGCAATGTCAGCTCGAATAGAATCCGAGGACAGCACGCGGAGTATCTTTTCGCAGCGGGAAGTTTTTTCCCTAAGGCACGAATTGCGCTCGCGAGGAAAGATTTCAAATAACCCTTCACCTTCACTGCGGCCACACACGCCTTTCGAATCATGGGCTTACGTTTCCAGGCTAACTAAGAAGATGCTTCCTTATACAAGGTTTCGACCTCGTCGTCATAAAACCGTTTTCCGTACGTAACCTAGCTCAAGATGGATAGCCTAGTCACGAGAAATGCTGTAGAATGACGATGTGAAATCCTCGTCGTGGAGTTTCAATCAACTCGAGTGTCTGACATGAGTCGGGTGATTGACACAAATTCAGGCTCACAGCAACACAAATCGCATTTTCTGCGTTTGTAATTTCATAGTTGCTAACGAATTACATCACAACTGCTTTTTCTTTTATTCGTTCGTATTATTAATGATATTGTCGTGTTCACCATGGGTACTACAGCGTATCAGTCATCGCAAATTGAGATATCTTCGAATTTACACAGGATCAACGCTGACTCGACATACTAAAGTAAGATCTCCCTGAACGGATTGAACATATTGACGCTAAATACACAACGATTGTGACTCTAGACCCTCACTGATTCAAACTGAGGAATACATAACTCTATAGCGTCGTTATCTGACCCTTGGGACATATTCAGCTGAAAGGTGAGCCAGACAAATCTTCCGTGAAAAGTTAATTTTGATACTTTACAATATCCAGCTACAGTAGTATCTTCCACGAGTCACAATCCAGTCGGGACATGGGAATGCTGATCTTTTCAAAAAAAGGTAGACCATGACAGCGTCCATATACACGTAGTCCTCGACCGATGCTGTTGATACGTAGTCGATAGCAGTCACGTCATCAGAACGATCTCATGACTTTCAAGCTCGGTCACTATCACGAAGAAGCCTGCTAGTCTGGCAAACTTCAGATAGTTATATGAACGGTTGAGGATGTGCTGGAGCAGTCTTGCAAGACCTCTCTAGAAGCCAATACTGATGTACATGATCTGTCTCTCTGGACACAAGCCCAGATGACATGTGTCTGCACTTGCTCATTGGTTCTCAAATCCAAATACTCTGAAAACACCTGCATGTGAAAAAAAGTTCCAAATAGAGTTGGCAACAATAGGATATAAGCAATTTACTCGAATACTACAATTTGTTGAGAGAAACTTAGCGGTAGCAGCATTGAACTATGCGAACAATGGTCTATTGTACAGACCTTAGAATCAAACATTAGGAGTGAAATACAGGCGATGTTAAGTATTGATTCTGTTAACTGGAACATCTCACAGAAAGAATCTAATAATATACCAAAGTAAAAATACCCTCCATGAAACGATCGCAATCAATAATCAAATAGTGTTTAACATCAGTTTGGCCAAAATGAGCTAAGAACCATCAAGTTTGTAAGCCAAGTGAACAAAAGGTTTGAAGACTAGAAATATTACTCCTCGGAGAAAAATGAAATGCTAGAATGAACGCAGCCATTTCAAAGGGACAATACATGACCGTACCTTCATCGGCTTGGTACTTGTTCTTATCGTCAGCAGCAAATGCAAGAAGATTGTACTTCGGATTCCACTCAACGCTGTTCATGGCTGCCCGACACGGAATTTGGTAGACAGATCTTCCAGTTTCCACCTCAGACTGCATTCATAACGTTGAAAACACTTGTCACTCTGCTACCGGAACAACAACAAAGAGGGGTTTCCGATGGTACCAAAACACAAGCTAGGTTTATCTATATTTCTTTGTTGGATGAATAGATGTTTATCTCAAATGCTGACTAAGAAAATCAAGATAAGTGATTAAATGGAACAGAAAGATGTAGAAATGCTAGCTCTCTGTATCTAGTGTCCCTCTTCAAGCAATTTCAAGCAGTTTCAAGGCAATTTCAAGCAGCAAACACAGAAGATACAAGGTACTTAAGACACAATGTATCTTGAAAGGATTGAATCTACAGTCACTTAGGATTGTAAATCAACTGAGAAAACAAGAAGCCTCAGACGTACAATATCTATAAAAAGATCTTCACTGGCAGAGGCGATATATTGTCCATCATAGTTGAAGCTGATCGTCCTAACAGGCCACCTGCACATTCGTAACAACCAGTCACATTCTGCAAACACTAATGCATGTATGAACGTGCAAGTACTTGCACCTAGACTTGTAAATGACATATTCAGACCTCGATGGTCTATGTCACCATCAAATAGACTATTGACCAGAACATCACCTTGACTCAATGAAAGATTTTTAGATCATACAACATAGGCATCCACAAACAGACCTATATACCCATTGATAATGTTGGAAGCGTGGCAGTATCGGATCAAAACATCCGGGCCTTGTAGTTTTAAACATATCGAAGAAATACCAAGTTTACTTCGACCAACTACGATACTTCAGTATGTTCGTTTAGATATTTAGAACTTACTCTAGCTTGGTGAAAGTGCGTGCACAAAGCATTTCAGAAACCTCCCAAAGGCTTACAAGGGCATCCGCGCTTCCCACCGCAAAATACCTGCATCTCAAACCAAGATATTGGATCAAAATAGTGGTAACTCACGTATCTGCAAAAGCATATCTGCATAAATACTGTTGTACTATTAAAGACTAGCCACACAAAGGGGAATCTAACGACCTTTCCCGAAATGAAGGAATGACAGATTGGACTAGTTCAGTGAAGGTTTCTTACTTTCCAGACGGATCGATTGCTATACAATAGCAACCAGCGGTGTGTGCAACTAGGGTGTGCAGTGTTTGTAAGGTTGGGTAAGCTAGGACTTCCACAGTACCTGCAAAATTCAAGGTTTTTCAAAGTCAAAGGTAAAGAACATCAAGACTTCAGCGCGGACTCCACAACCATAATCCTAATTGATATCTCTATCTTCACTAAGTTGTACGGAAAAACTTGCCGCGAGCCTTGCCGCGAGCACGAAGCAAAAGTCTGTTGCAGCATACAGGTTACATATCAAGGTGCAGTTAAATATTGATACCATTGCCTGTTGTCAGGAAAAACAGCTCTCCCGTGGTGTTCCAAGCAATCTCATTGACCTGTCAAACGGAGGAGAGTGTAGGCCGTCAAATCACTCTTAAAATGTCTGGATGGATGAATAACTCAAAAGTATAGTACGAAGCTTGTCAATGTGCATACTTAGCAAGCTCTAGGGGTATACAAATGCATCATGCGACGGATGATTACTTCCCCGTGTCAATGACCGTGTATTATATATGTGCTTCCCAATATACTCCGTTCAAGTGAACGGAAGTAGGGCCTTACGGGATCACCAGAACGTTAGAGAAGGGACATTTCAAACTTCTAACTAGACATCAGTAAACCACATACCTCATAGCCAAACTTGCGCTTGTTGATAGCCTTAAACTTTCTCACGTCAATGATCGTAAGCTCGTCATCCTGAGTGGACAAGGAAGAGAATATTGTTTGCATCTTAAGAAAGCTCGCAAACTCTATAAGCAAGTTTTTTCTAAATAGCCTCAATGACTCATAATGATTTAAGGAAGATAGTTTTTATGCCCTAAAAAGGTAAGCAAATGCTTCCTAAGCATCAAGATCAGTAACAACAATCCCATAGACGTAACTAGTATTCGACAGGCACAATGAAGTTGATGCCCTTCGAAGACGGTGATAGCCCGAGAAAACTCACTCTGTTGCCAACTGCGATATGACTCCCATCTGGCTTGAATGTTATGTTGATGTTTTCACCGCTTAGCTCCACTTGCTGCGAGCATTTTCCGGCTACATGGTACACGATTCAAAACAACACACTGACTTACGACATCAAAAGAGGCTAAATATGTCTGTATGCACTTTCAGATGCAGTAGAATCATAGGTAGGCAGTACTTCTGTACATAGAACATTACAAAGAAACTAAAGGAGTAGGATTGTTCACATCAAAGGAAAGAGAATCAAGAAAAATACTTTGCACTACTCACTGCGGGCATCCCAAAGACGAACAGTTTTATCTCCTGAAGCAGTAGCGAGCAAATCAGCGTGTTTTGGGTCCCAGCAAAGCTGATCCACGCTGTCAGTATGCCCTTTCAGCTCCATATCCTTCGCTTTACTCTAAACTCCAGAGCAAACACGAGTGCATGAATGCCATGCACAATGAAATCGACTCTCGTTAACATGCTTCGAACTTAAGCAGACTCGTTGACCATCAAACCTAATCTTTAGAAGAAAGGAAAGAACGATGGGACTGCGATTATAATGGTCTCATTTGACTGGAAATGAAGAATTAGTGTTATATTGTTGCAGAACTTAAGCAGGCAACTCCACTTACGGAGCCTTCAGGACTTGCAGACTTCAAGACAAAGCAATCTTCACACTTCAGTACTAACATCAAAGAGGAAAAAAAAGGAAGAAACTTGTACCGAGCCATGGAGCTCAATGTGCCAGATACGAGCTGTCTGATCTACGGAGCCTGAGGCAAGCCTCTTTCCCTGGCAATTCCATGCGACTGAGTGCACCTGCGGCACAAAATAGTGCTCTCAATAAGACCAGACACCACCACAAACCAAGTCTGAATCTAATCCATACAAAAATACAATGCAGTCAGTAAGATTTTGAGCTACTACCGTGACTCGAATTTTTTTTCCTGCCACCAACAGGGCAGATGTGACATTGATGTGCTACTTCTTCCCTCGAGATTCTCACGTCAAAGCAAAATCTGCTCTCAAATTTCCGCCGCCACGACTGGGCTGGCAATGTTACTTAGATTCTCTGTCACAAATTCAAATCTACCTTCTTTTTGTGTCCCAAATACTCTCGCGTGTGTAAGTGCTTGAACGGAGGAGAAGGCTGCCCATTAGAGGTGGCCACAACAAATTCTTCCATCACAGACAGGTAAGGATCGCCTTTCTTTAGACCTCCAGCACCAAATAAAATTTCCACTGTGTTAAGATCACAACTGTTAATCTTGCTCCTGTTCCGTGCTTTCCGTCCTATGCGCTCTTCCTGAGCTGCAATTCGAAACGAGGGAACAACAGCACTCTTCGTTCGTCGAGGAAGAGTAGTGTTATGTACAATGACGAATCATATGCTGTGCCTTCTTTTCGGAAGTTCTACTGCTCCTCTCGATGTTCTTCCTCTCTTTGAAGCTTGGCCCATTTGCATCTATGTTCTAGTCGTTGCCTGCCGCTATGAGCTAATTGTATGCCGTGAATATCCATCGAATTCTTTGCATCAGGGATGATTCATTCTTCTCTTCTGGTATTGAGAATTTTAGAAATCAGCTCAGTGGATCATGAGAGCCATTTCTTCTGGGTATAAGAATTTACTCAAGACTAACTGCTCATGTCATCAATCGGCAAAAATACTTCAGAAGAACAAAGTTTCATATTGCTGACAACCTTTTGATCGAAAAATACTATCTATCATTTCTCTAACTACAGCACAAGATTAACTTAGACAGTGATGAAGGGGCCTTTAGTACAAACTTTTACGCTAGTTGAAATATATGATTCTTCATACCTATTTAGTATACGATTCATAAAAGAAGAGGTGTGAAACCAATCCTCCATGTAAAGAATAGTGTGATATGCACTAGTCACATGAATGTGTCCAAGGGTCAAATGTACTGTAGCCAAGCTTCATAGCGTTTCTGCAGTAGTTTTGACTGTTCCAAGAGCTTTGAGGGAAATTCTTATATATATATTTCATCTCTTGAGAAATATCAATCATTGTAGAAACATATGCATATGAATATCATAGTTTCCCACATTTAACTTTGAAGATAGTTTCTTCCAATATGCAGAATACCAGTGTTGCACAAAGAGTTCAAAGTGAGGTCGCGAGAGGGTTTGAAGTATAAAGGCTACAAAAGGGATAATATATGAACAAGTTATTTATAGATTTTATAGAAATTTAGATTTTTAAGAGTCTCAGGTGTGCGATAGTCTTAAAGATATATATCACAGCGTTGTGTTATGAAAACTTGATTTGTAATATTGAGAGATCAGCTAAACCGTTTCGTTATGATACATATATTCAAGTTAATCTATCTGTAAAATGTTTGATCAAATGAAGTTTAATTATTTAAAATGAATTTGATATTTGAATTGAAAATTAGATCTCTATGTTCTCAACATTCATGTGTGGGAAAAAAATTTAAGTTTATATTTACACATATTTTCTATAACATTGAATCATTCTAGCTTGCCCTATTTGTTAAGATTATTCGTAAGGTTTGTTTCAACTCAATTACAATATGTATCGGGATAAGACTTTTAGGATTGTAGGGTATCTAGAATTTGAATACTGTAGTTCGATTGGTATAAAGGGATTCTGATTGACATCATATAAGTATAAACCCGCAAATTTGTCGCAGCTTGAGACGCAAAAGAGTACGCAAGGAGCAAACTCATACTGGTGAAGAATACAAATGAATAAATTTGCCGGTTATAGAGCCGAAAGCTCGGTTTTTCGGGCAAAGAATTAATGAGTTGCGGCAAAGATGAAGACCGTCAAGTACGGTGAGGACAAGATTTAATTTGTAGTTGTGCACAATATTTTGATGTGTATTAGTTAAGCTGGCTAACATAACTTACCAAATCTTCCAGTGACACAAACGAGAGTCGTTAGGGTATGTACTGCCTAGGTCAATCTGAGATTTGACATGTTGGAAATCATCGCTGCTCTGGATTCATGGCAATATAGCAGCAATTGCTTGGTAGGAAAATGTGAACGCGTCACAACCAAACGGTCCACATACTTGAATGAAGTGGACTTAAAGGTCCACAGAAAATGGTCTCATTTGAAGTTCAGTGTTATACTGGTGCAGAACTTAAGCAAGTAATTCCAATCACCGAGATTTAGGAATTGCAGACTTGACGACAAAGCCATCTTCAAGCTTCATCTTGTTCCAGCTTGTTAAAACAACTTTGCACTCTAAGTTTTAAGTTCTATTTCTTCTATACACATAGTATTCAGTTAAACTGGATGGGATACTGTTTTTTTCAGTTGCAAGAGTCAAAGGTTAATTATGGAGTGTGAGTTTGATACACCCAAGTATGGGTTTGCTAGCTAGATTGAAATTTTGAAGCTTTCTTCAGTTGAGGTAAATAATACAGAAATTGGACATAATCTTTTTTGTGATTCTTATAATGAGTAAGGTATATACATGTGTAAAAAAATTGTAACTCTTGTTATCAATAAATCTCACAAGCTATTCTAATGGATGAATTTTGCAACTATATGAATGTTGCTCAGAATTTAAGACATTTGTTCAACTCTTTTGAATACAACCATCCATATCATACACATATAAACCATACACTTATCTTTTGATGGTCGAATTTAAAAAAAAAAATTCTATACATCAAATCCCATTATTAATTTTAGGTTTGTGTAAATAAGATGTTACAAGATTCATAATTAACAAATAATGTAACGTGAAATCTATTTATTTAAATCCAATTGATATGTTTTAAATTGGCCATTATATTGATTATACTTATATAAAAATATATCCCTGAGTGATGTCGACTTTAAAAAACTTAAAGGTTATAAAACTGATATGCCGGTAAATCCAAAAATGCATGCATCTTCCAAGAACATACCACGAGAACAGATAAAACAAAAACCAAAACTGACACGCGTAGTCGACACTAGAATAAATGATTCACCATTGCGTATCTACGTACATGGAAACAAATCAGATTTTATTGAGGAACAGTACTAAAAATGTAGTTGGGAGGTTCAATCACCTCTCTTTTATAGTGAAGGTCTTACCAATTTAAGTAACTGGAATACAATTAAATTTAATTAGTTCAAGATATAAGTTTTATAAACTCTGAAATCTAGAAGACGAAAATCATGAGTGAATATTAAATGTAATGTGGATGTAGTCATACATAATAAAATGAACTAACTAATTTGAACCAAGTAACATGCATTACAGCTCTATAAATAATCATGAAAACTCTATAACGAGTAATATTGCATCATCTTAAAAAAACACGTTAGTGAAATGGAACATCATAAAATTAATTGATAAATATTCATGTTATTATAGAGTTTAAAATTCAAACTATATCAAAAAAATTAAAAGTAATTTTATGTTGGATGTGATTACATCATTATTATCGAATGCCACAAATACATTGTACTAGATATATTTTAAAAAATTATTAAGGATATTTGTAATTCATTTTTATAAGACTTCTAATTTTGAGAAGGATTTGAATTCTAATGTGGAGATAGATACATGCATTATTAATTTGAAAAAAAGAAGCAAAAATTACATGAGCGATATATTATTTTGTTTTACACTACACTATACAAAGAGGTTTAATTAATTAAAATTTCAGCCTGTATTGAATATAAATATATGTTGAAAGGCCATGTAAACTTAATCAGGATAGATAACTAGAGCTTGTGACATATTATGTATATTTAAAATAACATATTTGAAATCGAGTTTATTAAAGTACAACTGACAAAAACCTAAAAACATTCAAAGTTATGAGAGATGAGATGATCTAAGATATAATTAGTTTATAGTAGCAGTTTTACATAAGAACTTTTCTTTATAAAAGCTAATATTTGAATTATATATTTTTTCATGTTTCATTGTCTGCTAAATATTGATGGAATTGATCAATTTTTTATTATTGAGGTTAGTACACTTTATTGATGGACCTATAGAGGCAATGAGATATAAATTTATAGAGGCAGAGAACTAAAAAGCGCATGAGTATGTTAGTTAAAAAAATATGTAATACGTTTAAATATTACATGCATCTTGTGGCTGAACTATTAAACTCATATATGAAGATTGATTATGAAGTGATATGTAATTATTTGATGGATTTCATCAACTCTAATCAGCTTGTAATTAACAATGATACATAGATATATGGATGGTAGTTGTGATTGGACACGACACAGCTTTCTACACACGGACGTGAACATCACCCACATACAGACCCATTGGAACCTCATCGCTGATGACCGAACCGACTGTTACCTCATTGTCGTCAAACTCCACTCGACCTCACCAGTGCTGCTTCGACAATAAGTCAAAATCCTTTGAGAGTAGATGTGAACATTTTCGGAAAAGTCCTTATCCTCTTTCATCTCACAAACTGATGTGCCGAGTCGATTCGTATTCTTCGGTTTCCAACCATTTAAATATGTAGTAAATTAACGCGGTAAAATACACAAGGTTATTAAAGTTTGTACATTAAATTCAGCGAAATGTTCAGAATACCTCAAGGAAAACGGGAGAGATAACAACAATAGCACTACCGCTTCCTGTTCATTTTCTGTCAACCCCTCGAAGCATACTTTACTTCCGAGCAAAGGAGCCAGCCAAAATCCTTCTCTGAAGACCCTTGCTCTGTTCTGCTGTTTGGAAAACCATCAAAAGGATGGGAGTTCAGTGTACGGAGGTGAATCTTCCCTGGCTTTCTGAAACTTGTTTGTGATCTGCCGTAGCCTCCTCCAGTTTCGGGACTAGAACTAGAAACGAAAAAGAGGAGAGCTCACACTTTGTGCCTTTTCGCACCGATACTCAGCCCGAGTTATACATTTCCACAATAGTAGCAATTTTAGAAGGATATTGAAGAATTTGTGTACACGTAAATATGGTAGTGATCACTCAAGGATTCAAAAAACTTGATTGCGCGGAAAGAAAATGGGAAACGGTTAATGGACATGGTGAATGCGTGCAAATTTGTCTAGCTGTTCATGAAATACTTAGCCTTGGCACTACTACACGACCTGAACTTGCAATTTCGAGACTACTGCGCCTTGTCGCCTACAAAATTGCTCAATCAAGTGACCGACGGATCAATTTCTCCTAAATATATCTGCTTATCGCTCCCGCATGATCCAATGATAGGTTCCTTCGGGTGAAATACTGATTCGTTCACAGATCCGCTGTGACCTGGGAGCTTGTATAGAATCCGACGTGACGTTGTATCCCAAACGTATACCATTCTGTCAGAGCTTCCAGAAGTCACTTTGCTTCCGTCAGGTGACCAACTGCACTTGAGCAGGTTCTTCTCAAAGTTGTGCTGGTGGCCCGTAAAAGTTTTCACGCATCGATTTTGAGGGGCATAAGGTCGCATATCCCATATTCTCAATGTACAGTCCATCGAGTTTGTCAGTAGATAAGAGCCGTCTGGACTAAGCTGCATACCTGTTATGGTGTCTGTGTGCCCCTGCAACCTCATAGACACCTCGTTCTTTCTCAAATCCCAAACCTTGATTTCGTTGTCTAATCCTCCCGTGTAAATCTTGTCCGTTGCATCTGAAAAGCCCACTGCTGTAATTTGGTATTTATCCGGAAGCGTCTGGAGGCATCCCCGGTGCCTCATGTCCCAAAGCTTTGCAGTTCCGTCGTCAGAACCGCTAACTATCAAAGGTGGTCCTCTCCTCGCAGGACAGCAACTGTTGACAAAGGACAAGTGCTCTGCCATCTTCTTGATCTGCTTCCCAGTCTCAGCATCCCAGGCACGAACTGTCTTGTCCGGACTAGCGGAAATAATTTGCGAGCCATCATTGGTCCAGTGAAGATCTAAGACAGCATTCCGATGGCCCTTCAGAACCATATAATTATCACAATCACCTTGAACATTCCATAGAAAAATCTCCTTATCGTGTGAACCAGACGCAATCACAGTTCCTTGAGGATTGAACTTCAAACTAAACACTGCGCCCCCGTGGCCAGTGAGTAACATAATGGGAGAATCAAGACTAGACGTTCTTTTGACCCCATCACGAGTCACTCCAAATTGTTTCTGACCCTGCGCAAGAAAACTCAACACTATCAGAAAGCTTCTCGAAACCAGGCATTGCCGTGCATTTTCTAACATTTCCCGGTTACAGGAGCTAAAACCCTAACCCCACAAAGAACCTGCAGAAGGGTAATTCCCAGAAACCAAATTCTCGCTCTCATAGGTCGACAATATAAAGCTCCAGCGTGAAGAACAACGACCGCATTCTCAAAGACTGCGATCCTCGACCTAACGTTCCAGCAACGCACTCAAAAGTGATCTAAAAAACCCGACCACACCTCACGCAAAAAAGAACACTCTTCAAACCACATCGAATACTCACATTTCCGATTTCGGCTAGTGCACCATCTGTGTCGGTCCGGGGACGCTTAGCGATCACGAGATCCGTCTCTTCTCCCAGAGGTCTCTTCGGCGCCAGCATCGTGTGCTCCTGCGGGCTGCTCAAATCGAAGCTACCACTCCAACAAAGCGACTGTCACTCACTCTCTCTCTCTCAAACGTCGTTCGATCGAGCATTCCTACGACTTCGCGCCCCGGCAAGTGCTGGGCGCAAGAACCAGGTCACGGGACACTGCCCACGAGCGGGTATGGAGCGTAGAGGTGGTACTGGATATCGGGGAGTCCAGGAGCCCGGTGGAGGCTGAACCTCGGAGCGTCGTCCCGACACAAAGCTGTTCGGAGTGGAACAGCGAGCGAGCGAGCGAGCGACGGGAGATTTCGGGTTCAGTCGATTGTCATGCAAATCATGGGGGAGAGGATGTGTCGTCGGGGAAGCAGCCGGGCCGGGCAATGCAGATCCGGGTGAGGCGCGGTGTTCACCGGTGTGGACGGGGTGGACACGTGTCGTCACCGAGGGAGGGCGTTCTCCGGTGGCGCTCGGAAGGGGTATCGTCGGTCGCGCCCGATATCGGGCGTCGCGTTGGATGGCGGGTGCCGGGAACTCGCGTCTTTGAAGCAAGCTATTATGGAGTCGAGGTGGTGGTAGAAGGATTACAGAGCTCCCAGTTCTCTTCCTCTCTGCCTCGCTTTGTGCGTTCGTATCTTGTGGGATGGCGAGAGCTTGTTGATCCTTGCGACGTCGGGAAAGTCGAGATCTTTGAGAGCGGAAGCGGAAGTTTGATCAGTGTGCTATGCGAAGCGGGAGTCGAAGGGCGGAAGTTTGCTCGAGGTTTGCCTGCTTCTTGCCCGGCTGCTTGATCCAGTTTTGGTGCGACAGTGGTGCTTCTGATTTGTAGGAATTTGAGCTTTTCGATTGAGAGGGAGCGCGTTTTTGCGCGGCGGATGTTGACGGAGGAGACAATGTGCTGCGATGATCACATGCGGAGGAGGATTTATGATTGAGAGCGGACGATTTTCGACGATCGAGCAGGACGGAATTTGAGGATCAAGATGGAGAGTAAACAGGAAGAACTTCTGTGCCGAGTTATTGCTAATCATCTATATCTCTCGCAATTTGAGCCGTTCCGTGCCTGTATTCACACCTTGTACGATATCAATCCAGCCCTCGCGTTAGGAATATTACAGGCTATCATTCAGAAAGGCGGGGAACTCAAAGGAATAATTTGGTCGGAGGCAGTTCCATCTCCAGCGCATCTTACATGGCTTTGTTTGGGAGAGCTCTTAAGTTTGGAAGGGGAGCGGAAATTCTCTTTCCGGGGAGAGAGAGCCCGCTGGGCCTCGGATCCACAGTTAATCTTCAATAATGTGGAGTTCCTTCTCTTAGTAGAACTCTTGAAGAGACTTTCAGCTTCAAAGGCCTCCACATTGACGGAGGAATCAGCGGATAAGTTGTGGGAGTTGGGAAGATATGACTTTCGAAAATTTGGGGAGAGTTCGTCCATCTCATCCTCTTCAAGTTCAGGAAATCCTAGGAAATCGGAGGGCATCACATTTGATGGATTTCAAGTTGAGGCCAAGAGACAGCAGAGCACAGATGGTAGGAGACAGGGAGTTGAAGCCTCGAGTAGTGAAGGAACACTACACGGAGACGGCGAGACGAGTAGGACTGGTGACAGCCGAGTGCCAACGGGGAGTGCATCTGAGACAGCGCCGGTCTCGGACAAGACCAAGTCCGAGGATGGACAAGGGGACTCTGTCAATATTCAGTTTAGTGGAAAGAAGCTAGAAGAGGCTGGAGGAAAGCTCATGCAGGAACTCTCTGATACTGGCTTAGAAAGACTCATTGAGCGATTTAGAAATCTGGATGCAGTGGTGGATCAGGAAGATATCGGAGAGGAAGTGGTGTTTGGACCTGCACAGCTTGATGATGGAGAACAGAGAAGGGACGGCACTGAAGGAGGCACTGCCAGGAAAATTGCTGGGCCAGAAGCCGAATCTGTTAGCAGGGACAAATCTCGAGAACAGAGTGATACAAAAAGCAAGGGTGCGAGTTCTAGTGCTCACATGCAACCTCGTCCAACTATTCTGGAACAAGATAGTGAGTCCAAAGTAGACAGTGGACTGGCTGAAGAATATAGCGCCTGGGTGAAGAAGCTTACGCTGTATCATCCAGACTTGCTCCATGCTCTCTCATCAAATATTCGAAGGCAGCAACACTCAGACCTGCCTAATCCGAAAACAGGCAGGAAACGAAATATCCCGCCAAATGGCGACGATCCTTCTGAAACAGATCCTGGTATTCAGGTTGACGATTCAGGCCCCAGTGAAAGAGTCGATGAATCCTCCTCTGTGACAGCGGAGCAGGGAACATTTAAGCTAGGAGATAATCTTGGGACTGAAGTGCAAAACGCACATTTGTTGCAAATAAAAGAGGATGTTCGTGGAGGAAGACTTGTGCGGGCCAGTCAACACATACGTTATTTACATATCGAATGTGGCATTGCAGAATCACAGTATAGGTAAGACACTTCACAGACAGTGTATTGTTGTTCTTAATCTTAATTTACCTTGCTGGTTAGGTACTTTGTAGACCGTTTGCTTTAGGATCACAAGTTAGGAGCTAAGCTACTGGAGAATGAACCGTACGGCAAATATTGTTATCATGACCGGAGTCGGCGGTTTTGCTTGCTGTGCGTTTTTCTAGGCTGTGTGTAAACTACCGTGTGAACACCCTGTATCATGACTAGCAGGGATGTGATGCGCTTAATAATGAAAGCAGCGAAGAAGAGTATGGATCCTGGAAGATCTCCGCGGGATCGGGTCAACGACGCTTCTGTTCTTTGGATATACGAGCAAGTTAATGCAGCCTGTTCTGCCAAGCTTTTAAGACAAGCAGAGGTACAAAGTTGAATATACTTCGAAAATAAGCTGAGTGAACGCAGTTGCTACATATGTGTTTGCAACTGTGAGAGGCCAAGAGCAATCTACTCGTGAACATTGCTTTAGGTAATTAGTTCTCTGAGATTTTTGAATTGCACTCGTCAGACTTTTATTGCAAGGCACAAGTTTACTTGTTTTCTATCATGCCTAGAAAAGTGACAGCACCACGGTTTAGGATGTCTCTCTGTCTGACTTTGGCCCGACCTCTTTTGTTCAAGAGATTTTTTTAAACTTCGTTCTACTGTTCTTGATGGCGGACCAGTGTGCCCAAGATGACCTTATATTGGAAGAGGTTGAAGAGAATAGGACAGGAGCAGGAAACATATTGCCACCACCTCTGGAGAGACTTCACAAGCAGCTCCAAAGGCCGCGTCCTGTGATTTCTACCAGTATCGTTTCAACAGATGCTTCATCAATTCGAACTTGTAAGGTGGATATGTTCCAGTATGCCCGAGTTGTTGGGGAGCATGTTCTAGAAGCTGTTATGGAGGCGTCATTCAACTCAATCAAAGTTCTTCAGATTCAAAAAGCAGCCGACGTACGTATCTTTCTACACCCTACGTTTTTGGCTGAGTCAAATTGAGGCAAAATGACGTATTTGAAGAGGACTTTATCCCACACTTTACCCACTCTATATTCTTGACCACGAACGTCTATGAGTTATTGAAATGATCAGAACATACATAATGTTGTCGTATCTGTAACACTTGTCCCAACTATCAGTCGGGTTTTAAGTGAAGATCTGTCAAAACACAACTTTATGGCTCAAAAATCACAACTGTGTTCACAGTACAGAAGCTTTGCTTTTCCAGTATCTAACTGCATTTCTGTGGCGGATATCGCTTGATGCACACAAAGAAGATTGTTTGGCACTTTGCACGTTGCACAATAGATTAGGTTTTACTTGTGGCTTCAGTCATATTGTTCCAACCGTTTTTAAGGTTCTTCTGTGCGAATGATCGTACACCACATTCGGTGCATACGTTGAGCCGGTTTCTCTCTGCAGTCCACAAAGTGGCGACATAGCTGGCTTTAGGAACAGTGACTTTAGAGGACTAGAACGTCAGGATACAACGTTTTTAGTATGTCCAACTGCACCCTTGTCGCCTGGGTTGCAGTGCTATGTAATTTAGAAAGTAATCTTCTAAATAGAGATAGTTTCAATATCTCTCTGTCATCCTGTCATTGATTGGAGAAAGTTGAGTATAATTCTAAACGGCGATGATCTCCTTAGTACGTTCGAAGTTCATGATACTATGCCTGTTTCAGGCAAATGGTTTACCATATTATTGATCAAGCCATGACTTGAACCAGACGAATGTAGCAAAATTTGGTTTTAGAACTTATCCTGGGACCTTTCAGCATTTGAGGACCATCAGGGTAACTGTTTAGAGGTTGAAGGCTATGAAAGGAGAAGTGATCTTGGGACACGTGGAATAGGATCTGGGTTTGCTGAGACTTTTCTTTACTGAACGTGCGAGTGCCTCTTGATATCTTCTCTCCGAGGTCCAGCGTTCTTGGTGTTGTGCTTTTTGTATCTGAAGGTTGCTTCCCATCCTCGTTTGATGTACAGGCTGGCTTCGTTAGTAGTAACGGATGAGTATTTCCCTCTCAAAGCAGGTCCTTGCTCCGTTTCCTCGCCTTCAGCCATTGGTCACTGTCATGGGTTGGGACTTGCTCGGTGGCAATACCTCAGGACGTCGACGGTTGGTGGAGCTTTTGTGGAATAGCAGGCAAAAATCTGGAAGACTTGATGGTGGATCAATACCCGGCAGACCAGCCGAGGAGGTGGCGTCTTCACTACTTAAATTATTCTGCCGTGTCGCATTTTGTTAACCTACCTGATCTTGTTCGCTGCAGACCGTAGTTTGAATGTATTAGAGGTGCAAGCAAGTGTTGCTAGGACATTTTCGAAGCTAAAAAGAAACCCTTCGTTCGTATGTATAGCAGGAATCATGTATCGAGGAACTCTGTCACCAGCTCTGCTATCGATTGGAGCTGGCTTATTTCGCCGCTCTGGTTAACTCCGGAGTAAGCTGGGAAACCGGAGGGGGAAAGATTTTTGGCAACACGAGATCCAAATCTATTGGCAGAAATCAAGAGGAGCAGCCACCTGCAGACCCTTTTGTCGCGAATCTTGTCCTAGAACGCTTAGCTATGCATTCTGCAATCAGAGTAAGTAATTCTGGTAGACACATCCCTACGAGCATCGACAGTAATTTAATGTTGAGTTCTAGATTTGAAGACTTTCCCTCCTTGATAGGAAAGTAAAATTTTTGATCGGTTATGTGTAGGTTATTTTTGACGTGGTTCCAGATATCAAGCTTCAGGATGCTATACAGCTTGTAGAGATGCAGCCTATCGGATCTTCTACCACAGCTTCCTGGCAAAGGTCAAAGATCTCGTCTTATTTTCATATCTTAACATTTGAATGCATGCTAGTTCAGCTATTGTTTCGATCTCCCTTTGTAAGATAATACTTTGGAATGACATCTCTGAAGTTGAAAGGTATATTGCACACTGAAGTGGATCACACAGTTAATTTATATGTCACATTACTGGTATTCCTCCGATTGTCCTGGATGCTGCATAGACTCCGAATCGGCTAGAGAGCTTCCTCAATCTTGGTAAACTCAGGTGCTATTATTCCTGGGAGTAGACTCTTTGGAATTGAAAGTATAGTTGAAATTTCAAAAAATGCCCTTTTTAAATTATAGTGACAGGCAGCTACTGTTCTCTAACACGAATTGGACATGGAGAAAGCGATTCACAAGTCAGACACTCGATCTTCTTCCAGACAGATCTCCAGGGTGTTCCTCGTTTAAGAACGCGAAGTTCAACGTCCGGATTGGGATCACCCGTTTCATTTGCAAGTAGAACAACACGAGGAACTATTTCACAACCTGCACATTGTGTCAGGGAGGACGAACTTCTGTTCATTGACTCGTGGAATGCAGCTCTATAACTTTCAATAGTCCATGAAACTATAGAAACTGTTGTGTAACATCGCTCTACTGGTAGAGTCCACGCTGTTAACTAAAGTCACTAGCCTGAAACCAAAGCCTAAAGCAGCCGTTATTTTGTGTCATATTTGCTGGGGCTTTCTTAACTGTCGGGTGGATGATTTAGTCAAGATATCTTGGTTGATACCAGAAAACTTCCACCTATTTTCCTCCAGAGAGAAAGATCTACTACAAGAGACAACCCCTTCACTATTTAGTAGTCTTCTGTCGTCTCCTCTCATCTCTTCTAGTCAACCCTTTCATATGAGTACTAGGCAGCCACGCCGGTTTCTTGCCTTCAGGCTGTGACATGTCTCAGATTTAGGAGTACAGTCTCACCTCCTTAATATGCCGTATTCCATCTAATCGCTTCGTGTAATGTTTTCTCGTCGTTTACTTAATTAATGCGGCTTGGCTCGTGATGTTTACCCTATATAGGCAACAAGATCTGGAACTTTTGCATATGCATTTTGGAGTACAGGCAGCAGTACACACCCTTGTCTCCATGGAAGCAAGCGCTGTAGAGGCGCAGAGAGCCCAAGCTCACAGACGTGCAAAATACTTCCTGTTAGAGCTTCGGCAACATCTGGAAGCTGTGACAACTCCCATTCGCAAAGTACGTCTGAACTTTATTTGACTTTCTTATTAGCAGCCCTGGAATGCGCAGATTATTTATTCTGCTGTGTATGGTATTATGTGTAGCATTGGATGCTGAGCATGGTCGTCCATCTTCTTCACATGGACGAGCTTTCATTATCAGTTGGAGCAAACGAAGGGTTAGCCCAGTGGGACGATTCAGATACAGTCAAAGACTCCGTTGGAACTTCGAAGCTTTCGATGGAAGAAGAAAAGTCAACGGCTGTTGCCTTTGTTGGTGATATTCTAGGGATTCTTCGCCAGGCAATGTCTTCAGCAGTTTTCGAAGCACAAGGAAAGCGCAAACAAAAGCAAAGTACAACCTATTTAGCTCGAGAGGTGGGCAGTGCGAATACAGCTCTTCCCGATAGTGCACGAAAACCGTGGCAACAAAAGATGGTCTTATTACAGAAATTTGTTGATGACTGGGAGTGGCGCCTCGCAGTATTGCAACGTCTCAGTCCCACTTCACAACGCCAGTGGCAGTGGAAGGAAGCACTGGCCGTTCTCCGAGCTGCGCCGTCAACCCTTCTTAACATGTAAACTTGTTCTCGTTTACTAGAGTTTCATGAGTTCCTGTAGCTTAATATGCTCATATGTTCCTACAGCACTGAAGGCTCTTGAATAATCTTATAGGTTTAAAAAAGAGTAATATTTGCTCCCTAATTCCGTCGAAAAGAAAGTTTTATATTAATGAATGTCCCTCCTCGACTTTTGATGACTTTCGATTTGACTTTAATTATGCACAAATTTTTTCGTAAAATATGGACTGAAATTTCTGTACGCTATCGTATCTTATAGTACCGTAATCTTAAGCTCGCTTCAGTAGAATGTACGCTACCTTTAGTCATGTGTTCGAAATTGCCCATGTAGGTGTGTCCAACGTGCCCAATTTGACCTCGGAGAAGAAGCTGTGCATCGATTTGCTCTACCTCCTGAAGAAGCTGCATCCTTGCAGCTCGCAGAATATATTGATAGAGCTGTTGCGAGAACCTCGGTAAGACAGGCACTGTAGAGTACCATAGCCTATAATAATGCATTTTTGAAGTCTTTGAATGGTTGGATGCCAGAGTGATGTGATGTCAGAGTATACTTTTGAGTAATAGGTTTAGTAGATGTCAACCTTGTGAGGCAGATCTAACTTTACTCGAAGCAAGATATGGAATAGTGTTTTTTTTAAGTATCAGAGGAATTGTTTTAGTGCTTGCATACTTCGGATTCAGTCAAACCAGGCGGGCATCGGCATGCCATAATCAGATTTGAAGTGTTTTTCTTCTAAATGCCCGATCATTTTACAAATAGTCCATGGTGAGATGCATGAATTCTAGAAACTGAACCTTATTAGAGTAGTGAACTTCTTCTCTTGAGGATGGAATTATCGTAGTCTTGGACTTACTGAATTTGCCATTTCAAATCAATAAATAAGATTATGATGGGGCTTAGAGACATAGGTTTACTCCTTAGCTGCCAAACTTGTCTCTTTTCACATACTTAACTGCTCAAATTTGGACTGCGACAGGTGGATGACCCAGTGTCCCATGTTGACGAGAGATCACCTCCTGAAAAGAAATTGGAGGATCTGCGTCCACTGGCCAGTGTAAGGAGGCTCTTTTTATCGACTGACTGTGTTCGAGGTTCTGATTTGTAGCTGATGCTTGATATTTATTAAATTTATTCTGTTGAACAGGTACTCCTTTGCCTTGATGTTGCTGCAGCTTCAGCGAGCAAAGTTTATAGAGCTAAGCCTCTCCTGGAGTGGGTAAACACTCACTATCGCTCTCAATATTTTGGGATAACGAAATATAGATCCACTTGTTGACCTGCTTGGTGGTGGCTTTCTTCTTGCCTGTCTGTCGGCCTTGAGTTTGTAGGCTTGAATGTTGACAACAATAGAAACGGGACAATCATTTGCAGTTCTCGTCTGCTCTTACTGAGCGTGGATTACACCGCTGAGTTCTTTTGATTGAACAAGCTCTGTCCGCAGTTTTTTTTCAATCAATTGACAAATCCTAGATTTGTGTACTAACCTGGTAATGCTATCGTGTATGAGGAAGGCGCGTGTTTTCCTCTCACAAATGTCTCAAGGAGTAAATCAGAAGCAATCAAGTACGTTGATGGAGCAAAAGCAAGAAGCATGTCTTGTATTTGTAGTCAAACGGGTTTTACAGCGACTACAAGATCTCCTTGAGCAGGTTAGCCTTAGACTACCCATCTACTATAAACCTGCGTACAGCAAAAGCTAGAAAAATGATGGGGCATTTATGAGGATGCCAGACGTATCTCACTCTCTTTCTCATCAATCCTGGTTATTTATCTTGGTTTCTAAATCGGCATAAAATCAGAGAAACTCATGATAGCAGAAATATGCATCACAGGATCGGTATCGACCCCTACAGGCATCCCTCTCAGGCGCAGATATGGTTTCATCTGGTCCTGAGGTAGTTCGTCAAGGACCTAGACAACGAGCGCTTGGAATTTTACAACAGACAATTGAGGACGCTCACGATGGCAAAAGGCAGTTTTTGAGTGGTAGGTTATGGCTTGTTTACCAAATTATACAAAATCTTGAAATGAATGGGATATGGCGTCACTTCTTCACCTTTCTCATGCTCATTCTGGTCAAAAGTAGCCCTCGTCATCCGGTTCGATTAGGCGTTGTTTTTTGTAAAGGCCTCATAAGCTCATACGAACTGATGATTAAAAGGTTGTAAATTGATTGTTGAAGACATTTTCACTCGAACCTCAAATTGATGGAACGCAGGTACGTTGCATAACCTTGGAAAGGCTTTAGCAAACGAGGATGTTGATGATAACAGCACGAAGCAAGTCAGTTCTCCATCCGAAAAGAAGCAGATGTCAATGGAACATGTTTTGGGCTGTGGTTATGTCGTCTCGCCAAAAAATGCTCCAGTTCCATCCTCCGGGTTGGTAGATCATGCAGAATTCAGTTCACTTGCAGTCAAACCTGCGGAAAAGCTTTTTCTTGGGCCTTTGGGTAATAAGCGAACAGCTTACCTCTCGGCGTTCATCCTTTACATCGCAACTGTCGGGGATATAGTGGATGGAGTGGATACGACTCACGACTACAACTTTTTTTCTCTTGTCTATGAGCGACCCAACGATGTATGTATAATATATTCTTGCTTTCTGAACTTGATTACATTTACATCTATATATAGTTTTGGAAGAGTTTTTTGTTGTAGCACGTACGCGCACTGTCGTTCGTGATTTCTTTGTCATGCACACATCGTCTGTGTATTGCAATTTCGCATCTCTAATTTTTGCTACAGATGTAACTTGTACGAGTTGATGCACATATATGATGTTTGCCTTCAGTATGGCCGGACAACTTGCTGTATGTTTTTAGGCCGTATGACTCTTTCAAAGCATTTCAATCATAAGTTTTGGATAGAATGGACTAACCCATAAGTCGGTAGTGTATATTCGGTGCTAATATTATCGAGTTTCCCGTTTGCAGCTGTTAACACGTCTTGTTTTTGAAAGGGGAAGCGCTGATGCCGCTGGAAAAGTTGCTGGGATTATGAAATCAGATCTGGTGCAGCAAATTATCACTGCGTGTGTACCCCCTGTCTATCCACCGAAGGGAGGAAAAGGTTGGGCTTGTATTCCACGGCTCCCAGCTCGTGTTGTGCAAACTGCCGGGGTTATTCAAAGCAGTACTACTTTTCCTACCGCTCCTGGCGAGAATGATGCTGAACTTTACCCCCTCCAGCGCGATGTTATCAAACATCTTGCCACACTTTCACCCGTCAGAGCAATTCTAGCTTGTGTGTTTGGCAGTAGCCGCTTCACTATGTTTGTGAAAGAAGGGGATGGAGATCATCTCACTGTCCAAGAGCAGTCTCAGAAACAGGATGCGGATCGGTGGTTCTACGAGTTTGCCTTGGAGCAGTCAGACCGGTGAGTGCTTCATTTGAAGAGTTCAACTTGCAAGGGCATAGATTTCAAACGCGTACCTTTACCTTAATGACTTCAGAAACGGGTAAAGGATCTGACACAGTTAGACTTAATTTGAATATCCCTTCTGGCTATCGTCCTTTAGATGTCTCTATTGCTCCGACCGATTAGAAAAGGCCGCAAAATCTGAACCCTTTGGTTGAGTCTGTTGACAGCCATGCGTCTCACATCTGTTTTCACCGTTATTTGCAACTGGTAGAGTGCTTAAAAGGCTGAAATACATGTGCTTTTCATTGGTAATGAACAAAGCGACAAATGTGACATAATTTTTCTCACTGAATTTTGAGTTTTGATCCGAATGAATGACTGTATGGTTTGTAGTTACTCAACCCTGAACCGCTGGATCCAACTTCAAGCCAACCTCCAGCGATTATCAGAATCTCCTATTTCCACGAAAAGGCTGAATGATGCGGAAACGCAGAAGGAGGAAGACAGGAGAAAATCTACCAAGCGGTTGCGTGAACCTGAGCAGGACGTTGACTCTGAGGATGAGCAAGAGAAGATTGCGATTATTGGCATGCAAGGTCCACCTGCTGGATGGGAAGGTCTCCAGAGGTCAACAATAGAGAAATCTCCACTTGGCGCAGTCGACGTAAAAGCTTCTCAGACTACTGCTCCATTCACTGTCTTACTGGATTGGGAGAATGAAGGTCCTTATGAGGAGGCTGTTCAAGGGTAATAACGTTAGTTTTCTCGGTTTGTACTTGATGATTTTTTTTCGCTCTTAGCGTGTTCATGTCTTTTGCTTTGTTCAAGCTGGCTTCATGTACAGCTCTAATGCATTTTTTTGTCCAGGCTAATGGAGGAGGGAAAATTAGTGGACGCCTTGGCCTTGGCAGACCGGTGGCTTCGAGATGGAGCTCCAGATCGGTTGCTCCAGCTGTTGATTGAAAGAGGGGAGGATGGAGGATCTCATTCGAGTCTGGCTTGGCAGGGCCATGGGAGTTCTCATCACAACCTTTGGAACAGCAGCTGGCAATACTGCATACGACTTCGTGACAAAAACCTTGCAGCGACACTGGCTCTCAAGTAAGGATAGTTTTTTGGAAGTTACGATGTAGGTCAAATTCAAATCGATAGGTCAAATTTTCGTAATGTTTTTGTGAGCCTTAACTAACAGATTCAACTTGTTGGGCGAAGGTACTTACATCGTTGGGAGCTGGATGCCGCAATAGACGTACTGACAATGTGCAGTTGCCATCTGGATCCTAAAGAATCCTTGTATGAAGAGGTATTAACTAACATGTACTCGAATTGCTCTGGGTCAATTCTTGTGAGAGAAAGTCATGTGTACTATCACTGTCTCAAAAACGATATGACATAGGACCTCTTCTCCTCTAGCCTTCTGATTGAGACTTGATGTTAGCACTATGTGCAAGTATATTAAGAATCTGATGGTTTTGTGAAAAATAATCTGGAATAAAGTATTCAGCTAGGTATGCATTCAATGTTTTTGCCTAGGAGAGTTTGTGCCAATGGCCAATGTTATTGTTTCTGCACGAGGGTTACGTAAAATTGTATAATAAATTCAAAGAGAGATGGATGCAAGTGACTGCTGCCTTTTGACTTCTGAAATTTTGACAAGGTTTCGGCGGATATCACTATAGGTAGAGCGCCTTGATTCTTCAAGTGTCAGATATGTTCTCATGATTTTCACATCCGTTCCAATGCTTGACATGTTACCTGTATGTGGATCTTATTCAGGCAGTCAGAGTCAAGCAATCACTTCAGCAGTATGGTCGGATACTCCGTGCAGATTCTCGGTTTAGCAACTGGCGTGAGGTACAAATAGAATTCATCCAAGCCGTCAGATTCACTTACAACGTATGTAAGTGAATCTGACGGATTTCGTTTCTGCTGATTACAACTATGCTCTTGTCAAGCCTTTAGTCAATTTCCTGTCATGGCAACTTCGGCGAGATCTTTATTATTAATATTATTTGCAGCGTCCTTTAAAGTATACAAACAGCTCTTTGAATTCTTAACAACATACGAAGTATAGCTCAGAGAAGAGAATGTGTTGCCTGTTTTAGAGCCCTTATATTGAAACATCAATAACATCCTTATTTTTCGCCATTGTGGGTATGGGACACTCATTTTCAAAGTTGCCTTATTTCTACATTAGTCGCCCACTTTCACAGCTTACTCCTTCGTAATGTTGACAAAATATAGGTGGAGGCATTTTGCCAAAGTGATCCGGAAGGTTTGGCCCTCAGGCTAGCAAGTAAAGGCGCAGTTTCGGCAGCGCTAGATGTGGCCGAGTCATTTAACCTTCCCAACGTCACACGAAGAGAACTGCAAGGACGACAGTTAGTGAAGCTCTTAACTTCTGATCCAACTACTGGTGGTGGTCCTGCAGAGGGTTTGAGATTTTTAAGTTCCTTAAACCATCCTGAAGATGCGTTGGCTGTTGCAATGACAGCCATGGAACAGTTGCCCAATTTGCGCTCAAAACAGCTTCTGGTAATTCTCCGAACCGTCGTGCTGCTTCAGTGAAGTACGTTACAAAAGGAAAGACTAGGGTCATACTACAAAGCTAATGCTTTTTTTTTAATTATAACACCTCAAATTCTAACTCATGCTCCTTGTAGCTTGATATAGTGCATCTCCTTGTGATAATGGGCATTTGGTCCGCACTATATCTAGAATAGTCCATAGATCTCTATAGCTCTCCGTAATGTCCAGGTTCTTTATGTAATGAACAGGTTCACTTCTTCCTTAAAAGACGTGTTGGAACTCTCTCGGAAGCGGAACATGGGAGGTTGGATCAATTAGCTCTGGGACTTCGCATGCTTGGAGCTCTGCCTTTACCTTGGCAACAGCGTTGTTCTGCTTTGCATGAACATCCCCGACTTATTCTCGAAACCCTACTTATGTGGAAACAACTCAAGGCTGCATCTCAGGTACATTTGACCATAACCTGGGCTAATTTGAACCACGCCTGTTGCTTTGTCATCTCGTCGGTGTGTTGAGTTGGTCTAAGTTGCGTCTGGAGTAATATACCTCAAGCTGACCCTGGCCACACATTGTTCGGTCCTTTGTGGATCGCAGCTTCTTGATGCGTTTCCGAAGCTTCGAGACAATGGTTTGATCATCAGTTATGCTGCTAAAGCAATCAGCTTCAGCACTGTTCTTCCTGTTGAACGACGAACATATTCTCCCTCAGCAAACAACAAACCTCTCAATCGTATGAAGACAAATATCAGCTCTGGTATAAGCATTCTCCAGAGGCGAGCATTTTCATGGGCAAGTCGAGATGCGCCTGCCAAAGTTGTTGCGAAGGAACCTCCAAATCGGAAACGGAAGGGAAGTATGCTACCCCCCTCTCAAATAGCAGCATGGGAGGCCATGGCTGGGATTCCAGAAGAACGGCCGTCAGCTGGTGCCGCAGCACCTCAAGAGGAGAGGTTAGCACCAGTGACCATGGGAGATGAGTGGGTGCTGACTGGAGATCCTGCAAAAGATGATGTTGTCAGAAACTCTCACCGTTACGAAAGTGCACCAAGTTCAATCCTCTTCAAGGTTTGTTAGTATGTTCTTGTGGTTTGTTAATGGAAGTTAGGTGGCAAATACGTATGACATGTCTGGCTTTCATAAGAGAAATGATGATTCGTACTTCTGATTATTGGAGATGTTACTGCCTTTAATAATAAGCTGAAAGAGTGTTACCTTAGAAGTTGTTACTTGGCCCTTGGACAAAAGTCCATGAATTCAGATGCTTACATTTTGAATGTCTCGCGTTTCCACTTATCAAACCTAGCAGGCTGTGCTAGTTAAGAGTAGAGTCACTCTACAAAGTAAGTTTGTGGGACTGACTGAACTGGTTTTGTTTCAAAAGTCTAGCCCATGTCGGTTCTCTATCGCACCCGTACAGGCTTTTCTGCACACGATGCATGGCACGGCATGCATATGCGCCTGATTGAGCTTATTGTGGCTTTGTACAGGCTTTGCTCTCACTGTGCTCAGAGGAAATAATAGCTGCTAAAGCAGCGGTAGATTTATGTGATGAGCAAGTCAAGAAACTTCTGTGTGCCGAACAGCTACCTCTGAAAGCATCTTCAGAAGTGAAAGAGCGTGCTTTTCATGCAACTGAAGCTTTTGTTCAGGTAAGATAGCATTATGAATCATGTTTTGAAATACTTGCTCCTTCATTTTTTTCTTGTTCTCAAGAGTGAACAAGTTTACTTCTTACTCTAGGACCTTCTCCATGAATAGCCCCACCTATGTTTAGTCATTCATTATATTGCTTATACTTGGAAGCAACCTCGCAATGTTGAGATAATAGCCTGAATTGATTTCAATTCAGACTATTATTGGTCCTCTGCCACGCTAGTGAGTTTTTGTTTGACAGAAGAGCGGAAAATGTTCAACTAGTGCTGAGAAATCGCCATTGCCAGCATTGGTCCTGTTTTGGATCATTCTTCATTGATTATGGGTCTCGTCAAGATGCTAACGCAGGAGCCAAATTATGTCTGAACGAAGTGACTCATGAAACACGTCAAATATTGGGTTAAGTTACTTGATCTTCTCTGCAGGCACTTCTTCACGCGAGGGCACAGCTGAGGAATCTTGCTGGTCAGTCGCAGAAAATGCCTGCAGGTCCAGTTGTTGGCACTGACAGTGAGAAGAAGGATTCCGCGGAGGATGTGGCAGGTCAGAGTAGTTCCATATCACCTGTAGCTCCTCTAACAGATGAACTTCCGAAGCTCTTGATACGTGCCGACGTCTTGCTTAGCCGCGTGGAACTACTTCAAAGTCTACTGGGAGCCGGTGTATCAGCGTCTATAAATGATCTGGAAGATGAAGGATCCGATAAGCTTCGGGACCGCTTGATTAAAGATGAGCGCTACACCATGGCTGTTCATACATGTACAAAATGCAAGGTTTGTGCCAAACAAGAGCAGATGTATTCTTCAGCTTTTAGACGAATCAAACGTAGTTTATGTGTTCTCATCGACTTGGATCATCATATGACATATCATATGTTTTTTGCCATTTGTCGCAGATCGATGCACTGCCCGTGTGGCAAGCATGGGGCCACGCCCTTCTCCGCATGGAGCGCTATCCGCAGGCTCGAGCAAAGTTCAGGTATATCTCTCAAATGCTGAGACATTCTTATCCCTAAACTTGCAATCAAAACTTAATGAAATAACAGGGTTCTGCTAGTTTGTAAACCTCGTTCGCTGAGCATCTATATGGAACGTATCGATTTGTGGTGACTTGTTTCAATTTTTCTGAAGATATAATAAGACAATTTTTTTCTTTGTTATATAGTGCGAACTTCTTTGCATAGGGAAACTTTACGTATTGGTAAGTGTATGAAAATGGAGGATGTCTATCGTATTTTCTGACCTCGAGATTTCAAATGTATGTAGTCAAGCACTACGGTTGCTCAAGGGTGATAAAGTTCCTTTCATTCGTCAGATTATAAACACTGTGGAAGGTGGTCCACCTGTGGATGTTGAGGCTGCTATTAGCATGTAAGTTTCACAGGGACTCTTATTTTATTCAGACGTTTTACTTTGGTGTATAACCCGTTGACAGCACTGTAATTATGTAATATGCATTGGTAACGTCGTAACCCGTGTTAATTTTATCAATGAATTTGACTCTATCTATGGCATGTAATACCTCAGGTATGCACATGTGGCACAAAATATTTCCTCGGTTTCAGACGATTCGCTGTCAGCAGATGCTTATTTGAGCGTATTGTACATTCCATCCTTTACAAAGGCCGATCGTTCAAGACGAACATCAGAGGAATCAGCTGACAGACAGCAGGAATCAGCTGTAAAAGACTCTCTACATCGTAACGGAGACGAGCCTTTACAAAGTAATTTAGATAGCGTACGGTACAATGAGTGTGTATACTATCTACAGGAGGTAAGATTACGGACATCTTGAATAGGGCGCCTTTTGAGCTGTCATCTGTTCCCTTGACGTTGTGATATTTGTATAACTTTCATGGCGAGTGAATTTATCAACTCAGCCACATACGAAAATGTCTAGAACATTCTCCTTTTCTTCAGTTAAGATAAAGTAGCTGAATCTGGGTGTGTGGAAAAGAATAAGACTGAATCACATAAGTGACTAACAACGAATTGGATTCGATTGGATTGATTGTGTGAACAGCATGCCCGCTCCGATTTGCTATCTTTCGCCTTTCGACATGGTCGTTACTATGAAGCATGTCAACTCTTCTTCCCAGCCGACTCTGTACCTCCACCACCTTTGCCATCTCCATATGCCACGCAAGCGGCTGCTTCATCTTCACCTCAAAGAACAGACCCTTTAGCTACGGACTACGGTTCTGTTGATGACCTTCTTGATCGCTGTGTTGCTTATGGAGTTGTTCCAGTCCTTGAGCGTGCTCTTGCCATCAGAGTCGATAGTACGGATGCTGCTGTTAGAGAGCACACCAGTCTTGCCCTTACGCGTATTTGCAGTTACTGTGAAGCTCATCGAAACTTCAATCATCTATATCGGTTCCAGGTTCGTGTTCCTCATGGTTTGAAATCTGCATCTGCAAGTTGTAATCTGCGAGCTGGATGATATTACTTGAAAAGATGAAAAAACTCAAGCTTTCGATTTCCTGTTGGTTACTGTAGTTCCAACCTTGAGGATGGAATTCAATGGCAGTATGCTCAGTGCTTTCTTTTCAATTGTCTTCAGCTTCTAAAGAAGGACTACGTAGCTGCTGGCCTCTGCTGTATCCAGCTGTTCTTGAATTCTCAACATCAAGATGAAGCTGTCCGTCAACTAGAGTGTGCTCGGGTATGGCTCTTTTCCTCTCCACCGCATCTTTTCCTGTGTTTAAAGTTTCCTTTCTCATGAATATGATAAAAGTTACATCCTCCATTCAGTTGCGGCTGAATATCAAAACTTGTGGTTACTGTATTGCATCTATCTTTTCAAACAGTATATCCTCCGTTTATGCTTAGAACGAAACTTGATTTGAATTTATGTGCAGCAGCTTGACTTGAACCTGGTTTTTTTTTCCAGTTTAAGGCTTTCGTGGGTAGAAGCATATAATTCGTAGCTATCTGTTTGCAAGTGCCTGGTTTTCATTTAGTCTGATCCTTGCCCTCATGACCACTTACGTGATTACTGTTTGTTTTCTAACGTTTGCATCCTTTCGTCTATTTCAAGGGTCATTTCGATGAAGGTTTGGCCGTCCGCCAACAAAGTGGAGACTTGTCCAAGGGTGGAACTAAAGTTGCTCGAGGCAAACTCCCCTCTGATAAACTAACGGATGAAGAACTCCTCAAGTTTACAGCTCGTATCAGAATACAGGTACAATTTTCATTTAACATGTTGGTGGACTAACGAAACTCTCCAAAGTATCCATAAGTATCCTGAAAAACTTCTTAAACCGAACTCGAATATCCATTTGTCTTCAGTAAAAGAGCATCCTTGTCTGTCCCAACTGTTATCGTTATTTCATCGCAGTTGGAAGTCGTCCGAGCATTCAGTGAAAACGAAGGACCGTTGTGGAAGTGGTCACTCTTCGGTAATCCAAACGACGCCGATACTTTCAAGTATGTACGCTGCTCTTTGGGAGATATATCTGGATAAGAGCAACGAAAGATGAGGCTAGGATTTCCTTCTAATCGCACTATCTATCCAAGTTAGATTTTTCGGTACACGCAATATCTTGTAGTTTTTTGGGTTGGGAGACAGAAGCCCACTGAACTCGTATGCTGTTTATGAAGAAAATGCTGCACCAAAACCAAAGGCAGTAGTAATCATCAAGGTCCTCTATTTTATACTCCTGTTGGAATGCTTTGTAGGCGTAGGTCCGACATCGCCGAAGCTATTGTCGAGAAAAACTTTGATCTCGCCTTTCAAGTTATCTACGATTTCCAGCTTCCAGGTACATTGCCAACGCCTATACTCGTCAAATTCGGCTCATACGCTTTCATTTACAAGACAATAGGATACTATCTTTAGGAAGTTTGTTTCAGAACAACAGGAGCCAGACAACGGGTCCATGATCTGCCTACTCAGCTTTGTCTACTTGTTCCTTTCTTGAATTATCTATCTGTATCTTCCGATTGCTCCTTTCATCTGTATTCTTTCGAGATATCTGATGATTATTCGAACGTTGCAGCGGTGCATATATATGCCGGGGTAGCAGCATCTCTTGCAGAACGGAAAAAGAGTGGCATATTATCAGATCTTCTTAAAAAAGTAAAAGGAACAATTCCGGACGATGATTTCGATCAGGTTTGTCGCTGCTAGCTTCTGATATGATAGACGACACTAAGCTGGAAGTTGAACTGTATCTTTTGGATCTCTCCGCATCTTTTGTTTTTGTTCCCTCTCGATTGTTTCTTCTAATTTGCATCTTTGCCTCTCCTACCGCATACAAAATGTGCATAGTATTGATGTGTGGTCTCAACACTTACTTTATCAGCACTACATGAATGTATCCTTCTTCTTTTTGGGTTTGGGTGAATTTTCCATCAATTGTTTTGCGTCTGCATTCTAGCACCGCTCGGCCATGGCGCAGGGTTTATGCTCTCAGGTTATAACCGGAAAATAGTAATGATCACCCCGCGTATGTCTGTGTAGGTTCTGGGAGCTGCTATCAACGTATTAGCAAAAAAGAAGGAACGTCCAGACAAGCTGATTGACCAGCTATCCAGTAATCACAGGTATTAGGCAGATTCAAGTGTTTTGCCTTAATCATCTCTACCAACCTTAAGACCGACTTCAATCAACAATCTCAGATCACGCCAAAACAATTCTAACTATTTTTAACATTCCAGGAAAGTGTTGGCTTGCGTCATTTGTGGAAGACTGAAAAGCGCTTATCAAATTGCGTCTCGAAGCAACAGCGTTTCAGATGTACAATATGTCTCCCACCAGGTGTGTATCTGGTACTGAAGTAAAATTTTTCACCCGCTCAACCTTGGACTTTCAAGTTAAAATCCTAAGATGCACACGATGCTCTGGCTACCTAGTATGCTCTATTGCAGACGCGTTGAACTGGAAGGTTTGATACACGCCAGAATGCAATCGTATCACTTACTGACTAGCAGATCTTTTGAATTTTCAAATCATTTTGCACGATCATGATGTGAGTATCTTTTTAGATTGTGTTTTCATTATCGGCTCCTACGCTAACCATGGACAGTTTCCACGCGTTTCATGAGCTTGTTCTGCAAGCTCCTCTTTGTCAGACCCAATATACTGATGTGATGAGACCTTCATCTTTTCTATCTATCTTGTAAGCGAACCAATCGAAACTGTTGAATTGAAGCGAAAACATAACCTTATTTAGTCAGTTGATTTGTTTCAGATAAACATAAGTAATTAGGCCCGTGTGATGTTTGTCTCTCTGTTCAGGCTGGAAAATCGAAAAATTTGGCTGTCCTTGACCTGTGCCAACAGTGGCTAGCTAAAAATTCCTAGGGCGCAACAAGGGTGCCAGATTGGAGTGAGTCCCTAAATTCGCTTTTGAATTGAGTGTATACTAGCAGGCTATCACAAAATTAGATTTGGTCCTCAACATTAGAAGAGGCCTCTTTTGATAACAGTTGCCTTGAGCAGTAGGTTCAGCTAAGTTGTAATTTTTCACTGAAGTTCACATTAAGATTCTTTTGGGTGAGATTCTTATAGGTTGTAAGACACAGAAAGCAGTAAATCTGAATAGGTAACACCGAAATTACGACTCTGCCCGTGATCATGACTGGAGAACCTTAGAAAAGTGCCAAATGACATCACCCGCATGGAATGGAGCTTCCAAGGACTTCCTGATTTTGAAGGTAGCCGCCTCCAATTATGACAGTCCGAGGCTTGTCATCCATTTAAGCAACGATTATGTATGATGTATCCAAGTATTCTTGTAATTGTGAAAGGAAAGAGAGATGACTCTGGTCACTTTTGGTGGTTGTACCAGAGTTCATACTCGAATTATCTGTACTTCCATCGCCGAGTTGCCTCCTTGACTTTTTTCTGGAGATAGAATCTGCATATGCAGTTGATAGAAGGCAGATGACATACTACTCCATAAGTTTGATAGGAAGGATAGATGTTATTAAATATCTGTTACTACCTGGACTATACTATCTGCTGAGCTCTACAGTAACTTCCGGATACTAAAGTCCACTATCGTATACGATGAAATGATATATATTTCTAGCGCCGTCGAAGTCAGTAGGGAGCGTTTCTGTCTTACGGAGAGCTTGACAGCGTGTATTCGTGCGCATCATCACATTCACACGGTCCAGTGGATTACACTTCGTGGGCTTCCGAACGTAGCAACAAATTCGTTTCATAATATGCTTGTCTTTTCTGCAATTTTATTTCATACACCCAGTATTCAGGAAATATCACTACCTACCATGCATCTTGCACATATACGTCTTCTCTGTGCTTACTACTTTTTCAAGCTTGACATTTTGGTCTGATCGTCTTACGCCTCAGCCCCAAGTGCTGCAATTGCTAACGTTGTGGCTCTGCAGGCCGTACTCATGTTACTACTTTTCTGAAATTTTTCGCTCAATATGTACTTTAGGATTCCCACAGCCTAAGCCTATGTTGAGTCTTATGTGTAAATTCATCCAAGCGTAAATACAGTCTGATGTCTGAATTTGCATCCGAAGTATCTGATATTCGAAAGAGAAATTTTATAATTAGAACAGTTAGGTTGGAGAGAGATGCTTTATGCAAGAATCAGTGACTCGAAGATGTACTTAACATTTTGAATTTCAGAAGACTGAAAGCTAAATTTGAAGTACAGCGACGATAGAGGGGGTACATATGCTTATTAACCTCGACTTCACATGTTAACTATGGTAGGTTTCCATCTTGCTAGAGGCAGTGATTCACTTCCTGCTTCATTCAGGTTTTCACAATCAGTGGCAAGACTAACTTTGTGTCCACTCCAGCAAAGAGTTTGCTGATAAATTTTTATTTTGGTACGATACTGCTGTATACTGGTTTCAATTTGAAGCATGACAAAGAAAGTTGGAAACTTTCAAATGAGGACATTACTGATGGAAGATGACGTTGTCCTTTGGCCAGTGGTTCAATTTCTAACCTGGACTTGAAGGTTGGTAGTATGATATTCCACCAAATTACATTTTGATATTTCTATCCAAAAGCTGCTTAAAGTTCCTCTTGCGTAAATGGAGACATTTTCATTTTAGAAATTTTTTTTGGTATCGGATGCTGTCTCTCTCAGCTTTATTTCCATTAGTTGATGCCTCTCAAAGCCCGTTCTGAGTACTTGTACTCTCTAAAATCAAACAGTAGTTTGATTTGTCTTATAACATAGGTTGTGAAGGGTCCATTTCGTACAGCAGTCTGATGAGTTCTGATGTCCATTCTGTCTTGAATTGTTCATTATCTTGATATTATGATACAGCAGTAGTCTAGGATGTATGTCAGATGTATCAATAATGCTTGATGATTCTCTTGGTGTAATCAAAGCTTGAAATCGTTACTGTCACTCTAAAGTGGATAACACTATACATCATAGCCTCAGTTGAGTTAGACTCCAATCAATTAGATTTTCAATTTCGGTCCCACGTGTAAACAATCCAACACTAAAATATATCAGCAATACATAAACAATCAACATAATCAATGTGTCTATTGTAACCGGGACTATCGCACTGTGGGCCTATCTGACTGTATAGAGATTATCGTTCAAACTTGAACCATGAAGTTTTTAACGTCACTTATTGTATTTATGGTCGTTCCACCCTTTTTAAGACCTGAAATATTTCGCTGGGGCCGTCATGGCGACTCCCCGCCTTGACAGATCCGGGATCTGTCACGGCGGGGATGGCTCCCAGCGAAGCTCCAAAGAAGCTTTGTGACTCGGAGACTCTATGACGGGGATATTTCACGTGCTCCCCAGCGCCGCGCGCCGGTTTGCTTAGCGGGATTTAACTCGAAGCTCGGGCCCCACCTTGCTTGCTTAGCCTTGCTGCGGGGGAGTCTGACTGCTGCATATTTTTTCAGCACTGCGGGGGAGTCCGACAGCCCAGCTGACCTCTAGACATTGCGCCTCATGGTGGAGTGTAGCCCGGGGTAGACATTGCGCCTCATAGGGAAGTGTGCCCCGAGACTAGGCCTCCGCAAGGTAACGTAAAAGTTAAACGGGCAATAAAATGTGTTCTACTTTTACTCTACCCCTACCCTTACCACATTGGTCGCGTTTTAACTGGGTAATTACCCAATAAAATTTAAAATACATTTAACTTTTACTTTACCTGTTAAACGTGTAATTGTACAATAAAAATAAAAAAAACATTTTTTAATTTATCCGTTAATCAAATAATTATCCAATAAAATAAAAATACATTTAACCTATATTTATTCATCTACGTTCTTAAATCACGAAATGGTTGCATATGATGAGATTTTCTAATGACTACTTCTGAACATCAATATTTGATTCTCTTAATTTCTATTGAATACAGAGATAATCAATTTGCCAATAATAGGTGAAAAGGTTAATTTATTATCTAAATAGTATATATAAGATGTATAAATATTTTTTTCTTATTTTAAAAATCTTTCGATATAAAACATGAAAAAACTGTCTATGAAAGATATAAATCCTTCATCATTTTCTACTCTTAACCTATTCCTTTATTCAAAAGATGACTTAAAATATACACTGAAAGCTTGAGCACCATTAGACAATTGTATTATTTATGTAGATAAATTAACAATCTTAACATGTAGATAAATATAACAATCTTTTGCTTTGATATAGGATTATATACGTATTTATAATTATTATTCTAAAAACCATAAATTTTGTACAAAAAATCTAACATATAAACATTGTTACTTGTATGTATTATTGTATGGGTAAGTAAATGGGCATTACCTTTACTCTAACCTTTACCCTCACCCATTGATAATCTTCCTACCTTTACCCCTAACTTTTAGGTTACCTTGCTTTGGCTTACCCGGGACAAACATATTAGACAGCCCCGAGATTGTGAGATCCGTTCCACTTGTTTTCTTACTTTTTTTGTGTGGGATCCACACCTTTGACTATGGGCCGAATGGAATCCGACACCTGTAGAAGAGCTTTCAGATTGTCACATATCAGACAGCTCCGAGATGGTGAGATCCGCTGCGCTTGTTTTTTTCACTTTTTTTGTGTGTGACCCACACCACAGCTTTGACAATGGACCGAATGGAAACCGACACCCGTAGAATGCAATTGCAGTGACCAATGCTCATCCAACCCTTGCAACTGCAAGTGAGAATACCGCGTATCTACATACTTCAGACCTGGCGGACGATGGATAAAGAATGCAACACGATTGCTCAGTCAGCAATCAGCTCACGGTCTACGGCTATGCAGAGGACGCAAGGCGGGCCTGTTGTTTATATGCACGCACTACAATGTTCAGAGAATGCAGGAAGTGTTTTCTTGTGCGTCGACGGCGGTAGGAAGAGCTCGACTTCAAGATGACAAGGGTTGTACTGTATATCTGTCGACCAAAAATAAAGACTTAATTTTCTAGCAAAATCACTTCCCACTTCCGTTTCGTCTGAGTGTAGAATAGGAATGAAGAATTTGAATCTCGTGTGCACGACAGAGGTGAACTTGCAAGCATAGAGGTCTAATCGACTCCTAATGGCAGGGAATAAAAGTTTATGTCCAACACTGTTACTTAAATCTAGATAACATAGTATCGGAGTAGCATATATGAGAAATAAGAGAAAAATTTGTGTCTAAGAATGGGATTTGAAGAACATCATTTGCAGCGAGATGGAGTTAGTAGACCAAGTTTTTAAAAAAACCCTGAATACTAGGATATGGGACACTTGAGCTCAATAGTTGGAGTTGAGATGCATAAGCAAGGGATCAAAGAACATTGCTCGGATCTGTTGCAATGAAACACTGCAACACTAGTCTATTGAAGGTGTTGTGACTTCGCTAACGTCATGATTACACACATATATAGGAAACGAGATCGTACACACACAAATGCATCACAACTTGCCCCTCTAGCTGGCGGTCAAGTACTTCTAACTCCCAAGTAGTCCTATCTACAATTACATGCTATAGATCTTCATGGTTGCACAAACCAGTAGGCCGGGTAATATGTTGTTCTATCATTAGTCGCCTATATGCAATTCGTAACATGTGGAAATCAAATCATCTATCTCTCTGAAGTACATCGAGGAAAAATTGATCATCCAGCCATAAGAACATTAATAGGCGGAGTCAAGCACAACATGTGTCATCCATCACACACCAATATATAGGCCACCTGACCAGTTGATCCACATGACATGCACCTCAAGCCAACACGTCTATTGTCAGACTTGAATCTATAGTACCATCCATGTTTGGGAGGTGACATGGCGTATAGTTGCGTAGATGATCCTTCTAAACAACACCGTTACGATACTCCAACATGAGAACTGCAAAAAATAACACTTTCTACACTCACAAGATAGAGAGTCTCGTCGTCACATCTAATATTGTTGTGCAGTATGTTGTAAATAGATGTAGTGTTCCACATGAAATCTACAAATCGATGATCAATAATTTTCTCGCCAGATGATCGCATATCGCAACGTGTCTATATGTTGAACAATTGCAAGGTTCTCAAATGCTGCAAGCATGACTCTCCGAGCGAGCTTTACACGTTGAGATCACACTCTTACCCACATGACCGGGTCATCAAGATTCATCACCTAATTGTATCGTCAGCTAATGCCACCAACTCAATTCACTTGGAGAAATGTTTGACCATCATCAATACATACCGATGATGTCATACAATCAAAGGTAATGGTCAAGCAATGTTCAAATTCCAACGATATTTCAACCCCATGATAGTTAAGGGATGTAACTCTAGTGTTAGAGCATTTAACGATGCTTTCACTCAATCACAAACCATGCGACGTAAGATCAAGTGCTTGAGTATGCATACAATGCCACCAATACTGAGCATCCAACTCATCGTGAGCATGTTGCACGATGCGTGCTCTTTGAGCTGGATGCGAAACTACTCGTATTCTACCGTCCTTCCACACTTGGGAAACATATGTTCCTCTAATAGGTATCTCCTTGCCTGTTGGAAAACACAATCTCGTTCCTTGGCACTCACTATGCCTAACACCATACTCGTCTGTAGGAATTATGACACTTATGCATCATCGTGAATATCATGCTGATACATACCACCATCTTCAACCTCAAGATCTAAAGATTGGACATCCACTCTTTGACAATAGTAAGATGTGAAGTGATACTCCCTACTAGAGTTTCCATGTAACAAATGCAAGAAGTCAAATGCATGCCAATCATATATCATCTCCTCATCCACTACCATCTAGCTCTAGTGTCATCCTCTTGGTT